ATCTGATGCCTAAGTAAACACAAACAGCATATTTGTAGAGGACATGCAATACAATACACTTTATCTTTTGTGCTCTGTCACAAAATATAAATCAACCCAATGAAACTGATGTCCAGACAGCTTCTTAAGATAAAACATTTCTTTCTCCCTCGGGGAAGAATATTTATTGGGCTTTTTATGCAAATATCCACCAATAAATATCCCCATTTTCTGACCTTCTGTCCATTATCCTCAGCATCTCATTTTAAGCAGAGTATTGCATCTCTTCAAAAGCGCCAAAAGTGGAAATGAGATTTTTTTTTCCTTGACTGTTTTAGAAAAGATCCCTGACCATCAAACAAACAGTTTTATACTACATGAAGATTTGTTAACACACTAAATCCTACTAAAAATGTGTTTCAATATCCACCCACCACACCTACTCCGAAGGTTGGAAAGTAAGTGCCATAGTTCAAACACACTCTCTATGTTGTTGTCATTTGTGTTGCTGTGTATCTGTAGTAGAGATGCTCAGATTTACTGTAACTAATTTTGGAGGAGCCAGTTTGCTGAATGCTTAAAAAGTGTTTCATGAGAAAGTCACTGCGAGTTAAAAAGATAAAATGTGTGAACAATCTAGACTACATCATTTACATAGCGCAATGTTTGAAAACCTTTTAAAGATCCTCGCAAGCAGAGCTGGGCATGCTGCACTTATTCCGTTAATCCTAAATTAGGAATGTTATTTTTTTTTATTAATTGTAAACATGAATATTAACTTAAAACCCACTGACTAAACATTTTACTTCCATTGGATTTCTTTGGATCTTCATTTTCACATTACTCAACAGATTTTCATTATTTAAAGGGATATTCCGGCATAAAATTATTTTAGCGTCAAACACACTGCAACACTGTTTTAGACACCCCCTTGAAAGATGAAAGTTGCAGACCGCTTGCTTCTCTAGTTATACCAACTTACTGTAAGTGACGACCATAGGATAGCAATACATAGCAGTCTCAGGAGCCAACCAAATAGCCTCTCTATAGCCACAAATAATGCTCAGAACAGCACCTAACTTCAACAACAGCACTAGCCACCAAACATCTTTTTAACTTTGCTTAATTTCTTTAGCAAAGAGACTAAACACAGCTCACCCGCTCTCCTCCAGCAGCCGCTTGTTTGCAGCGAGACCTCAGGCCAGTCTATTACAGACTGCTGCGGGGTGATGCAGCTCAAGGAAGAACATTTATGCTCCTATCTTTATCATTTCCTTGAAGTAATAATCACCATATTAATCATTTTGCACTGCAGACGCGGTAGTTCTTCTGTCTTGGCGTCTTGGTCTGATTGCATTTCCATGAAGAAATGATTACAAAATAAGCAAGCAGTCGGCAACATTCATCTCTCGAGGGGGTGTCTAACTCGGTGTTGCGGTGTGTTTGACCCTAAATAAATTTTACGCCAGAATATCCCTTTAAAGACAAACATAAGATAAGTTTTCAGGATTAAAGCTTGGTTAGCCTCCCTATGTATGTGGTGCTGTTCCAAATACTATGCAAACCATGACCTTGGATCAGATCAGGACTCTGTTCACAACAACAAAATCCCAGGACGGGATTCAGCCTGCCGACTGATCAGACAGTAGAACAGCTGGACTTCAAGAGTTAACCAACGGTTGACAGGCAACAGGAGCAAAGCCCAGAAACAGATGTGTAGGTGTGTATGTGTGTAGTTTTAAAACCGTGTTCTCGCCAGTTGAGTAGAGACAGAGTGGACCATATATCACCAGCTATCTCACACGCTACATACCATCTTGGTTTAAGGGGAGCAGAAAGTCGAACCTTAAGCAAGTTGCTGGATATCATCGTATTTATAATACTGAAAACCAATCAAGTACAGCTAATAGAAATGGGTGAAAGCCAGAGCATGGTGACATGTAAGCCAAAAGTATACATAATAATAAAAACAATAAAGTTAGGATGCTTCACTTTGGTTGCTGCTCTTCTTGTACATGTAGTTACTAGTTTATATCCAAATGTTTACAAGAAGTTTGAAGAACAGATGACCAGAGAGGAGTATTCCTTATCTGCATAGTGAGTTTATATTCCTTTGTTGGGGGCAGATTAATCTCGAACACTAGATAAATATTTATCATTTGTTTTCACACTTCCTACGACGTGTACACAAACTGAGAAGGCCATGAATCACTGCATAACAATGGCCATGTGTGAATACAGCTGCTGATGTTCTGTTTTCAAGGATACATAAACATTAGATTTTTGGCTGTGAGAAACACAGAATGTGAAAAAAACTGATTTACATTATTGTAAATGTGTTTAAGCTGTCAACAAATCCAGACAGCACAGTCTTTCCCCTGACTTTTTGTTTGGTTTTCTCTAAAATGTTACGTGCTGCTGTCTGATTCACTGAACCTGACTTCATCTTTATCTCTGTCATTTCTCTTAGTCTTTGAGCCATCCTACGCTGATTCAAACTGTGCTGTGAGACAAGGTCACTTAGCACAACTACTGAGACTGGATTAGATGAAGCACAGAAACAGGTTCTTTTGATTTTGACAGAGAGCAGACTTTATTAAAGCGTGCATTATCACGTTCACCTTGTGGCAGGACCATAGGGACAATTTCCTGCTGCCCTCTGTAGTTATTGGTCACTCTAGATTGTATCTTCCATTCAGCTAAGTGGAAGTCAATCTGGAAAGCTTTCTTTAGACCCCTTAGCTGCAGAGGAATGAGGGACAACGTGGGCACAAAATCCCTCCATAACAAATAAATCAACCCGGCAACACTCTTGCCAGGCACCTTGCTTTTTCTTAATTATTCCCATTAGCAGCTGAAGAGTCTTTGGCATGCATCACTGTCCTGGAAATCGACTCTGCAGACTGACCAGGATGTGAAAAATGACTTCTAATACCACATGGAGGCTAATTACAGGGGAGAGAGCAAATGTGATAATATTCTCTATGCAGGGTTTGAAGACCCAAGGCATGCTACCGGAAATCCGGCGCGGCGAAGCGGGGCACAGCTTCTTTTTTACACCCATTTAAACCAGGACACTGTGGAAGCCCATTTCCGCCAGTCAAAAAAAAAAAAAGTCGAAATTATGAGATAAAAAGTCGAAACTATGAGATTTAAAGTCATAATTATGAGACTTTAAAGTCATAATTATGAGATAAAAAGTCGAAATTATGAGATAAAAAGTCATAATTATGAGATTAAGAATTGAAATTATGTGATAGTAAGTGCGCATGTTTTATGGCGCCGTCTTCAAGGTCTCACTTCACCTCACTGGACGCACCATGCAAATGATACTCATCAGTAAATTAGGAAATTATTATAGGTGTTTTTGATAGATATTAAATATTACTATTCATTTAATCAGCCCGTCCGTGCTGCTAAACAAATTACAATGTTATTTTGACAATATCTTTCAGCTGTCAGTGAATCATCGTTTTGAAGTAACGTTTATGCCACTAAATGGTGACACTGAGACAGGAACAGTGTCCGTACTTTCTACCTGTGAGTTGCATTATGTTACTTAGAGTCGGCTACAAATGTCTCCACAAAGGTCTTTGTTAAGAGTTGGTAAGTGTTATCAGAGCTAGTTTTACACAGTGTACAATTTTCACATGACTTTTCAACATGCTGGAGAACACAGCGTTAAATGTAAACTCGACTTTTTATCTCATAATTATGACTTTAAAATCTCATAATTTCAACTTTTTATCTCATAATTTCAACTTTTTATCTCATAATTTTGACTTTTTAATCTCATAATTTCAATTTTTTTATCTCATAATTTTGACTTTTTAATCTAATAATTTTGACTTTTTAATCTCATAATTATGACTTTAAAATCTCATAATTATGACTTTTTATCTCATAATTTAGACTTTTTATCTCATAATTTTGACTTTTTAATCTCATAATTTTGACTTTTTATCTCATAATTATGACTTTTTAATCTCATAATTATGACTTTTTACCTCATAATTTTGACTTTTTTTTTTTTTGACTGGCGGAAATGGGCTATCATACTACACAGAACGACTGCATTCTGGACAAATTATATAAATTCATTCAATAATTATATTTTTTCTAGCGAGAAAGTAAGTGTTTACATCACGATTATGAGCCCAGTTGTTTGAAATAGTGGCTGTTTGTAAATTTGTCTCAGCGTTTTCGGAGACCGAAGCGTCCACTTGGTGGGTGTTTACGTCTATTTACCGTAAACACCGGGCAGCAGCAGCTCCCCCTGCACGTTTCCAAATTATTGCGAAGTGTTTTCATAATCAACATCTACACGACACAAACCGGGCGGCAGTGGATGAAAAAAATCACACAAACATCTGTGTATCCATGGTGATAATGCTATACACCACCTGCTGGGCGTGTGATGACATAATTATTATGACCTCGTTCGGTTATTCCTTGGCAAATACATCATTTCCCGACTACATTCTTTTCATGTACAATGATAACTTCAGAAACCATCAGATTTTCAACCACAAGTAAGAACTAGTAAAGCTCACATACATTGTCAACTGGAAACTCCCCCGTTTGTATATTCTGAACCATGTGCTCTCTGCCAATAATAATTTTTATTATGTGTTTAATATGAGTGACCACTTTGATGATGCATTCAGAGATGAGAAGATGCTCAAACTTGATGTAATAAATACATCTTTAATAGACACTTAAATAAATAAAGTCAATTCATACGAATAGTTTAAAACATTACCTATAATCCTAATTTAAAATACAAATAAATCTGGTAAAAAGATCAAAATATGATAATGTGTAATGTATACTGACTAAATATTATTTATCTACTTATATATATATATAATCATTATTGCAATCACATGCCATCTATTTCTTTTCAGCCTCGGGAAAGAGGTCCATATTACCAGCTGAGGTGTGCAATGCATTGTGGGGCAGAAGCAGTACATAAAGCAAGCTCCATTCCACACTCAGAAATCGAAGCCGATTGAGTATACATCAGGGCATTTCTCGCATACACAAAATTCGCATACTGTACAGTGTGAACGCACTGCCTACTCAATTCAGAGGCGGGTTTAGTACGAGTAGTCGGAGTAGTAGGCCATTTCGGACACAGCCAATGACTCAGCACTCTGCACTGGAGCTCAAGGACTTGTATCACCTTCCCAAACCTGACTTCACTCAAGCCAATCAGGTACTCACACACCTGGTGCTGCTCTGGACTGATTTCCTCCTACAACTCAAAGAATGACCACAGTGAACTGCCTTTCACACCAGATGGTGATCATGCAGTCCACACCCTGGCTCTCACATGCACCAGTTTCTGCAAGATGGAGAAACAAGATGGAGATGGAGAGGCTCTGACATCACAATGACATGTAGAATGTGATGTCACACGATGACATCACATTCTACATGTGATGACATCACATTCTAGCTTGATCCTTTGATCTTCAAAGGAATGTGATGTGATGTCACACGATGACATCACATGTAGAAGGAGGTATTAAAGGCAGCCGCACACTTGTTGGCAAGAGTCAGGTAGGAGCTACTACAGAGACGAACAACAGTTTAGAGCAGTCGACTGAAGACTTTCATCAGAAGAACCATGTCCAGAGCAATTGCACCTGAATTTGTGGGACCGCTGGCCTGCCGGCCCATGGCACCACTTCAACAGGAGCTTGCCAGTGCTCGCGCTGAGATTATAAATCTTAGAAACGAGCAAAGTGGTGAACAGGCGGCATGGATGCGTGAGAGGGTAAAGCTGGGCTACAGAATTCACAACGGGAAGTACAAAGTGAACCGTCTGGAGGGACTCATTGACGTCAGAGAAAATGGATTCAAGGAAGAACTCCAGAGTAATGTCCAGACTATTGAAAGGATGGAGGCTGAGATCCAACGCCTCAACAGCAGCCTCAAATTAAAAGACGAGCAGGTGGAGCTTATCCAGCACCTGCAGAAGGAGCAGGAAGAGAAGATGTGGGCTCAACTTAAGGAGGAGAGACAGAAAGTTCATGAGCTCCGAGAACAGCTTTTTCAGGCGTCTCAGGAGAACCTGAAGGCTGTCTCTCTGAGCAAGAACAATGAAACAATGTTGAGGCTCACAAAACAGCAGCTTGAGCAGAGGGACAACCACATCATGGAGCTGAGGAGGGAGAAAGAGGGTGTCACTCAAAGACTCATTGAGACCACAACTCAGCTGCAAAACAATGAGAAACAAAGGAAAGACCTGGAGGAGGAGAACCAGATCCTGAAGACCAGAGTCAGTGAGCTGGAGAAAAGGAATAAAGATCTGGTGGGAAAGGAGGAGACTCTGACCTTCAGAGTTGAAGAGGCCGAGACGGCAAAAGAAAGAGTGATTGAGAAGGAAAAGACTCTGACAGACAGAATTCAAGAGTTAGAGGAGGAGAAGAGGGAGCTGACTCATCTTGTCTCTCTAAAGAAAAGACGCTTCCTGTCCAGAGTCTTTCAAAAGGAGACAGAGGAGGAGAAAACCCTCCGAAAACAACTTAAAGAGAAGAAGAAGGAATTAAGGCAGCTGAGAGAAAGAGAAAAAGCGGAGGAAAGAGAACAAGAAGAAGAGCAAAGAGAACAAGAGGAAAGAGAACATGAAGAGGAGAAAACCAAAAACCAAGACAGGGGGGAAAAGAGAGTCAAAAAAGGTCTTTGGACTTTGAGAAAGAAGAAAAACAGAGACACCCAGGTGGAGGAGGTTCCTAACCTTGACCCTTTCACCCCAACCCTCTGACATTTCCTCAACCCCCTCACCTAAACTAAATAAATATATACCTAAACTAAATAAATAAATAAATAAAAAAAATAAAAAAAAAAAAAAATCCCCCTCCTCGAGCCACCACCTTACCGTGGTGGAGGGGTTTGCGTGTCCCAATTATCTCAGGAGCTAAGTTGTCGGGTGCATTATGCCTCTGGTATGGTCACCCAAGGCAAACAGGTCTTGAGAGAGGGATCAGACTAAGGGTGGCTCAAATAGACCTTTTATGATGGGTAGTAGATTTACTATATACTGAGTTTTACTCATCCCCCGCATTACACTCATCAAAGTGACGCAAAGCAGTAAGAAAGCAAGTGTTTATTGTTGAGTTTTACATTCTGTCTGCTCTCTGATTTGGTTTTTTCTAAGCGGGCATGGGATACATTTGTCGCTGTAAAAGGCCATTAATAAGGCTTTTCAGGATGTCAATTACATATGGTTAGCTAAACACTGTCACAATACCATATTGTATTGTATTGTATCCTATGTAGTATAATATCGTATCATATTGTACAGTATCATATCATATAGTATTGTATCATATTGCATCGTATCGTATAGTATGGTATTGCACCATATCATATCATATCACATCATGTCATATAGTATCATATCGTATCATATTGTTCTATATTGTATCATATCATATCATAACACATTCTCCTCGCTAGTATAGTGGTGAGTATCCTCGCGTGTCACGCGGGAGACCGGGGTTCGATTCCCCGACGGGGAGTGGAAATCAGAATGGAAAGTGTCTGTCTTCTCACTGGGTGAGGCCACTCTGAGAACAGCACCCTCTGGTGACATGCTGCAGTATAGGTCATTAATCCCACCTCCTCCGGCAAAGCTTATGGAGCTGTGGACAAACTTTAGAGATTTATTACACAGAATATACATTTTTTTCCCCCTGCTTGCGATGTTGACATGTAGTTACTGTAATACTGGTTTGTGCTCAAGTCCTCTTTTTTCTGTACATCTCCATTTTTAAAAGTCATTAGGGGGTTCATGTTTTCTATGACTGACACTCGATACAGCCTATAGGTGTACGAAGACTGCGTAGCTCACCCAGCCGTTTGAGCTGAGCGTCATCTTAGCGACTCTGGGTGACTCTGTGGTGGAGTGCTTACAACGCTACTGCGCAATGTTGCTTTCAGGAAGTGGAGAAAAACGCAGAATTACCGAGAGCTTCAAATCCGTATACTGGTGGAATGCGGAACCAGGTTGTCCATAGTATATACAGTCTGTGGTCGGAACTCTGAGGAGCACAGAGAGAATCTGTCACTTAAACAGAGGATAAGACAATGGCTGTGTCCGAAATGGCATACTGCCTACTATCTACTTCCCTACTCAAGCAGTAGCTACTGCCTACTGACTACTCAAAGATGATTTGAGTATGCCGCGGCTGCCCGAGCGTTTACATACAGATGCATACTAAATACCCCAGAATGCATTTCGTGCCGGCCGGACGCAGCGCCGGGAAAATTTAAATAGTCCTACCATAAGCTACACTATGGAAACCCATTTCCGCCAGTCAAAAAAAAAAAAAAAGTCAAAATTATGAGATAAAAGGTCATAATCATGAGATTAAAAAGTCATAATTATGAGATAAAAAGTCAAAATTATGAGATTTAAAGTTTTACACAGTATACAATTTTCGCATGACTTTTCAACATGCTGGAGAACACAGCGTTACATGTAAAACTAGCTCTGATAACACTTACCAACTCTTAACAAAGACCTTTGTGGAGACATTTGTAGCCGACTCTAAGTAACATAATGCAACTCACAGGTAGAAAGTACGGACACTGTTCCTGTCTCAGTGTCACCATCTAGTGGCATAAACGTTACTTCAAAACGATGATTCACTGACAGCTGACAGATATTGTCAAAATAACATTGTAATTTGTTTAGCAGCACGGACGGACTGATTAAATGAATAGTAATATTTAATATCTATCAAAGACACCTATAATAATTTCCTAATTTACTGATGAGTATCGTTTGCATGGTGCGTCCAGTGAGGTGAAGTGAGACCTTGAAGACGGCGCAATTAAAACATGCGCACTTAGTATCACATAATTTCGATTTTTAATCTCACAATTATGATTTTTTAATCTCATAATTTTGACTTTTTATCTCATAATTATGACTTTAAAATCTCATAATTTTGACTTTTTATCTCATAATTTCAACTTTTTATCTCATAATTTTGATTTTTTAATCTCATAATTTAGACTTTTTGTCTCATAATTATGACTTTTTAATCTCATAATTATGACTTTTTATCTCATAATTTCGACTTTTTTTTTTTTTTTTTGACTGGCGGAAATGGGCTTCCATAGGACACAGTGGCGGCTGGTGAGAAAAATAATAGTTGTGGCTGAAGTTTTGGAAACCAGAGCCCTGTACGGGGGTCTGGGGGTATCCTCCCCCTAGAGATTTTTTTTTTTCGTTTTCAAAAAGTAAATGAAGCATTCTGGTGCTTTCTAAGAAAATATTTAAGGAAACATACGATGTTGACCTACAAAGACAAATGGGGTGGGGATATTGTATTTCAACGTATTAACAGGGTATGATAGCTGACACACAGCCTACCTACATTCAAAGTAATCCTATGATATAGAAACTGACAGCAGCATACTCTTACTCGTGTACATCCACCTGCATCTCAACAGGTTAGGCTACAGCAAAGGAGCATGCAAAGACAACTGCAGAAAAATAGCGAAGAGCAGACCCACATTTATAACTTTGGTGGGAGAGTCACTGAGAGTCGCCATGATGATGCTTGGCTCAAACAGCATATCCCTGGGTGAGCTACGCAATCCCTGAACGCCCATAGGCTGTATCAGGTGTCAATCATAAAAAACATGAACCTCCTAACAACTTTTAAAAATGGAGCTTCACAGAAAAAAAGAGGACTTGAGCACAAACTAGTCTTACTGTAACTACATGTCAACATCACAAGCAGGGGGGAGAAAAAATTATGCTCTGTGTAAAAAATTTCTAAAGTTGGTCCACAGCTCCATAAGCTTTGCTGGCAGAGGCGGGATTTATAACCTATACTGCAGCCCGTCAGCAGAGGGTGCTGTTCTCGGAGTGGCTTCACCCAGCAAGGAGGCAGATGCTGTCCATTCTATATACAGTCTATGTTAGCAGCCAAGTGCAGAGTGAGGGGCGGACCGGCTCCGAGTAGAGCAGCTAACTACGTCAGATGCACATTGTAGCCATGCGTCCGTTTTTGGCCAATATGAGCGTGCTTACGTCACTCAAATTAGCGCTCATCCCTGGTGCCCCTTAAGGATTTTTTTCATTTGGCTAGGATAAGCTCACTTTTTAATGCAGAACTGTGATCTGAGCATGCGTGAGACAACAGACGTTCCGGGTCCGCCCCGGCGCTGGGTGGAGAGATCACTAATGGACTGAAATACACATTTAATGGAATGATTAATAAATACGATTAACGACTAACTCCTAGCGCATTCTGTGGCCACCCTACATGTGCTTTATGAAGTAAGTTAACAATGCCGGAGGCAGACAGCAGCGGAGGAGAAGCATCCATTTTTAGCAAAGGCAGTGAGATTGAGAGATGTTTGTGGATGCCCAAGAAGTTTTCGAAGGCTTCACAAGAGCCAGCTTCCCAAGGAACAGGGCGGCACGTTCTAAAACTGCGCCGCTAGCGAGTCTGTCACCCCACAATCGGGCGGACGCACGCATGGATGCATCCACGGTAACCAAGGAGTTTGGGCCAATCAGAGGCAGAGCGCACCTAAAGCCTCCTTTCAGTCTTCTGCAGTACTGCAAGCCTCCTCTCAGTCCCTGGGACTCAAAGTCTTCTTCCAGTCCTCTGCTGGACCTCAAACTTCATTTCACTCATCTGCAGTACTCCAAACCTCCCCTCAGTCTTCTGCAGTACTCCAAACCCCCCCTCAGTCTTCTGCCACATTGAAAGGGAGTGGCTTTAACATGTTGATGGACTTTGCTTATGAACCCAAAAGAATGAGAAAATAAGACAAACTTCACTTTTTCAATGGAAAAAAGTGAATATTTTTTGTATGTGTTGTGTCTGGTCTGATTTGATTTAATTTATTTTATTTTATATTGTAAGATTTCTATCAAAGGGCAAGCTTCCTAAGCTGTCATGATCATAGTTGTATTGTTTCTTGTGTACCAAGTCAGTCAGTCTTAAGTCCTCTGCTAGGTTTAAAGCATCCTCTAATAAGTTATTATACAGATTGAATATTAAAATCCTTTAAATTTCAATTAATTATTTCTTAAATTCTTTTAGGTTACCCCCCGAAAAAAAAAGGAAAAAAAAAATTTCAGGTGCAGGATTTTTTCCTGCTTCAAGCCCTGTGTATGTCTTGCATTTGCTGACAAGAATTAGGAAATAAAGAGTAGGCAGCTATTTTTTTTTTCAATAGGACATCTTTTTCCTTTAAACTTTCTCCATTATTTGCCTAACGACGCATTACAAGGCTATAATCATTACATGATGTTTAAAGCATCCCCCTGTACTTTTAAGCAGAAAGCAAAAATCTGTGTGATAAGAAACACCTGAAAGGTCCTTGAAGAGCGAGTTTTCTTTGAGGGGAGAGACAGATGAGTGTAACATCTCTCTCCCTCGGCTAGTCAATGAACCTTACTCATGTGGAGCATGGTAATCAATAGGAACATAGAAGCTTCAGTTTCCAGCAGTGCAAAACTGACTGCAAGATTTATTTGGTTAATTAGCTGGAAAAGAGGGGGGAAAAAAACAATACAAAATGCAGTTGGCCCCTCTTCTTCTTCTTCTTCCCACACTTTCCACTCAGTTTCTCTCCTCATAACATCAAAGACACAATAAACGCCTGTGAACTCATTGTGTGCAGAATACAAATAAACATTGCATAATAATGATAACAGATAAGACAACATGGCCACAGTCTATCTCCTTAAAAACATTCAAAAGGGACAGCCGTGGTTATTAAATAGAACAATAACGGTCAAAGTCAGCAATTAATAGTCTTCACACCACTGAGCTGATAGAAGCTAATGCAGACTTATAAATATAAATGGCTGAAAATGCAGCAGATGAGTCCATGGCTGTTATCTGCTTATAGAGCCACAATTGATGCTAAAACACAGTTTAATAATTATTTGCATCTAATTAGTGAAATTGACTTTTAATGTAATTTATTTTTATAATCTGACTAAAAGTCAAAACAGCTTCCCATGTACTGTCTTATCTGAGAGCCAATAAATAAAATAAGGAATAGATCAAAAGTAGCTGAGGTTTTTAAAACTGAAGGCTTCAAATTAATTTGGGTGGATTTAAATATCTGGTGTAATAAGCTGATGGTTTAACTCAAAGGAAAAAGTTTGACAAAGCATTGAGGCCTGTAGACTAAGACTTCATCAACAACAACAGTTAAATGAATTACACTCACTGATCAGGAGATGTTTAAATTTCTGGGATAGATGGGAGACCTTGATAGATCACTATTTTGTGTATTGTGACAAAATAGAAATAGCTATAAATAATAAATAATATAATCACCATACATGAAGCATGCATGTCTTAAATGAGCTTTTCAGAAGTGCTGAAGCTAAAAATGGAGGGTTTTTTTTGGGATCCATTTCCCCAGACTGTCCTTATAATGAGTCCATCTGTACAACTGCTTTAGACTTTCCTGTCTGGTATGTACAGACAACGTTTTTAATAGACAGTCAAACTTGGATGACTAAGTATAGGGCATGATTGACAGAGTCTTTAGATCAATGTTGCAGAGCCCACCCATCTTTATTGATTGTTTTCTTTTAACAATGAAACATAATACAATAGGATGGTTTTCCAAATGTTCACTATAGAGGAAGCACAAGATGATAAAACAGTTCAGTGCAAGAACTTGTTACTGAAAATAACCTAAGCAATCCACCTCAGCATCACATCAAATGTGTCTTGATCGTAATTATGCCAGTACAGTGGACTGATGTTTGGATAGTTTCTCAGTGAAGGAGCTGTGCAGCAAACATCCTCGTCAGGCTCATTTGGATCAGCCTGACTGCAGTGGCACGCATCCCCATGTCATGACAATCCTCTCTGGAGGAGTGCTTGCATCTCTTCTGGCACCAAGGTGACTTCTACTGTGTGCTACTCTGCTGAATGCAACCCTGTGATAAGATAAGAGAGGGGCATAGAGTTACTGCCCCAGAGATACAAGCTAAAGAGGAACGAGCTTAGTAAGCATGGCATTCAGGTCCTATCCAGTACCTGCGAGAGAATTTACTGTGGTTGTCAGTCTATTCATAAGGTAGAGACCTTTCCCCTGCTCTATCTAAGAGTTATAACAGAAACAGTTTTAAAGAGTAGTGCCAGTCAAAAATGATGTTTGTTTGTTTTTTAAAGCTAATATTGAATGTTATCACCTAAAAACACAGTTAAAAACTCACAGGAAAAAGATTGAATAAACATAGACTGGTTGTTAAAGGCTGCCGGAGGAGTACGACTTTTGGAGCCCTGAGATTGCCTTGGTGGTTAGTCTCAATAGAGAGATACAATGAGCAAAATTGGCACTGCAAAAGACATAAAAGACATAAACGTAGAGATATAAACTGCATGAAAATTATCGTGATGTTTGAGATTAAATATTTTCTATCTCATCTTGAAATGACAATACGCTGCTACCTTCGGTTGACCTCTTACATTGCAGTGACAGGGCAGTAGAGCTGGGTAATTGATCGGATATCAATTTCAATTAGGATTATGGCTCCCATGATCATAAATTTATGATAATGGAGACTGAACAATACTGCCAACTTACTGTGTCTCACTCATTTGTCCTACGAGGTGAACAAAGTGCCCTCCCTCTCTGCCAACACTGTGCTGTGCCTCTCCCCCTTTAACAGCTGATTCAAACTTGGATCAGAGTGCGATGAAACGTGGGAACATGAGGAAGTTGCAGATTCTATTAATGGGCTGCTGTGTCTTCAACATGTTTTACTGCAGCATTAAAAACTATTATGCAGCCTAAGGCAAAGAGATGAGAGAAGTAAGAGGAGGCAGGTGTATGCATGTGGGTATGTGTGTGTCTGAAAAGGCGAGGGACAGAGAGGCTGTAGCAATCATGAGTGTAGATGTGAGCGTATAATCTAATCCTTATTCTGATGTTATAGAGATGCAGGCTTGAAAAGGCTGAATGATATGTTGGATCTTCAGCTTGAAACAAAAATGTAAGTGGTGGAGGAGTTCAGCTCCTCGAGTTTTTAATGATGCTTTAAAATTCCTTCTCTACTACACGTGAAAATCTGCTCTTTAGTTCAGAATTGAGTTAAAGCTGTAAGTGAAGTAAAAGATTGAAGCATGGCTCCTGTCAATACTGATATAGAGGTTTTTTAATATATTTTCAAGTTAGATCAAAGGTCAGAGCTTCTGAAGAAATGTAATTCAATAGGCCTATGACCAACACCAAGTAAGCCAGCTGAGCTGGTTGAAGGCCAGTTCACTTCAAATTTAGTTCTGTGCTGAAGATTGTCTTTTATCTGATACCTGCTGCAAGGAATGTAAGGCTGCTGTGAGAGTGATCAGGTCAGTTGTTCTATTTTACAGCACTGCCTACATGAAAACAAAGAAATGTCAGAAAAGGAAAGTTCACAACTTTAGACTAAAAAACATCAGCTAATCTAACTGATGATATACACGTGTAAGGTGAAATCTAGGAGAAAAAGAGCAAACGCGGAGTGGAGTGATAAAAAAAAAAAACTCTCTGGACAAACTTAGACCAGGTAACTTTAAAAATACACTTAAAGCTGGTCAGTTGTGTAATCAACTTTATGTTTGACCTTTGGGTGTTTTTTGGCAGTGTTTCAGACCCGATTGTATGATTTTCTCAGGCCTTGTAAAACAATGTTGATAGAACACAAAAGACAAGAGTAGATGCTTTTTGCTGACTTACTTTGAATGCAGAATAAAATTTCACCCCTTTAACCGTAAACTTAAGAGAGAGAGAGAGAGAGAGAGAGAGAGAGAGAGAGAGAGAGAAAGGAAGAAGAAAGGATTGATGTTTCAGCATCTCTCTCATTATCTCCAAACTGTTCACACTTCAGCCCTTCAGCTACACGTAAGCTAATATTGCTGAACTTACAGGGTAGCCTTGTTTTACTGAGTGCACATATTTTTTCTGTAGAAGACCTCCCGGACACCCCTGAAATCAAAGTGGAAGTGATACTCGCTCTCTTACATCGCTGCCATTCAGCTGAAGAGCAGCAGTCCTCACAGCAAAGTTAGATTCTGTGTCTGGAAGTAATTTTCAGCTGCACAGCAGGTGGTTATTGGTATAACGGCTGCTTTCGGACAGAACATGTTAGCCTCTGCCAGACAGTGAGACTGTTGCTCAAAATTGCCAGCAGTACAGCACAAACGTAGTCGGAGGGCAAGGTGCAGTGTTGCGGCAGTCAATAAGCCATCTGTCTCTGGGACTGAACCAGAACACCCTTCAAGGATGAAACACTTTGTTCCCGTTTTGAACAGTGTGTTCGGGAGGAAATACAAGACTGGGAACAAAGTTGGGGGCAGGGGTTGTGTTGGTCTGGGTAAATATAGCATAACAGACTCTTATCGACAGTCTGTTATTTATTAGAGTCATTAGATGAAAAAAAGTATACCAAGGTGCTGTCATGGGTTTGTGTTTAAGGGGTTCTATCCAAATTCACTTGTAAAACATCCTTGAGGATACTGCCACTCGTGTAGAACTGTTCAAATATTTTTCACAACGAACTCAAATAAATGGATCAGAGAGAGAAATCAGTGGGTTTCAGTTCTTTGTCAGATAAGGTAATGTCTTATTTGGTCCGTGCAAAAGGAAACAAGAAACTTCTGCTCTTTCTTTACCACTTTATTAAGTAGTGAGAATGAAACAGTTTGAATCCTAAAGGTATAAACTTCTAATTGTATCTTTAAAGTAATTACTGTCTGTCAGTCTGAGGTGTTAAACCCAGATATCTCAGATGCAATGTAAAGATACTACAGAGGCTTGGTGCATCTCAGCACTCTGCCCTGACATGCCAACATTTGAACGATGAGCTCCTGTATGCTGCCTTTACCGGTATAAGCAAGGTGACATATTTGTTAGAGTGAGCTCGAGAGAGATTCAGCATCAGTCATGAGGGGTGACATGTTTGCTTTTCTGATCGTCACTCAGGCAGAGGTTTGTTTTGAAAGCAAAGTGAGCAGGCAGGGAAACTGTCCTGACAAGCTTTGTGCTCGAACCTCAGGTCAAGTTATAGTTTGACATGTTTTCATATCAACAGTGCAACATTTCCACCTTTGCAGACTTTGGTAGTCTGCAGGATGAGGGTTAACATTTGTATGAGACTACTGAACCCAACATCACATCCTGCATACAATGCCCCAGGTGGAGTATCTTCTTCTCGGTACCTGAAAAATACTCAGGTAACGACTACTATTGCCATCAGTACTGAATAAAAAAATAACATTCAATATAAAACACTGGTAAAAGATTGTTTTGAATGAATGCTTTAGTTCAAACATGCAGTAAATAAACAAAACAGAATATAGGTAGTAACCAAACACATGCATACCATAAATAAAAGAAAAACATGGATTGTTGGCAACAACCTGCATGTGTAGTCAATCTACATGTTCAAAAAATAGTAGGAAGAAGTTTACACCTATTTAATCCTACCCTTTAATCAACAGTTCCTACAGTCATATTTTAATATACACATATACATATACATATACATCATACACATCTATACAAACATATATGTATACTTATACATATACACACATACATACATACATACATATACAAATATACATACCACAACATATGTACATATATCTACACATTTTATAACACTGGTTTGTTTTTGAACTTGATATGATTTTAATAGATGCTGGGAAAGATGTATTATACTAGTGATATCAGGCCTTGCAAGGGTGGATGTGGATTTGATGCTGATTATGTCAAAATGCCGATAATTGTTATAGTAAATCACTGCATCCCCTCTTGTAACCTGGGACATGTAAGCACTACATGATAAGGGTGTATAAGAGTTTTCCACCTCAGGCTTGATGCCACAAGAAGAGGGTCACCATGGGAAATATCAAGGTACATACAACCTCCATTTCACAGGCAGCTCAGTGGAAATAATTGTGTAAGTGTGATAAAAAACAGGCCTGCTGAGTTATTGGTGCGTTTTCCGTACAAGGTGAACTGTGTCATAAGGCAGTAACCTGTGTTTATCTCCTGCAAGTCAGCGAGCAAACGCCATTAAGAAAAACCTCCCTGTGATGTTGTGATTCGGTTGATGCAGTGCCGTTTTTGACAAGTAAAGTCAAAGGCTTGGAGCCGCACAGCTGCAGAATTGATCGCATTAACAAGTTGAGCATGAGTGTCACTTTTTCTTAGTTGATGTGCACAGGTTCTATTACAGATGTGCATCAGTCAGAAGAACTGTAGCAGCATTTACAAGCTAGAAGACTCTGCATGCTGCTGGCACTTAGTCCTTCAGCAGCCTCACTTACCTCTCATATTTCACTAATGTGGTTCAGCTCTATCCACCACACACATGCTCACTATCACTAACACAGATACACAGACACTTAGCTCATATTCTGCATAGAATGATTGATCACGCATATCAAATCAAGTTTAAATCTAACTTCTTTCACATAAAAGGCCATTTTAATGCATTTTGTAGAGCAGCTTTCAGTGATTCTTCTCAGTTTCTCTGGTTAATTATTGATCTGAGCAGTCTTTAGAGCTGTGAATAATTAACATGGCTGTGTTGTGGCTGTCAGCACGGTAGCAATCACAGCAACGCATCAAAACAATATTGAGAGGAGTCTTTAATTATGCAGTGTTACAATCTTGCACATTTAGGTGTCCATAGACTAATTTCTGCTGTGTGAGTTCAGGCAGGTGCTTTGCACATTACTACAAAGCGATGAAATAGTCACAAAACATTACAAATTAACTGTTGATCAGCTGCTTGAAGCATGCTGGTTTGCCAGAGATATACACGACGCAACAACTTTTTTTTAAAGATCTTTATTTTCAAATTCTCCAGCTTCATCAAACACTGTTAAAGACGGTCTGTTGTATTAAACAGACTCTTGAAATCACGTAAAAAATGGACAGTGTAGTGGAGCGGATGTGAAGGGAAATTGTTGTCTTGTTGTAGGCAGGTAAATTTGCATATTTAGTGAAGTTTCTTTTTAGTTTGGTGTTGTGTTTGTGTCACTCAGCATCTCATCTTTGAGACTTTATTTGCAGCACAAATACAGCACAGAGCTGCAAAAAAACAAAGAGGATCACATGTTAAGCTCTCATAAACAACAACAACAAAATTTTTTCAGCAGGAAATGTGACACTTACCTGTTTCCCCTGTATTTTGAAGAGGGAGTCTTTGGGAAGTGGTAGAGTGGGAGGGCTTGTTGTTCTGTTGGAAGTCTTAGGGCTCTATTTTGGTGCCTCACCGGAGACGTGCCGCAAGCGCAGCGTCAATCAGATCCGCCGCGCTGACAAGGCGTTCCCAAGCACATTTTGGTATTTTGGTGAGCCGCGCAGCCCGGCGTAAGTATCCCCCTCCCTAACTCAGCTCCTCCCGGCAGCATAAGTCATAGACGGGGAGGAGAGAGGGCGTGGAGTCGGTTTAACACAGCCGAGACCTGTTTCCACCAATCAAATAAGCTCCTCTCCTTGCCTTTAAATCCGCCACCGGCGAGGCGTATTACTATTTTCATGAAGTAGTCAAAGAGATCAAGAGATGTCTGAAGACAGTTATGCCACACGATGGCGACAGAGGGCAGCTCCTCAACAAGTGTCCTCCACACTCTCTCATCTGAGCACAGATGGATTTGGTGTGCGTAATGTTGGACCCACTGGTAAGACAAACACCCTTTTCCACAAATAATGACACTCACATAAAGTTGCATATATTCAAACCTCACGTGACAAAGGTGGGTTGAGCGCACAGATCACAACATAAACTCCACAAATGGCATTAAAATCAGAACCATCTGTGCGTAAATGACGCATCGCGCTCCGTGGCCTGGCTCTTTCTTTCATGGATGTTGGCATATAAAATAAATTTGGCCCACAAAACTGAATATTATAATATCCGTATGTCGGCTTAAAGTAGATAACGCATCTGAGCACTGAAACAAATCATCTGTTCAGCCGCAGCAGCAGCAGGAAGACGGACAGAGGACACGGAGACGTGTCCAGGTCGAGCTGTGCGAGAAATAAGAGGAAGAAAGAAAAGGAGGGAGACAAGTTACATATCTTGTTAACTTCATCATGTGTGTTTATTTACTAGATATTTAATTTAATTTGATGCAGTTTCAGCTGTATTGATTCGGTCAGGTTGTGTGTCCAAACGCGTGCCAAACGCGCTCATCAGATCAGATATAGATCAGAATATATCTATATAGATCTAAATGTATGTGCTGACTCAGATTAATAGTTGATGATGATTACTTATTGCACTGAAATCTGCCTGACACTGTGGAAACCTGCCGGTGAGGTATCAGTGACATATGTCGATACGCCGCCGGTCTACCAAAATACTGCTAGACCAGCTGCGTTCCGCCTTGCGCTGAAAGCTGACCAGGTTTGAATCGGCGAGCTTTCAGCGCACGTTACACGCCGGTGGCGAGCATGAAAATGTCACTGCGCCAGCTGATTCTGTCAACACCTCCCCCTGCCACGCCACCACGCCCAGCTTGGCGGATCTCGGCTCGCCTCCGTGCGACTCAGTCCACGAAAATACCAAACTCGCCTTACGCCGGGCTCCGCCAGACGAAAATACAACTTTGGGAAGTGGTAGAGTGGGAGGGCTTGTTGTTCTGTTGGAAGTCTCAGTCTTGAAGCCTTTAAAAAAATGTTATTCTTCTATCTTCTTTATTTGAATAATACATTTAATACGTCTGTGTTCTGTTATGGTTTTGTATAGCAATACACGACATAGAGAAAAAAGAAGAGTAATTATTTCCAGTATTATGCTGCCATCCTTTTAACCTAAAAATGTGCTCTCTCTTTGGCTTTTAGATCTTCACAGGTCACTCCGAATGGTAACAGATGTGAATGTGCCCATCAATGGTTGTTTGTATGTCTAATAGTGTACCCTGCCCGCCTCCCCTGTTCTGTGTAAGTGAACGTATGAGGGTGCACTTCAAGTGTACTTTGTGTGGCCTTCCATTGACCTCCGCAGTGCTGCAGAGTGCACATTTGAGTGCTAATATAAGTTTGCACTTCAAAAACAGACTCAAACATGTAAAATACAAACGAATTTCCCCTTGGGGCTCAATAAATTTCTTGTATTATATTATATTGTATTGTATTGTATTGTAAAAGAAGATTGTAGACTTAAGTAAATGTACTACTAAGCGCACACAAACATTTTAATTTCCTTAAGGGAATCTTCTCAAAAGGATAAATAATGTTGTATCTAATCTAATCTTATCTAATCTAATCAAATCCTATCACAGGGATGCAATTTTAACTGTGCAACTTCTAACTGTTCATATCAAACCATGCTCAAAACCATGCAATAAAATGTGTGCCTCCAAAAGTGTGCCTCCTGCATTTTGAAGTGTGCCTGCAGAGGTTCACTTTAAAATGTGCGATTAAACATGAGCACTTTAAAGTGCAGTGCAACTTACAGTGTGGAGACTCCAGTGTATCATTGAGTACAATTATTTGTATAAATAATGCCCATAAAGAGGAAGAAAATGTTAATTCATCTTCATATGACTGCAAGCTTATAATGAGCATGTTACACGTCTAAGAGAACAGGATTAGGAGATGCTAGTGCTAGTAACCAGCATTAGCTAACCATACCTAATACTGTGTTTACATTACAGATTTTAGGTTATGAAGAATTCAGTGAAAATCCAGATGATTCATAGACAAAGCGTGCAGCTACAACATAAGTCTGTCTGTGTGACTGTCAGTGTCATGTTTTATAGCTTTCTCAATAAGCAGCACAGTATGTACCCTTTTTTTCCCACATCTAGTCTTATATTTGATTTGATACATAATTTACGTCTATGCAAGCTTTTATTGACACTATTGGGAGATTAATCAGATTTAAGCAAATGTTGATCTGTGGGTTGAACACGCAGGTTATTTTGTCTATTTTTCCACAGCAATCTGAGGCTCCAGTCTACAGTTAAGCTTGTTTATTTGGCTGATAAATAGTAGAAGAAAGTTTCATTTTACTTTGTCACTTCAGTATGTAATTATCCTCCATTCTGGAGCTCATGCACACGATCTGAGCTCTTTGAACCTTTGTCTGCATCTGCATCTCCTTTTTCACACTTTCAAAGACTGATGAAAGTGAGGGGACAGAGAAAAATGGACAGAAAGAAGGAGAGACAGAGAGTAAGCGAGATGACAGCATCCTAATGAGTTATTTTTCATGTGGTGTTTGTGTAGGAAATGTCAGCCATAGTTTCTGAAACCTACTACTGTGGGTTAAGTAAAGGCATATGTGGATAGTTTGAGTCCCCCTTGTGATGCTATGTTGAAAAAAAGCTGTTATAGTAGTTCAGCTGAAAACAGACAGATCTTTATTTTCACGTCTCCTTGTGTCTCGTAAAACATTTAAAAGCAATTATTTACTATTTCAGGTCAAATTAATCTTTGAGGTTTACAATTTAAATCATGTACTTCTAAGTAGATTCACTGTTGTACTTCATATTGTACCCTTAAAAAAGTACGCTTATTAAGGTGGACGAGGTAATACAGTGTGTTCTAAGAGTGTGTACCAAGTTGGCCTCTTAAAAGTGCACTTAAGTTTATGCACTCAAGTTTGCACCTCAAGTATGCACATTGCAGTGCAGGTGAAAGCTTGTATGTAAGTGTGCTCCTCAAATGGTGCTCATAAAATTTACACCTCAGAGTATGCATCTGAAACTGTCCCCCTTAGTGCAACACCCAAGAAAATGGGCCTAAACAAAATCATGTTTTAATTGTTTCTGTTCTCAACAATGTGTATCCATGCGTGTGACAAAAACTTTGAAACAACTTCACTCTGGAAAATAGAGAGAGTTTTTGTTACAATCCCTTCGACCTACTGGAGCCTTTCTTACACAAATACATTCAGCACATTGTTTACTCAGTTTTACATAATTAAGATACTTTAAATGGTTGGCAATGTGGTTTTCTGAGGCTGTGTTCTTGTGAAATTATATTAAACCAAACTTACTACATTTTTTGTCTTATTGCTGCAGTTGTAGAATCTCTCTAGTGGAATAATTGCTGATATTTTGTTAGTTAATTTTCCATGCACTTACAGTATAATGTTTCTTATTGAGACATCTTAACCTTCTCAGCTGAAGTTTGCTTCAAGGCGTGCATTTGTTAGTCTGTAATGATTGTGCACTTAGGGGTAGCTGAAGGCATGTCTTAATGATCCAATCTAGTCTGAGTACACACAGAAAGAGCTGCCATGTAATGAAGTTTCTTATTTTAGCAGTACAAACGATCAAATAGTCCTCATTTGAGTTTAATCATAGTTATTATGACATTATAACATGTAAATGAAGAAGACATTTTTGAGCTTTAAAGCTTTTAAGTAGGGTGGATAAGAGAGTTGGGTGAGAGAGAGTGAGGAGTGACATATGGGATAAAATTATATTTATTCCCTCTGCAGATTTCAGGTGAGTTATAAAGTTAGAAGAGCAGAGAGCGTATTGTTTGCAAAGCTAGCAGAACGTCTATAATCAGTGTTTTACTATCAACTTTAGACAGTTTGTTTTCTTATTTAGGCTGGTATTGAAAGATGTCTGGTGACCACTCCACTGATGCCCAAATGCAGTTATTGCAGCTTCTTTTTAAGGCCATATTCGAGGCATGTTTTGACTCTATTTTTAACTAACACTCACTTTTTCCTTCCCTATAATCACTTGTTTGTGTTTGATTATTTCCTCCTGAATGAGTTTCCTTTTTCTACTCTCTCTCTCTCTTTCTGCTAATTTACTGCACAGATGTCCCAACACGTGCGGAGGGGGGGAGATGCCGTCTTCCCTGCTAGCTAAATCGACACACTGACATATGGACTGCCTGTCAATTGTAATTATTAATTGGATATTTCCCAGCCCTGGAGCATGGCACAACATGCTGCCCAGAGTCAATCAAATTACCAGAGCATATGTAAGGGCTGACTATACACCACTGCTTCCCCTTCACTTAACTCTTGATATTGCCACACCTGTTCCTTATAGGAAAAAAAGACTATATTTGAATTTCTATATTTGAATGACCAAAAGATCTCTATATAAGAGTGCATTCTCACGCTTTTAACAGCCCAGGTCTACCCATGATTCAACAGTGCACCTTGTGTTTACCAGAATCTGCTAACACCTCATTCCAGGGTGTTTTGTCCATCAGAGGTCTCCACTGTACTTGAATACTAATGGACAGAAGCTTATTTGAAGAAAAAAGGTTGTAATTTGTAGTTTTTTTTTCCCCTGTCAAACTGGGCGTGCTCTTTAATTAATAATAAGGATGTGTAATGATTGTGTGAGTGTGTTTCTGGCTTAGTTTCCCCATTTTGCTTATTCACACAGTAAACGTGCCGTTCATGAAGATGTGCCAAATTATGAAAGGGCATCACACCGGAGTGGCTAAATTAAAATGTGGCAAACAGCTGCTTCTACTTTTATCAAGTACTACTTTTAGGGCATGCAGATAATTTTCAGCTGGGAAATATTAAGATGTTGATTTTATCAGCGAATGAGCCCAGTAAAAAAAAGCCCAAGGTTATGGGATCAGAATTTTATTATGCTTTAATGTTTCAGAAAATGTGAGGAGATATTCAGTATTCCCATGCCCTTCAGTGACCACAGGGAAACTCCATCACAGCTACTGTTCAGCAACCTTTTCCTTTAACATTTGGCAGCTTAATACATAAATAAGCCTGTGCAAGTATTTCAGGGACCCTGTCACCTATAAGCTCTCACATGTTGGCCCTGCTGGATTGATCCCAATCAATATTAATTAATTCTAATCAATGCGGTGCAATCTTTTTCACCTCACAAGAGTGGTCCAAACTAATGAAATTAATGAAGTGTGCTGTTTGAGATGTTGGCCATCAGCCTCTAGGGTTCTGCAACATCTGCTTACAGTAAAGCTCCAACAGTACAGTATTCAGCTGAGCTCAGATGGTTTCTTTGTTGTCATTTATGGCTGTTTCCCTTTGAGGGTTCATTTTCTTAAATGGAAGACAACTATTTATTGTACGAAGAAAGACGCTTTTGATGGAGTTTACATAAAACCCAACAAGAAAGAACAGTCATCAGAGCCAACAGATTAGCAGGGGACTACACCAAACACTTCACGCGGTTTCTTTGTGAGTGGCTAATAACATGTTTCGCTGCCAAGGACATTACATGCAGTCCACCCTCGAGGGAAAACTGCAGCTTAGAATTCTTGTCCGCTGAGAATTTCATTTTCCTGCAACAAGGTTTATCAATAATTTGTTCAAGCTTGCCTTGCTCTGCAAATGGAGTGATGATTACTTGGACAGACTTCTAATCGTTTTGTATATGAGTGCAGAATTATCAATATATTAACATGGATCCATTGAAAAGTTGAACCAAAGTCGAGACAAATGATGAGAACTTCCAGAGCGGTCTAACTCCAAGGTGATGTAAGAAGGATGGTATCCGACAGTAGCAGTAACCAAATCACAACATTTCAATACCAGTTCTTGTCTTGTCTTGTCTGAAAGGCTCCCTTTGATAGGAAAAGATCAGTGTCAACCTGAGGCGTTTTCATTGGCGACAGGAAATGCATGAAGCCAGTGACAATTTCAAACATATTGTTTGCCTGAGAGTGTGAATAGCACCCTGACAAGGTGCCAGACCCTCTTCGCAGCTTCCTCCAGTTCATAGCGCTTGACAGTAGCATCTGTTGCTATGTGCAGTACATTATTCCTACACCTACTCCTTTCTGTGAGCAGACTCTTCTCCACACATTAAGGCTCACATTACATGTGTTTTTTTCAAACACCTCCTCTTTCTTTCACCATTACTAATGTAAATGCCATGGATAAGCGGAGAAAGAGAGAAGAAAAGAAAGATAGTCAGATAAATACATTAAAAAAGCTAGTAGAAAAAGACTGAAAAATTCAGACTATAAATGATTTTATATGAAAACCAAATCAATACTGGGTATTTACTTTGACTTGTAATAAATAATCTTTGAGATTATTATCCTCAAATTAAGGACATAAAACAGGAAGTGGCCTCACCTGTTTATTTGTGAGAAGCAACAACTGATTGTTATTAGAGCCTATTTTCGGCGTGGTGGTATAATACCTTAAAGTTTGAGCATGAATCAAAAGTTTTTAAACAGTATTTTCAAACATGACAAAAAAAAAAGGATAGTGTATTGTTAAAAGGGGTCTTGTCCTACCTTAAAGGAGTCCACACAACCACCAACAAACTAGTCCTTATCCTGCCTATTACTTTACAACGAACTAAGGACACACAAAGTTAGCAGCATTTTTTTTTTTTGAAGATGATTTGATCAAAATAGATTCTTTGCACAGCTAAAAATGGCTCTTCAGTTTCCTCTGTTTCCCGTGCAACAGTATTCTTGTCAGGCTACTAAAGTTAACGCTTTAATTCATGCTGAAGTCTAAATATTAGAAATGGGAGAATTAAACTGAACATTTCATGCCAAAGTTTGAACGTTAGTTTTTTCTTTTTTTTTGGTTGGTACTCTCAATAAGTGCAAAAAATAAGAGCAAAACCCGTACAAGGTCTCCTTCCTCATAACTTTTGAGATTTGGTGGCACTTTCTTTTCTCTCAGCCAGCCCTGTAACACTGCTGAAGCCCATGCCATGTCCGCATTTGTGGTTGCTTTGTGTCCGTTTTCTTCAATTTGGTAGACCTCCCTTACTGCCTCTTTTTCTCCGTGGTTTACTGGTTGGTCATTAAAAAGTTTTATGCTCATAATAAATTATAGTACAATTAAAAATTTGCTCCCTGTGGTTTATCCTTGCTTATTTTTTTTGTCACATTGCCAATAGCATAAACAGTTTACTGCTTTTTCCAATGTCACCTTTGCTTTTTAGAATTCATTACCATTGTCAAGGTTTTATTTTACCAGTCAGGTTCAAGTTTTAAACACAGCATTGAGCAGCAAGAAAGCCAGTTAATAAAAGAAGACAAGTGTAAAATCAACTTGAACAGGTACAAATGGCCAGTAAACAGGAAGTGGTTGAAACTTGGGCTGCATCTTGACTATAATCTGTAATGATATAGATTTTAAAGGTTGAAGTAGCGATACAATTGTTGAAACTTCTGTGTGTTTGTCTTTTTTATAATGAGATGTTGGGTTTTTATTGACCCCAAGTAATCACTTTGTCTTTCCCTAATAACTGTGTTCACAGTCAAACCATTGAAAGAAAACATTTGATTTCTTATCTCAGACATTGCTGTTGTTGTTTTGTTTTGTCTTTATCTTACTGCTTTGTTTTTCTGCATGTTAAAGCACTTTGTAAAGACTTGTTTTCAAAAGTATACAGTATATAGTTTATGTATAAAAGAAGTTATAATTATTCTTCTTAATATGTTATCATTATTACACACAGAGGAGTGTGATATTGACAAATAAAATATCAATGCTTTGGGGATTAACATCCTTAAAAAAAACTTCAAAAAACAAAATTTTGCTCGTAAAAGTTTTGTATCGTTTCCAACATAAGATAAATCTTTTGTCAGAAACACAGGTGTTATGTTTTGTATAACACCTAAAACTAAGCAATTCGTTCAAATATGATAATCATGTTGGAGCTTTGCTGCTCCAATGGATTAAAACATTTGAGTTGTTATTGTGTAAGTCTTATAAACAAATTAGCCTTTTGGATTGGAACATTTGAGCACTTGTTCATTTTATATGAGTGTTAGAGAGGCAGTGCAGTGAAGACAGGTTTTGTGCACCTGCCGTAAAGAATTAAAGGTGTTGCTCTTGTGTTTGCAGGAGGTGAAAAAAAGATTCACAAGTCTGCTGCTCCCAAAGTGTTTGCCTCTGTGGTTTCAGATTTCCATTTTTACATGTGTGTGTGTGACTATTTTCAAAGAGTACAACTTTAACTGTCACAGGTGCACAGTTATTTTGCTCCAATAATAGCTTCATACTTGCTTTCATCCCAAACATCTATGACGAAAAGACTGCCTCCCGTATCCCTGGCAAGTCCAAATCCATGTGACAGTTTAATGCATTCACTGCCTCCTACTCAAAATAAACAATAAGAATAAATAGAACACAAGCTTCTATATTATATTTTGTACAGACTGGAGTAGGTTTGTCGCTGCAATCCAGAAAAAAAGCTGCTGCAGCTTCAGGGCTTTCTTAGACTATATTATGATTATTGTTTTCCTTATATCTGTGAGATTTGTAGGCCTGCATGTAAAATACACAGACATGCAGCAAATACAGACAGTGAACTCTAAAGTATCTGAAATTCCTTATCCTGTGTTAAGTCATCTGTTTTAGGGGGAGTAAACCTGAGTTTCTCAGCAGCTTTTGTGTATGTGCGTGTGTGTGGGGTGGGGGTAATTTTAATGGAGGTGGAGATGTGATTGATGTAACTGTAGAGCTTGTGTTGAAAACTGCTCCTCGTCCATATGGTCGTCAGTCAGGGCGTGGTTTCTTCCTGTTCCCCTTCTGATATGTTCAGTGCAGCACCTGCACCATCTGCTGTGTCTTGTTAAGTCCTCTGCATGAGTGTGAAAATTGAAGTGAAGTTATTGAGGCTCAGACATGTTGTTCTCTGGACACACAGACCTGATGAAGTGTTTTGTTTTCTGTAACTTAGCTCAGCAAGGCTCCCACACAAATAAAACGCAAATATTCAGACTGAAGCCTTTCTGTTTTTGATAATGATTGCTTTTACTGCACATAAGCAACAGTAATGCATTTTGCATTATACAGACTCTGCCTCTCATACAGCGATTCCCTTTGGAGTGCCTGTAAACAGTTTCTCATGTAACTAAAAGATCCCTGTGTCCCTGCTGATTTCATTTGACCACCTCCACTGTTCACACAGCAGCTTGGCTGCTGTTTTACTGGATGTTAAGGCCCAGGGGGACAGACAGGAACAGCAGAGTCGAGGACTCCATGCTGCGACAGTAAAACACCTTTGGGAAATTTTGTCAGACAGACTGACAACAAAAAGCGCCTCGTTTCCTGTAATTGTTTGTACCAGCCACTTCAAACTGTAAATTCTGTTCAGGCGGAGGCTTGAAGTGATTGCACTCTGTGAAAGCCTCTTTGGCAAGCATTATCATATTATCTACAGTTGTAAAACAGGATTGTACAGAGATGTGTTTGTCTGGCTTCTTCAGATCATATCGACTGAATGTCAGCGCGCATTCCCATTTGACTTTGATATGTTCTTTGCATTAATTACTGAGTCTGTTAGAGGAAAAAAAAGTGTTTTTAATTTAAGGAAGAAAATAGGCAGTGTGCTCAAGGGCATGGGTCACCCCTAAAATCTAATTGGTCAGCAAATTTTCCTATGCATAATTACCTACATTTAATGATAACATCATGCCCCCACGCCTCTCTCAAATTCATATGAAATTACATTTCCTTCATATATCTTTAAGATATTTTCTGTATACTTAACAGCAGATCCTGTTGTAATTATACAATTTAAAATTTCCAGACAGACTCAACTTTAAAATACAGGTTACAGCAGGTACTGGTGCATAGACCCTTTAGGGGTCACAATATCTCACAACTATTCAGCTGTTAAAGTCTTCTTTGAGTTCATCTTTAATGTCCTTTTGTTCATTCACATTTGTCCTTGTTACTCGAATCTCTTATCTGTAACTTGTTACTGCACTACTTTGCACCTGACATCGACAAATGTCATTTCGTTTAGCAATTCAGATGAATGATAACAAAGTTGTGATGAGGTGAGTATCACCACTGTGCAAAGTAGTCTTGGACTCTTGTCTTTTGGTTTTCTTGGGTCCCCGAATAAAAGAAATAATATTAATATCTCCAAACTACATTTATCATATACAAGCCACCACTGCCTGTCAACAGAAACAATGACATATCTGGTTAAAAATATAGCAAGACCAAAAGGATGACGTTGATTATCAAAAAGCTAACATGTGCTGTGCACACTTCATAAAGCATGTATTTACTGTTGAATGGTTGGATTGCATTTGGTTAAATAGGGTAATCGTTGTCCTTTAATAAGAAATTGGGGATTAAATTGGATTATATATATATATATTGGATTTCTTTGTACTATTACCTTTATTTTTACATGAGCTAACATAAGCTTTAGCGAGCAAAACAAAATAAATTGAGGAAACAGTTTATTTGTCACCCTCATTTGTATAATTGCCATTGTAATCAACTATATACATGTGTGCATCCAAGGACTTATCTGCCCTCAGTTTGTTTTCTTATGAATGTCCAGCAGGCCAGCTCATCTTTGCCGGGCCTGACAAATCATTAATTCACTGAGTGGTAGCATACAAGTAAGGGTTTTTATTTGTTTGTTTGTTCAAAGCCCTGCCCACCCAAAAGTATCAAACTGTTTACTCACACTATGCCACCAGTTTTTGGAAGCTCATTTAGAGGAAAGCCAGTCCTGCATTTCGATTTCCATTGCAAAAACACAACTTATATGCAGCTGTGTAGATCTTTTTAGCACCATTTCTTTCGCCATGTGGAGTTTGCAGTCTGGCTAGCCGTAGGTACGGTAGTTGATTGTAGCCTGTGGTAACTGTCACACTACCCATGTCTGCCAGTGTTTATTAACTCAACAGTAAATCCCCAGTGTCTTTAAAATGCATGAATATGACCCGTGAGGGAGAAAGGCGTCACAACCAGTCTGTTAACTAAGACAGCCACATCACTGTTTACCTCATCAGGCTCTCTGTGGTGGAGTAGCTGCCTCTCTGCATTTTATACTTGTGGTCAAGCTGGTATACAGGACACAGACACTTGTGTGGAGAAAACAAAGGTGTTTCATATAGGCTGCACAGAATTTCATGCTGGTACAGTATTGTGTTTGATGTGTGTAGGATGAGCGTGAGTGATGTGAAAAAGCTTTCTTCTCTTCTATTCAAAGGCACAATGAAACTTTAGACACTGCTGTTAGTGATGAAGAACGATGCGGTTGGATGGCTGGTTGATGAAGGTCAAAGTAAGTGAAGAAAAACTAGGAAGAGACTGTTTTGTATCCTCTATTCATTCACTTTCCAGCTCAGTTTCATCTGCTTCTCAGCTGATCATGGGTGTTAACTCTTCTATCAGACTTGCTTTTGCCTTGACCCTCATTTTCCTGCTGCTGTCAAACTCAAATCTTTTCTCCTCTTTGCTCTGTCAATTCGTCATCCAGAGTGGATCACAGCAACAATAGGGTCTCATCACCAGAGACTTGGCACATTTCTTTTTCTTTTTTTTTTGTAAACTTGTAAAATTAAGAACTTTTCACTCATGATGGTGCCTCTTCTGATTAAACTATAATTATAAATTCACTACTACTCATATTTTTTGAGAGAGTGTATGTGCTTCGTTTTTTGTGTGTTGTCAAATTGGTAAAGGAGGGAAAATATAATGCTCTTTGGTTAGTGAGAGAAAGAGTATTTTACTTGCCATGTTTCCCATTTGAGATTGTATTTCACTACTCAATGTGAAAAGGCATGCCTGTCTGTACATTTAAAACTGTTGCTTGGTGTAATTGATCCTCTTCTCTGCACTGTCAATGAGGAAAGGCTCTCCTTGTTTTTCATGACGTGTAACAAAATTCATAGTCCTTGTTGTCTGGGGACGTGTCTGCTGTTATCGTAGTGGCTCCATCAAAGTAGCAGCGAAGATGAAATCAGCTAAATTAGTTTGACTCCAATAAATGTGCGCGTGTCCGTACCTTGCATGATTACATGTTGGTCATGCTGCCCCTACATCTTTTAGGCAAAAATCTTGATGTGTCACTCAGTGTTCAACAATTGTCAGTGACAGAATTGGTAGCAAAGTATGTTTTTGCTGCAGTAAATGCATTTCACTGGAATATGGTTATCCAGGCATTTGATTTGTCTCTGGTGGCAGGAGCTGTGTTAACAGCACGACTTGTATTGTGTGAGACAAGCTTTTCTCGGTAGTAGCAGATAATGGATGACTCTGCAGCGGCTCAGATGAGATCAGGGAAGCTGGATGTCAGTGGGAGATGGACCTAAAGAGGAATTCTTATTTTTGCTCTGTATGTAAACTAGATGAACGGTGCTTTCATATCTCTTTCTCTAGCTAAACAAAGAGCATTATATTTTCTCTCCCTTACCCATTTAAAAACACACAAAAACGAAGCAAACACACACACACTCTCTCTCTCTCAAAGAATAAAAAATAAAATGAAATAGTGGCTTAGCTGCTCATCCTGTATACAAAAGCCAGAATATGCACTGTATACAGCTTTAGGGATAGGCAGACGATTAATCCATCAAACCTAAAAATCAATCGTAACTTTCTAAAGTGGCTGCTTGTTGCTTAAAAGCTACACAAGCTTCAAACCTTACCTTACTGAAATTGAATCAGTGATGATGTAATGATGAAAAAGAAAAGGAACAGCAGGTCAAACTCATACCATTATGAACACCTGTGCAGTGTAGTCCAACCCAATACTAATACAGGAATCTTTTGAATCTTTAGTTTTTGTCCACTAGATCAGGCAGGTGAGAGCTGTGCTTTAAATTAGATAAGGTTGGGTAACACTTTACTTGACGCCTATCTCTATAACACATTGTAAATATATTTATAATGCATTATAATCATGTTATAGTACTGTATAACTATAGTTATAAACACTCATAAAGGATTATAATGCTTTATAGCAATAATCAAAACACATAATAAAGCATTTTATTATGACTTACAAGGTCAGGTATTATAATATCTAATAACTGTTAACAACAATCGCATTGCATTATCTATGTGGGCATTGTCAGTGAGTTGTTTACAGTTATAAGACATTATAATACCTGACCTTGTAAGTCATGATAACATGCCTTATAATGTTTTATAATTATTGCTATAAAGCATTATGATCATTTATGAGTGTTTATAACTATAGTTATACAGTGCTATAACAGGATTATAACGCATTATAAATATATTTATAATGTGTTATAGGCGTCAAATTAAGTGTTACCCAAAGTAGTGTACTGGAGTGCATTATATTGACTGGTGTTCCTCACATCTTGCTCCCTGCATGTTTGTTAATTACAGTACACCATGACCACTCACTAATAAATTCAAAGAACAAGTATGGCCTTTCTGATAATGCCAACAAAAACAGAAAATGGAGTAAATGGTAACTCCTACCACTCAGGCTGTACAAAAAAGGTAATTGTTATCTAAATTAAAGGGCAGTCATCAAGCAAATCAAGCAAGAGCAAATGACCCTCAATTGATTTTGCCGACACGATTGGGGTCAATTAAGTTATCGCTCCATCAGACAGGAAAGAAAGTGATTGCAAAACCTGTGATACATATGTCTTCCAGTTTGCACTTAAGCACAGACTAGAAGAGACTTGTTTACTCATGGAGGATTCTGGTTATGTTGGGGTTGGTTTTTGCATATGTATTGCTAAATAAATAACTGAATCAGCCCAAGGATTATGTTTTTCATATAAATTACAGTGTGCCCTTAAGCAGAGAATGTACAGCGTGCTCTGGTTTCTTCTCTGCTGTAAATGGTTTCCCTTTGAAAAAAAACAAAGTGGCTTTGTGCCTTGGCAGTTTGGTAAACTGTGCAGATCCGCTCCTGGGTTTGAGGCAAAGGGCAACATGTGAAGATAAATCACTGCCGCTCTGACTACAGAAAGAGCAGGCCATTGCGGAGGTCACAGAAACAACAGCTGCAACACAAACATGTCACTTCTGAAGCGGCAGAGACGCAGGCTACAATCAAGTGTTCCTGACACATACTGCTTTGAAAGCTTTGCTTCCTGTGCTGCCTTTATCGTACATCAGGTAGACTGTGGCTAATTGTTGCCTTAGAAACAAAAATAGCAACATTTGGGTCCCTTCGTAGAATTAGAATCAATCTTACCAGACAGGGATAAGAACTTTGGGTTCTGTCTTACTCTCATGCTGTGTTCAAGTTACCTCGGAAGTCAGAAGTCCGAGCTGGGAATGACGTCAGCATTTTAGTTACCAAGTCGGAAAAAAGCAAAATCGGAGGCGGAAACAAGATGGCTACACCTACTTTGAGCACTTGCCTTGTCTGAACGATGCAAGAGCAAGGCAAACACTAAAATAACTTTTGTAGATGTAGCCATCTTGTTTCCGCCTCTGATTTTGTTCGTTTCTGACTTGGTAACTGAAACTCTGGTAACTCGGGTGTGACTTCATTTCCAGCTTGGACTTCTGACTTCCGAGGTAACTTGAACCCACCATCAGATCAAAGCGCCACGGGGCCAGGATAATCACCATTGTCATTTTTCGTCCAACACTGTTGCCATTTTCTTACTTCCACGCAGTGTGCCCGTCTGCCCGAGCATCACCTCAGCTCGCACATGCCACAAGCAAGAGTTCTCCAGACACACTCACTCACATACACTTGGGGTGTTAAATGGAATAGTCTAAGTTTTGTGTAAGTTTTATTGCTGGTAAATGTAGATTGTCGTGCAACTGGCCCGCAGGAAAGAACTCCACCATCTCTTTCTGCTCTAAGAAGTAAGACAATGGTTGATATAGATCATCCCCACCCTCTGTCTGTGCCTTTCTTTGTTGTGTAAAATGTCCCTCAAGTTAATTTTTTGTGAGTGATGTCCTCTTTTATTACTTTTAGTTTAAATTAGTGCTGGAGCTAGTGTTTGAAAAGACTTTATTTCTATCACTCAGTAGGATGAGGTTAACCCCAGGCTTTCATTTTTCTCTTTGCACAGTAGGTGGTGCGCCATTATCAAACAAGCAAAGAGGAAATTCAAGCACTTTAAGTCTCACTGTGGTGTTTTTAAATATTCCTGCAAATTATCCCAAGATGACAGTTAATGAGAGCAGATGATCCTTTGAAGTGGAACAAAAGAAAAGCCACTGATCCATTTCAAAAAAGAACAAGATCACAGCTGAAATGCAGTTTTTAAGGTATCACCACCTACTGTTTCACAGCAGCTCCCTTTTATATTTCATCCATTTCCAGATAGTCCAAAAACACAAGAAACTAGAGAGGAAGCTCTTGCTGTGATTTTGTGTGGTGTGTTAATTCCTGTCTCGGGGCAAGGCTAGTTAACCTCACAAAGTGAACTCCTCCGCTCTCATTCTTTTACATTTTCTCAGCCTTGTTTGTGGGTTGTGTTCACCCAATTCGTCTTTAATTCCAGTGACTACAAGCAGCTGTAATGAGGCAAAGTCAGGGCTCCTGTGTTTCCTTTAATTTGCTGGGAGATCACAAAGCCAATGCATCACAGGAGGGTTTTTTTTAGCGCCCTCCCAACTGACCATGGCTAAATGGTGTTTTTGCTCTGCTGAACACTAATCCCTCTGTCAGATAAGGCCCATTATAGCAGGGGTGTAGCCAGCCTGGTTTAGTTTGTGCAGTCACTGAACCCGTCTGTAGTAGACAGTGCAGTCCTGCAGGGGACGGCAGTTCAATGACACTGCTGTGTTTTCCAGTGCCTAATAATGTAGCATGTGTTTTTTGCAGCACAGTGGCTTCCTTCTCTCTGTCTCAATATTCAGAGGCAAAAAGGACTCATTAAAGAACCTCACTGTCAGAAGAGAAACTGCTAAGAAAGGCTTTGAAGCAGCTGGTTTTGCACCACCCCTACCTGATATCAGATGTGAAGTAGATTCATATTCTGTAAGTCTCACTTGACTCTGAGCTATGTGAAGCTTATGTTTCACACCAGACAGACAGAAATCAGAAGGTAGAGGCAGCTTGTAATGCATCAACCACATTAGGCTCTCCTAACAGCCCATGGACCATTATACGAGCTTTTATCCTCTACATCTGTACATTAGGTTTTATTGCAAAATGAAGGTTGCTCTTGTGAAGCTCATTTGGAAGTCAGCAGATCTATCATTGGCTCTCCCAGACCCAGACAGCTGCATGGAAATGAGGAACAAAACAGGCGCACTTTATTTGTGTGAGAGCGTAAACGACATTGTTATTTTTCTCCCTGTGAAAATGAGGCGCTGGTCTGGTCGTTCACAGCCTGGGGGGATAAAAATTTAACTCTGAAATGGCTCAAATATAGAGGGCCACAATCATTGCTGTTCTTTGTCGTGTTTTTTAACGACATCCATCAGACATTTTAGCGTTATGGTCTCAAATAGAGCATGTGGGTTGCTATAGGATAGATTTTTTTGGGTGTCCAACCTCTTAATTCTTCAAAACTCTAAGCTATTTAGTCATTTTTATGTCATCGCCCCAACTGGTTCTACAGGCAAGCACATCAGTGCAGGTGGTTTCAAAGAGTTCATTCTCTGAAACAAGAGTAACAAGGTACTATAAATAAAATTGTAAAATGACAGTAATTCATGTGAAAAAATAGGAATTTACTCTTACTCTTACTTTATATACATTTAAAAGCATTTACTCTTGAATACTTAAGTACATTTAAAAGCAAGTACTTTTTTACTCTTACTCGAGTAACGTATTGACTAAGCTACTCTTACTTGTAGCGGAGTAAATTTTGACCAGGAGTATTTGTACTCTTACTCAAGTACTGGGGTCAAGTACTCCATCTCTGGCTAGGACTATGGCTGGGACCCTTTATGTACTGTTGATGAAGTTTCTGAGCATTATTTGTGGCTATAGGCTCTTTGGTTGAGGTTTGCGCATGGAGACGTAGACCATTGCCTATTGGTATCTTGTGGTCGTTACTAAAGTTGGAATGACTAGAGAAGCAAGCAGTCGGCAACATTCATCTCTCTAAGGGGTGGCTAACATGCTGTTACGGTGTGTTTGACCCTAACTTAATTTTACTCCAGAATATCTCTTTAAGCAGCTGGGTAAGCATAGCCAAACTGTAGAGCAAGTCTGACCAGTCAAAAATAAGGATTCAGTTTTTAAATCGGTATTGAAATCCATGTTGACATCAGCAGGATAAAAGCCATTCAGCTTACCAACAAAGAAACTGACGAATACATTGTGAGGCATTCAAGGTCCGGTTGGTGAACCAAGAACCAGGTGAAAGTCAGTACAGATGAGATTCATGGCTCATCGAAAGAGCCGGATCTTGAGGAGCCTCTCCTCTGAAAGAGCTGTTTAAAAGACTGGCTTATTGTCAGATTTATTTATTTTTATTTATTTTTTAGAAGTCAACCAAGGGTACAGCAGTGGGAATTATTCTGAAATATTGATTATAATGTTGTTTTTTTTCACTCTTAACATATCCTCATGCTTTGACAGTGAGGTCACTACTCTGCTAGAATTTTTCCCTCACCTAAAAAACGTTGTGGCACAATAAAAAACTATGCAGACTACAGATAACTGTTAACTGATAAAAATGAAGACATGGTAAAAATGTGAATGTAAAATTGTACTACCCTATCTGGTGTTCAGGGCACACAGGTGACACGTGAAGACACTTAGCAATTTGCACATGAGAACGACTCTCAAATCAACGGCTCGCCACTGTGAACCGGTTCTCATCATTCACTTAAAAGAGCCGTTCAAATGACTGATTCATTTGTGAACATCTCTAAAAGTAGATAACTATGCTGTCATGACGTGTTCGAATGAATGTGAATTTCCCAGTTAGTGTGAATTTCCCAGTTTGGGATCAATAAAGTCTATCTATCTATCTATCTATCTATCTATCTATCTATCTATCTATCTATCTATCTATCTATCTATCCATCCATCCATCCATCCATCCATCCATCCATCCATCCATCCATCCATCCATTGAATCATACAATTCTGTATAAACATCATAAATAAAAGACTGGATAATAGTATCGATAAGGACTCAAATCATTAATAATTGACAACGGTACCAGTATTGATAGAAATTAACCATTCCCATCCAAAACCTCATTGGCACTGATGTTTTTTTTGTGTTTAGGAAGATTGCAGATTAATTTGTTAGAGTCTGATTAATAAATTGCAGCCCTGCAACACCCACTTTTCCCAACAGCATGCTCGCAGATTAGCCACATGAGGCGCCGTGACGACACAGAGATCAGCAGCGAAATAGGGTTTCCTCTCCTTTCCTCCTGCCGCACTTGTGTCTCCACTATGGCTGCAGAGTCCTTATTAATGTCATCAAGGGTCTATTCTGTTGATCTTTCAAAGAAGCAGCATCCTTCACAGAGAGTGTCAGAGGAATCTGGGGAGTAAAATGTCAAGGGAATAGTGCTGCGAGATTGTTGGGAGTGCTCAGGATGACTCCTCTGCCTGCTTCATCTCAACATCACACACACATACTCACACAGCTCCTGTGCCCCTCCTATCTCCTGTTTGCCAGCACTTCTATTTTGGTATGTTTGCTCTGCGTACCGTCTGATGTAGATGTCATTATGGGAGGCAAGTGTACACACTAACAAGGTTTTGGGAAGCTCAATGTAAATCCATTAATGAATATTTTTCTTTATGCAGGGAATGCAAGAGGAATAGCTAGCTTGTTTACATGTTTGGCCTCGTAGACCCTTATCTTTTAAGATATTTTTAGGAGTGTGTCTACCACCATTCTCAGCTTGGGTTTCGATGGAATATCTGCTTTAATGACAACAAAACCCAAGGGATGGAGAAAGATTTTGCTCTTGGTGCATCAGCTCCTCTCCCATCCATACAGGGAAGTCAAAAATAATACAGTCTGTGTTACACTGGTATACAGACAGGACCAAAACATTGAAAGTAAGGGCTCTGTCTTGTTTTGTTTATGGAAACTGGTCAATTAAGGACATTTTTGTTGTAAAAACTCCATAACTTCATAAATATTTCAAACCAACCAGAACACAGAGAGCAATCCCATTGAGACAAATACTCAAACTTTTACCAATAGATGTATTTACCATTGCACCCATATTTTCCAGTTATGGGACTCCTACTAAACAGTTTGGGATCAGTTTTGTTGTTTTTTCTTGTTCTATGATGTTTCAGTGGGTGACGAGTCACATCTACATGCGGGCCAGTTTTTGCACTTGGACTCTTCTACCAAATAGCTGTTGTAATGTTTACATAGTGTAGCTTGGCATCTTTTTGATGATGGGTGATATGTGTATCAGGGCTCGACAGTGCGACCATTTCATTTGCATTTGCGACTTGAAATAGATGTGTGCGAATTGTGAAATGTATTGAGGGGCACATGTGCGCTTAAAAAAATCAGCCGAGGCAACAAATGTTTTTTCATGTAAATACCGCGGTGAAGTTAGTTTTAGGTTGAATATTTGATGGACATTCACTGCAGATCTACCGGTGTCTTCTTACTCTCTATAACCGGGAATAGCGACAGGAGCGTAGTTAAATCAACTCGGCACCCTCGCTGTCAACGTTGTGTGTTGAAAAAGGGACCATCAATAAATTACCTGTTGATGTTCTCTAAAAAGGCTGTTTCCTTCAATAGCTTCCATGTCATGTGACCAATTGATCTAAAATTGATTTCAACTTACTTATATTGACCAATAAGGCACACATTATTTGATCAATTTTCATTATGCCCCTAAAGTTCTTTATGTGCTCCTTAATTTTTCAACTTAGGAGCACATGTACTCCTTGTGAAAGAAGTTAGTGTCAAGCCCTGTATATGTGTAAACATTTTCTTTTCGCCGGTATATATTTTAATCTGCACAGAAATCAACTGTGTTCACCAACAGCAGTTTTTGGAGGTGATTTTGAGCTAATGCATTGATTTCCAATACAGTCATCTTTATCGTTATTGGAACATTATTCTGAAGACATGAAGATTTTTCATTCAGTTTCTTTTACTTCTGAAAGACTTAGCATCTCAGTCATGTTACCAGCCTGTTGCAAATAAAATGAATGGGTTTTTTTTTTGTTTTTTTTACATCACGCAAATTTTTGCTGAAGTCAAATTGAAAATTACCATTTTTTTTCATAAAACAAAACAAAAGAATCTGTGTTGCCATCTTATGTGCTATATTTGCATTTTTTTCAAAAGCATCTACTTGCGTTTTTTTTTTTTTTTTTTTTACACATGTACTCAACCTCGGAGTTGTACAATATTGTGCTGGAGATGTCTCTAGTGGGCATGGTATCACATTCACATTGCTTTATTTATTCATCTCTTCCTTTGGCTGCTTCCCATGGTCTATATAGGTGGACAAGCAAGATATGCAAGCCAAGGTTTATTGGCTCTATGCTTCACATCTGGTATGGATACAAATGGAGCCTCTTCCATACTCTGTGTTCATTTTGTTTCTGCAATATATTGAGCAGATGTTGTAGTACCACAGCATTAGAGGGGGTATAGTCAAGCAGTCCATAAGCCAGACCAGCAAAAGACAACAAAGTACACTCTGGGAAAGGGAAAAACTTTTGAGGAACTGACTTTAGAAACTACATTATGACACAAATATGATGTTACCACTGTGGTGGCACAAAAGAAACAACCACAGCAGAACAGATCAGATAAGAACGACAGTGATGCAGAGTCTGCAAAATCTTTTGTGATTCATTTTTTTACTGTCTATCCCATTGTAAAAGACTCTTGGAAGTCTGTGGGAGGTGACAGTTGTATTTCTCTTTTTATCACATGTAAAGGAGGCATCAATGAGCCTTTAGTCAATGTGACCTGCATCCCTAAGGATAAACTGATTCCCCTAAAATCAGAGGTATTACTGAGGGTTTTTTTTTTGTTTGAACAGTAAATCTTTAAATGGACAGTCCAGTGTTTGCAGAGTTTATCAGCTGATTCAAGCTGTATCTAATCTGAATCTGATTGTCTCAATCTTCCCTCAGCAGTGTCATTATGGATACGGGTATCCTATATAAAAATTACATCACAGTCCAAACTCGTCACTCCAGTGTATTGCTCTCCATAAATCATGCTCATCATGTTCAAAGGAAGCAGATGTTTGATAGCCAACTGCACTTTCCATTTGACGCTTGTTCCACTTGGTACCCAAAGAGCCTCCATAATAAAGTGCAATTATTTCTCAGAGAGCCATGCAGTCTTTTGTTCTGTGACCTTTCATAAAAAAAGTGTTATTTCTGCAACCAAAATAACCATGTAAACTGGAATATTTTAATGAACAAGTCGCGTTTAAATGTCAACATTTCAAACAGATAAACTCACAATCAAAGGCACTTTCATCCAGCTTTATCTTTGAGCCCCTCAGTGCCCTGATTTAACACAGTTATCTGTGCTGAGAATAGGATAGTATGTCTACTTTGTATAATCCACTCATGATCTCTTCTCCTTTAGAAAAAAAAGCAAGAGCTTTAATTTCTATTGATGAAAAATGGAGCAGCAGCGTGATTTTCTGTAAACTACAAAAAGTCAAAATAACATGTTTAATAATTTAAACTCAAATAAGCCCCGCTGTGCCGAACTAACCTGACCTGAGAAAAAGAACATCTACACCGAGTTTGATTTTAGCTTTGAGCCTGCAGGTGTTCAGAGGCACATTAGTGAGAGGAGCAACATACTCATTTATTAACAGAATCATTTGACAGCCTACAAACCAGGCCAATTACCAAATTCTGCAAACTGAGTAAAAAAATGTGCTTTAGTGGCAATTAGATACTAAATTACAGTGAATGGCTCAAGTTAAATAAACTGCTTCAAATGAAACGTCCATTTTCAATGAGCTGATCAGGATATCAGTTTATCGACTAAGAACAGACACTGTTGACATTTTGTTTGTTCAAGTATCAGAGTGCAAGTTTACCAAGACACACAGAAGTAAAAACTGAAGGAATATGATAGCAAATAGACAAAAATGAAATGAACATTTATAGTACGAGTCAACATTGAAATCAAACCAACCAAATGTGTTTGTACACTTGTGTGTTTGTCTGTGTGTATTTCTGCCTTACTTATGTAATACACATTCAAATATTTGAATGAATGACTCCTTTTCATCGACAAAAAAAAAAAAAAAAAAACAGAAAAAGAAAACAAAAAGAATCGGAAGCAGCTTTTCCTTTGCTTGAACATACAACCTTTCCAAATATGTCCTCCAAGTTTCAAAGGTTTGAGTTTGAACACCTTGAATGCAAAATTCCTGGTGTCTGAAAGAGATGTTTTCAACACACTCTAGAGCATTGACAGGTTCAAATCCACCAGGATTCAGGAATATTCACAGAATAAAAAGCATGCTCTTTATTTCTGTTAGGTTATATTTCCTCTCATGTAAACAGTCAGGCAAAAATAGCATCAGGTCTTCATGCAGACAGACATTGCCTACATAGCCAGAGTGTCATCTGCACAATATAGAATGTGAGAGAAGCCATGATTACACATCTTTATAGTACGCTCATTAACTTAATCTCGTGAAGGTTTCATTATCTCCACGTCAGATATTTCTGCACATGATTATGGTTTAATGATCTCATATATGTGATAACATTCATTTAGGATTTTTTAATGAAAGCTTAATTAGGTAAGTTTTTGGGGTTACATTTCTGCCTTGGTCATGCAAAAAAGTGTGATAAAAATGTACTTTTTGGCAGTTTCTCCTTCATTTTCTATATATCTACATTTCAAGATTGTCTGGCTGCAGACCTCCATTGTCAGGACCCACCTCAGCTTTTACCTAAGATAAAAGCAAGCATACCAGGAGTAAGTTTTTTTTTTTTGTCTCACATCAAAAGTAGATTCAAAGCCCTATTTTATTTCTTGGGGCTTTATTTTATGTATATAATGTTAATATGATTTCTGGGTCCTGACAGTGGAGGTCTGCAGCCAGACCTATTTCCTAATTTTTGACCGTATTTACAGCTCATATTTTGAAATCTTTCACTTCATCTTCTTTCATCATCTATCAAAACTAATTACCCAGCTTTCTTAGTTACTGTGTCAAGTATTTATTGTATTTGTAAGTACTTTTTAAATTTCCCTTCAGGGATCAATAAAGTTAATCTTATCTTACTTGATAAGTCAAGGATTACCCAGGTTGTTCAAAACCCCTTGACAACTTTTAAAAGAGGTAATAAATTCTGAATCCCAAAAGTAACATCAGATGCAACTCAACTGCACACTTCATATCAAACCATGAGGTTAAGGACGGGTCTGGCACAATTTACTTCTAACTGTCGACACTCAGGCAAAGAGGCTTGTTTTACTCGGTATTCTTAAGTGGTGTGCTAAACAACAAGGGTGTTTTAATTTTGAATCCTGACCTGCAAAACAGGCATCAGAGCAGAACTGGTGAATGCACCGGTAATTTGCCTGTTGCTACAAAAATCTTGCAGTAAGTAAAAGGCGGGGAACAAAATACCAAAGAAGAGATCATGTACCCTTCCTCTCTGGAGAGAAGGTGGACAGGAATCCACTGCCATGGGGAGCTCTACCAAGTGTGATAGTCAAGAGACTGATTCTACCGACATAAAAACATCACTTTTCAATAAATATTCACCTCTAAATCAATATTTTCAGTCAGTCACTTTATGACTTTAGTTGGCTGCTGGTACTGAAGGGGGAAATGTATAATGAACAGGTAGTTATGTAAATCAGAATCCCCTCTGGATAACACAAGACCCTTATGTTCAATTAATTGGGATATCTGCCCATTTACCATGCATCATTTCTTACATATGAGTAGTTTCATGTTTAACAATTAGCACATTAGTAGGAGAGACATACAAAAGGACCTTTTCATCTGCAGAGCATGTGAGACGCTGCAGGATATCAGGGGCAAAGAGCAGCAGAGAGATGGGAGATCGATTGCAGATTAAGAGCCGTTGGCAAATTTATTTGGACAGCTGAAAATATACTAAAGCTGGCTATCCAGGTGTTATCCATGTGTGGAAAATATTGGTGTTATTAAATCAAAGAGAACAACCTTCATCAACCGTTGTTGCACAGGGTAATGCACAACACAAAGTCTATACCATGACAACGTGGCAATCCAGTCAGGTGGTCTGGAGGCAGGATAGCGATTAAGTACGCCCAAGTCTTAATCAAGTCTTGAACCCCCAGTGGTCAAGTCTGAGTCCAAGTCAGCAAAGAGGAACCTGAGTCCTTGAGTCACCTGATTCTGACCGAACAGTTGAGGATATCCTATTTTCAGTTTAGTGGTTCTAGTACATGAGCTGTGTTTCGCTGCATTTGCTCTAAAATATCTGAAAGCAATTATTGAAGCCCTAAACATCTGTAGTGTAAGAGCATTACGATCCCTCACAGTGTTTTATTCTCTCTTTTGTTTTAAGCTTGATTTTGATTTCCAGGACTCATAAATCTACTTTGGTTAGGGTGACCATATTCTGACTTCCCAAAAAGAGTACGCAACTACACGAGGGCGGAGTCCCGAAGCCGTACAAAGTTATTTTAGAGAGTTTTTCAGGTCAGATCGAGTGTCTTGTACACACTTCTAACTCAGTAAGTCCACGTGACACAAAATCGAAACTAAAGTACAAAACTGCAAAAATTTGAAGGATCTTATAAACTTCCCCGGACAGAGCCATAAAGCCCAAACAGCCCACCAAAAAGAAGACATATGTGGGAAAAGAGGACATATGGTCACCCTAACTTTGGTTCAAGTACTGATGGTTTGGATTTGGACTTAGTTGGAGATCCTATGAGGAGTTTTTCTCTGGCTGTGAAACTGAAACTAATACTGATGCTTCCTGATAATATAAAAAAGGAAACAAGCATTTCCCAGAAGGGTAACTATTTCTTGATGATAATTTTTGATTTCTGAAACTTCTGGTGGGGTGGTCGGTGTCAGACCAAGTCTTTATCTGCATGCAGCTGCTTTACATGTTCTGCAAAGATTCTCATTCAGTGAACGTAGATGATTTGGTCAGGAAACACACAGGACAATATCAGCAAAGACCACTTTGTCCATAGGGGGCAGCAAAATCAACACAAACCAAGAGTGCTTCACATGAGCTTTAAATAAGAAATAAAAAAGCTTATTAATCAAGTTGAAAGAACCTTCAGTCACAAGTTGGGGTTCACAACAGAAATACCTCTTTTTCAGACTGTACAGTATCAAATAAGTGTCTGCATACAGTGGTAGCAGCTGCCTCAACAATAACTACATAGATTCACTGCATGTAAAGTAATATGTTCAGTCATTAATGTTGGTCAGAGGCCACTATCCCAGTGTGAGTTAAAATTTCTTAGTAATAAACCAAAACCATTTTGAAAAGAAAGTGTCCAAGCCTACAGCAGCATTTCTGCTTATTTTATACCAAAGTTCAACAGTAAAAGAGAAGAAAGACCTCATACGGTCCTGCTACAGTTCATCACCCTCTGCAGCTCAATATATATACACCGCATATGCTTCAGTGACTCTCTGAATACTTTCCACCCCAAATATATTCAAATATCACATATTGCATATTAGAAAACGATATTTGAAATTGAGTTGGGTATAAAGGATTATTCTAACTTCAGACAAACCCTGCTCTCTGATATTTTGGGTAACCTGTTCCCTGAATATAATCTCTTATCTGTGGTTGTGAAATTATTCAGTGGATGGGGATTATGAAATTTAATCTTAACAGGGATTTTCATGGTGAAAATAAATCATTTCCTTCCTTAGTTCATCAATATAAAATGATTTTTTAGAGAGAGGATTTGGCACCTCAGAAAGAGACAGGTATGAATGTCATTCTTCAACATCCTTCAGAAACAGCACAAATGTTCACAGACGCTTCACCATCTTTTGTGTCACAGTATCACAGCGATTATTTCTTGCTCCGTCGCTTTCATCAGCTGTGCATGAAGCGTAATCAGTCAAAGTGAAGATGAAGCCCTTGCTGGAAAAACCTCACACGACTGTTCATTTGGTTTATTATGCGGTATGACTTAAGCTATCATTTGGCTGTTTTTAAATGTCTTCTTCGATGTTGAAGGAACAACAAATTCATTACACAGCTTCTGTTGTTTTGCTTAATAAGTAACAGCAAAAATTATGCAGATTTTAACCAGGAATGAAATTAAGTGTCCATCATGTGAATATGTAAGGCTGTTAAATAATTCAGAGGTAGTAATAGAGAGGGGGAAGTTCTCCTACAGCAGAAAATGAAATGCTCCCCAGTATGATTGATCTGTTTTTAAGCCTTCAGCAGCACATAAAACAACACAGCTCCTGTAGTCTCTTAAATAATGGCAACTTTGTAATCCTCCATAAATCCTTTACAGCCTATAATTATCATGATACACCGTACAAGATAAATAACTGGCTTAAATGAAAGTGTTTGGTTTAATCTCTTCGCCATCAGGAACATATATTCACTGCCCTTCAATGAATTGGCAACCAAGAACTGATAAAATGAATTTATGATGGTTTTCCATCAGAATTATTTGAATTGCAGATTTTCCTCTGCAAATTCTCATACCACAATGCCAGAGGTGAAAATCAATGTCATCTTTTATTATTCTTTCACTGTTATCATATTCTCTTTCAGCACTGAGACACAATCCATCCCGCATTCAGTCCACAGTCCAAGTGCATCATAGATGGAGGATGCATCATGAGATGTAGAATATTAAATATTGTTCGGACAGAGGTTTATCTGAGCTGCACGGCTGCTATCCTTGTCTCTTGCTGATTCCCACTGGTCTGCCTCCAGGCCTGGATGAGTTTGAAGCAATCTCCCTTTGGGAACAGAGAGATTTTTTTTTTTACCGTTCCCTGAGGAACAGCATGGCAGCGCTTTAGGATGTCCAAAGATAACCTTCGTGTATCTGGGGAACACACGAGAGGACTGCACAGCAGATTGTCCGTGGTTGTATCTCTTGATCATAGCTTCCAGTATCAGATAACCAGGCTGCTAGAACTCCCAGCAGAGATTTTTTTTTTTTTTTGCTAAAGTCACCTAGTCTGGACTTATCTCTGCTGGACCTGAGAATTTCTGGCCTTAATCTGACACCAGAATCAGCACAACTGCATAATCTCAGAGCCATTCTCAATGCAGAGTCAAAGAAATGCTTCTAAAGAGCCCCTGGAGGAGATGCAGCGGGTGAAAATCCTTCTCCTGAGAGGAAAGTGTTGAATTTGATTCAGCAGAGTAAGTACGTATGATACTCTTGCTCCATATTGAATTTTTTTTCCCAGGGATGTTAGCTATATAGAGAGACAAGAGGAAGATAAAAGTCAAGAAAGGTGGCATGAATTCACAGAGATAGGGAAGGGGGCTTGGTTTGTTGACCAGGCTCTTTTTGAAGCACACATCCTCTGGTATGAGTCCGGATTTTCTCTATAATCCTGTCTTTCAATTTAGTGCCACAATCCTGTGTTCACTCAAGTAAACAACCTGGCCAGCTACAATTTCCTCTCTGTAGCTTGTAACAGCCACCCCTGTCATGTTCTGAAACGGATGGATGCATGAGAAGATTCATTTGGTCTGCATAGAAAAGTCCCCAAACTCAGCGAAAGCTTGAAATGCTTTGTAAGAAAAGACAGCATTTCAAACTTTTTGTCAAATGCAAATCATGTTTATCAGGCAAAATTGCAAAAGACCTAACAAAGATATTTTGTCTTGTTATGAGAAAACAAAAAGCATCTAAATGCTTTAAGGATTCATTCATTTTTTATTTCCAAATGTTGTAGCTGCACTATTTATTTCCAATAACCATACTTATATCTATGCCCTTATATTTAATATATAATCTCTTCAGCAGAATTTCATGAATAAAACATTGAGTAAATGCTTTAAGCTCTGCAAATATAATGTAAAATACTTATATAAATAATAAAAATAAGAGTAGCCCAAGGTCGTAGCAATTATGCTGTCTAATGTCCACTGTTTGCCTTGTGATCTCCTGGATAAATGTAGAAAAGTTAGGCTGGCTTTCAGTAATCACCTCCTGACCTCAGCTTGTTTCCTCTGAATAGACCTCGGTTATTTCTCCAGGTACTTGTGGGGAGTGAGGTGGGACTCGCTGAGTGAAAGCTTGGCAGCGGGCTGCTTTAGCAACAGTTTTGTAATGGAAAATAATGGGGGACTTAAATCACACATCTATTCACACATCAGGGTGACCTGTACAATGATCACCCTGCATTTGATACTTTCAGCTCTTTTGCAGCCATTTCCACCGGAGCAAATGAAAGCTGTGCTTTTTCCTACTGGCATCCAGGCTGAAGAAAATTGCAGGTGATGGTGGTTTTCAGTTGACTGTTGTGAGCTATTCTTAAGCAAACAAAGAGAGCTGTAATAATGCCTCAGAACTTACTGTACTCACTTTTTCTTGTGAACTTTTTACATACAAGCTTTGGTCTGCATTGTAGTAGTTGCCTCAGAAAGTGGTGTTGTGTTGCTATATTTATCCAAATACTTTGCATTACCACTTAATATAACTGTTGTGTTTTTTTCTGATACATAAAGTCCTTTCTTTAATATAACACCAGGTTATAAAATAACACTTTGATATCAAACAAATAAAGTACAAGGCACAAAGTTTACCATGAAACAGCTCACAGACATACTTGCATTTACAGTTTTTTGTGTTTCTAAGCTGAGCGAAAGTGATTGCAAATTATTAACATGACTTATTATTCACTTTTTAAGGGATCTTTGAGTTAAAAGACAAAAATCAGTAAGAAAGAGACCAAAGGCCAAAGGTTTTTATATTAAACTAACAATAAGTATATGGTTGACTTTGGGCTTTTCTACTTCAAAAAAGAGTGCAGCACAAATAACATACCACAAAAAAGACAGGTAAGTCAAGGTCCATGTTGATGATTATCATGAGAAAAAGGAAAATTGAAATAAAAGAAGGGAAGCTAAAAATCAGAATGAAGGATGGGAGAACCTTGGGCAGGTCTTATCAAATTAATTTGGACAGGAATAGTGTGGCAGCCGATGAGTTTGCTGTCATAGAAAGCTCTCTCTCTCCGTCTCTCTCTCTCTCTCACACACACACACACACACACACACAAGCAGACCTTACTCTGACATTACACCACTGTCAGCTCACACTCACACATAATAGGAACATCCTCCGAGGTCAAACACCAGGCAGGACCACCTGTCAGACACCAGCAGGGACTGTTGCCAAGACAAGAAGAAAGAGCAGAGAAGCAGATGATCTGCTGAGGGATCTACAAATACCAAATGACAGAGTTCCACTTTCATTTTTGAGATTGACCACTGCAGAGTATATTCCAATGATTTGCTGATATGTCTGACTCGCTGCTTCCATGTTGCTTGAAGCCAGACATTGCCATATCTGGTGCTGGAGAGGGGTGAGGTTTTTTTTTTTTTTAATGCCAAGTTATCAAAGCTAAACAGACTCTCCCTGTGGCTAATTCATTAGCTGGCAAATGAACTAGCTAACCATTATGATTCCCACAGACTGAGTTCCTATGAATCTGTGGTGGCTGCTGACACTGTTGTTTGTTTATTACAACAAGGAAGCATTAAGGGCTTTGAGACAGCGGCTGACATACTGCTCAAGAGTGAGGTGAACAGCAAAAATCACCTAAAACAACCGTTGAGCTCACTTTTTTGTTAGCTTAAAGAACTACAGACAGACAGACAGACAGGTGGCACCACCCACCTGCCACTCAGTGACTGCGGCAACTAATCATGAATAATTTAAGGCTGAATATGAATAGATGAATAATACATAAATTCCCTCTTTGCACAGTTTATTTCTTGCACAGAAATCAACTATATTGACCAACACATGGACTATAAATGTGTTTAATTTGGTTGTAATGTCTGGTATTTTGTGTGGGCTCCAATGGGACGGACACATTATTGGAGTAGGCCTTAAAAGGATGGTCTAGTCACTTCAGTATTTGGTAAGTGTTGGCAAGTTTTCAGCCCTAGAACCATTACACAGCAAACGTCAAGTTGACAAAGCCTTGTTTCCCTTTAGGCACAGCTCTTTAAGGAAAGGCCATCATAATGGTCGTGTCAGTCAAATAACTGAGTTGTGTTAAAGGTGCACATGTGCTGTTGTTTGATAAGAAGTATCAAGCCAACGTGTACAGTGTGACATACTTTATTTCTGAATCTAATCTTACAGTAGGACCCAATTGTGTTCTATGTGCTTGAAAATATCACAGCCCAAAGGCTGATCAGCCATTTATGTCTGTGACAGTGAAAGTAAAGGTTAAAGTGTTAGTCCTCTATCCAGTGAGCCAGAATGGGGGAGTAGCTTGTTTATTCCCTGCTGGTATTCACAGAGAATTCAAAGTCTCTGGTCTATCAGATAATTTGCCCTTTTCTCTTTGCCTGCCATTTGGCCCCATCCTTCTTGGCTGTCTTATCTCTGACAGAGAGGACCAGTGCTCTCTTTCTCCATCACATACCTTCCATCTTCTGGCCCTGACCTTCAGATACATCCTCCATCAGAACAAAGGGATGAAAATGTGCACAATGTCAACTAAACAGTTAAGTAACCAACGTAGCCCATCTTCTCAGTAACACATGTTAATCAGGATGTGACCAGAGTTAGGAATTTAAAGGTTTTTTTGTTTGTTTTGTTTTTACCATCATTCACCTACTTTTAGCACACTGGAGTTAAGCCTCTGGACATTTGTCTGTTTGTGAAAATTAAAATTACTACTACTCATTTGGAAGAAATTTTTCAGTTTTAAAAAAATCTACAATTTCGGCTGAAAAGTCACAAATAATGTGCACCTTTTGTCAACTGGAATAAAAATACCAGAGTTAGAGTTTGAGCTTTGAGTTCCTTTAAAGTCCATCTGAGGATGGAAGGTTAAGCACTGGCTCAATCACAAATTCACCAGAGCAGGCAAGACAAGGACAGTTCCACCATAAGACCTACAGACAAATATTTGACATTCTCAAAGCTAGTCCTTGTGTGTTGATCAGATCAAGCAAAAAGGAAATTTTGCCATGTTGTGCTCTTAAAGCTTTTAAATTAAACTAAACAGAGAGGAAAAGTTGTGAAAGAGGTAAGAGCAGGCCAGCAAGACTTTTTCAGCCACAATCAGAGGTCACACTGAGCAGAGACAACACCTCGGGGCAGCAGAATTGCTCAGGCCACACTTTAAAATCACATTGCTTTTTTCACAAAGAGGCTCAACAGTCACTGAATTATATCCAAATTAGCAGGAAATAGACCACAGAAAGGAAAAACAACTTGTTTTGAGTATGTTGTTTCCCCTATACTGAGCCCAACTGACCTGGGCTGCACTACGCTGCTGCCACCTTCCAAACACATATCCTGTGGGAGATAAACAGCACTGCTCGATGGAGTAGAGACACAACGCTGACGGAACAGACTCAACACGGATCTTGTATGTTTTCCACTTTAGAGTCAACTAAAAACCAGAAAATTCAACAGTTTAACAATTTGAAAAAAGTATCATTCAGTAAATCAGAAATGTATCTTTGCCCAAAGTGCAGCATTAAACTCAGCAGTAAAAACTAAACTTTCAAGAGGGAAAGGTTTAGTTTAAATATGGCATGCTTTTCCTTGTGTGGCAAAGAACTGATGATGGTCTACTAAAAAAGAAAGCAAATGTTAAATGTTGACCAGAGTGAGTGTGTTTTTTTTTCTCTTTTTAATAATTTTTTTTTTATCCTGCAAGCTCAAGGCCATTTGATGAATCACATCTTTCCCAAAACACTGAAAAGAGTATCTGACAGCATTAGCTTTGATCAGAAACAACAAGAGGTCCAGGTATTTTTTATGTGATTTTATGTGACTATAAACAGCATGAACTGTTTATGGTCTGTTGTTCTCCCTGCTGTTTGCGCATGTATCTTGATTAGTCCACTGAAAATATTTAACTCTCCATTCAGAGCTAATATTTAATTATGTACCTTCCCATTCTGCTGTCATCAGCAGTCATACACTGTTTTCAACAAACAAATCATAGTTGCTTGCTAATGAATCCATTAGAATGCAACAATAAAGCCAGTAACACCTCAGGCCATGTGTGTGTTGATTCTTTTAATGTGTCTGATTTTGCACTGTACCTAAGAACAAGCAACACAAACAGTGCTCTGCTTTCAATATAATTAAGAAATAATGGTACAACAGTAATGTCGTACAAGCCAATAATGTTGGCCTTAAGTCAATAATAATTGATTTGGGAATGACCTCATTAATGACTAAGGCAAAACCTCATGTTGGTTTTTTCTTGGAGAAATTCAAGGCTGTGGGGTTATTCAATGGAAAGTTAATACTCATACTGAACATGTTCTTGATATCCAACATGTGCATAACTCGGATCATTCTCATTTGATTAAAGGACTGCAAGAAATATGTACTCCAAGTCTGAGTGAGATTCTAAAATTGATTCCTCTTTCCCACCTACAGCATATAATCAAGCAAGTTGGCTTAGCACAGTTTAAAGAAGCAGCAGAAGAGAAAGGGAAAACAGCCTGACTTGAAAGTTTTAGCTAATTTGCCACAAAAAAAAAACAACATAAATGGTTGATTTTGCATTAGAGGTGCTGGTTGGCTTATTTTGTGACCTCTTGACTGAGCTGAGCCTGATTTCTCACTACTAGATAAACTAGCAGTAGCGTTGTATTTTCAGCACAAGTGGGTGTTAAAGCTATGCCTATTAAAAGCATGCTTGGAAACATAACTTGTCTTATTTAATGCAGCAAACATATGCATTCATAAACTCATTCACAATACAAACACTCAAAACTATACGTATGTTTGGATTAAGAGTCAACAGAGAAATTATTACTCAGAAAAGTTTAGTATGTCTCAGGAGGCATAACTCAGCTGCCTGACAAACAGTGTTACAGTCTTCAAGACTTTTTGAGTAACTGTTGATGCATTAACATACAGATTTATTTTGAGGATATGCATTATGTGCAATTTTTATGGGTTGTCAAAATGTTGACGCACAAGCTATTCTGACGGTGAAATAAATAATATAAACTCCTGCAGCATCATATCAAACATAACCATTCAACCAATGATGCTTATTCCAGAAGCAGGACTGCTACAAACTTTCATTTGCATACAAATGCATCGTGATTTTTGGCTGAGGCAACCAAGAGGAACCATCATTTAATGATTGCAGTTGGACATATTGTGTGGTTCTGCAGAACTCACTAATCCCTAACACAGTAATTGTTGGAAGCACACAGGGTTGTCAGAGCATGCAAAAGGCCTGATTAGCTCTCACCTTACACCAGTCAGCTCTGTTCACACATTTCATGAACCCTTTACAGAAGCCTTCTCATTAGTTACAAGACTGGAGATGCTATCCCTCCATTTGAGCTGTTACTTTTACCTCTCCTTTTCTTCTCCATCACGCAGCAGCTGCTTTTAAATGTACACGAGGGATTTTTGAGTTTCAAGAGGCAGACCAATCCACCACAAAGCCTGAGCGCTACAACACTAAGGAGAGAAAACATAAACCACCTTGTGTGAAGTTGTTTGAAGGATAACAGAAATGTTTTTCAGAGTTAAAAGTACTGTGAAACCCAGAGTATGAGTTGCACTGTCAATGAGGACAGTCTTTTTTTAGGGAGGTCCCAGAGAGAAATCTCATTTACTGTGTTCCTGCATTACACCTTTGTTGTGAGCAATGTGCAGTTTCTGTGCAACTGTGCAGCTCTTTGCAGTATCATCCGTACCAACCCTCTCCTGCTAGATACCTGTGTGAAAGTTGAGCTCAGCCTACAGTGGTGTGGATAGTTTTGGGGAATGAACGTATCCATCATCCCATCGGGATTTCCCACTGCCTATGTCAGTTACTTGTTCTCTAAAATTTAAGTCTTTCCGATCAAAACAGCACTAATAAGGTTTCATTTACTTGTTATCTCACAACTTTTTTTCTTTGAATGCAAATGTTCTTTAAGTACAGCCTGTTGAAAAAAAGTGAGAAAAAGGTGGCATCACCGGACTGGTATGGCTTTATTTGTTTCAGCATGCTTGGCGCATTGAAGCAGTCGCCTGCTTTTTTTCTTTCTTTTTCTTTTAGTTTTTTTTTTGGTTACCATCCTTGAGGTAAGACACCACAACAAATAAAATATCTCTCAACACTTTTTCCTTATATTGGTTGCAGAGGTATGAGGAACACAGCTCATTTTCTGGATGACAAAGTGAAGTGAAGTGTATCAGATGAAGTTTGCAGAGTTGTTAATTATGATAATTACCTGGCTTTCATACAAACCACCTGTATAAAATATTGACTGAGTCTGAATGTTTTCCAAAAAGCAAGAGTGGCATTAAGAACAAGTAGATTGCACCCATCCTGTTGGTAACATGACAAAAACATTTGTTTTCATAATGTTGATAAAGAACACATTTTTTAATATACCTTCATTTTGGAGAGTACAAAACCTTTAATTTGTAATCAATGACTGACTGTTTGAAAATGTTAAAATGATTAAAAATATCAAGTTTAGCTCTTGACAGCTCAACACCCCAAATAATCATAGTAGCTATTCACAGTTTGCTCCTGACCCTGACTAAAAGAGAAGTAAGGGTTAAATCTGCCAATCCCTGTTGCAAAATATTGACTTCTGTCTGTTAATGCTTATACGGGCATCTACCCAGAGAAAGGCAAAAGTTTCCACGAGAAAACAAGAAGTTTTCTAACCCAGAGCAAATGTCAGAAGGAATAGTTAAAATGACTGTGAAATAACAGAAATTAAAATGCTATTCCTGACCTTCCTAACTTGTTGGTGCTTCTGCAAAGGTCTTTTATGACTCACCATGGAGTCATCTGTACTGTTAGCCTCATCCATGATAAGTGTGAGACTGCTCCTGACTTTATAAGTGCCACTGCTTGTCAGACTAAATGGTCAGGAAGTATAAGTCTGCTGATAGAGGCCTGGAATTGTTTCTAAATGGTCGCATTAATGCAGTGAACCCACAGGCACACAATAGAGCAGGCAGTGGGGCTGTATGACATTCTTTGTTTTTATTGGGGAAAGAGCAGCCATCTCTGTCATCTCAATGTCTTCATCCGCATGAAAAAATAATGCCGCCACCACTGCAGCACGTACAATAGGAATGTTGAGAGGCTGCAGACAGAGCTGTCACACGGCCAAGCAACTCCAACTACGCTCCTCACCACACAGAACAACAGGAAGAACAGATTAAAGCAGACCACTGACTGCTCTTGGTGAAAAGATTAATAACAAGATTCAGCTTAGCGTGTGTGTGTGTGTGTGTGTGTGTGTGTGTGTGTGTGTGTGTGTGTGTGTGTGTGTGTGTGTGTGTTTGCATGGTCTTTTGGAGCAGACAGACTGTAAATCATATGACTGTGTAAGGATCTTTGTGTCAGCGATTTCCAGCCATTAGAAAGCCTTTGACTGTTCAATAATAGATAAGGCTTAATGGCTTCTTTGCTGCTGCTTCTGGCTGTGTCTGACATGTAGTGAGATAATGAATGTAAAAGAATACTGGAGACATGTGTCACATGGTTAACATCCTATTTTGGTGCTGAGATTTCTCCCTTGTTCTCTTGTATCTTTTGTCAACCACCTGTCTGTTTGTTGTATCCGGAAGAAAATAAACACAGACAGGTGGTCTGACAGTGTTGTGTGTTTTCAATATTGATCAAACTTTTTCAAAGACATACATGAAAAAACAATATGCTTTATTGAACAGTAGAAAAACCAAAAGAAAAAAAAATATCACCAAGCATGTGCCATTAAAACAGATACGGATTTAAACTTCACCCAACAGCATGTTAGATGTGGTCACAAACACGAGTTGGGCCCTAAAGACGTCAGCTTTAAAACTTTTTAAAGGAATATTCCGTCGAAAAATTAACTAAGGGTCAAACACACTGTGACACCTAGTTAGACACCCCCACAAGAGATCAATGTTGCCAACCGCTTGCTTCTCTAGTTATACCAACTTTAGTAACAACCACAGGATAGCAATACACAGCGGTCTGGGGGGCCACACACAAACCTCAACCAAAACGCCACTCTATAGCCACAAATAATGCTCAGAGCAGCACCTAACTTCATCAACAGTACATATAGGGTCCCAGCCATAGCACGAGCCACCAAACATCTTTTTAACTTGGCCTGATTTCTTTAGCAAAGAGACTAAACACAACTCAGCCACTCTCTTCCAGCAGCCGCTTGTTTGTAGCGAGACCTCAGGCCAGTCCATTACAGACTGCTGCAGCTCAAGGAAGAACATTTATGATCATCTCTGGAGGGGGTGTCTAACTTGATGTTACGATGTGTTTGACCCTAAATTTATTTTATGCCGGAATATTCTTTTAAAATTGTTTTAAGTCTTTTTATATTGCAGACTTTGTGCAACTGTTCAACAACTCTGTTCACTGCCTACAGTTGATTTTTTTCCGGACGTCAAATTGCTCTAAAAGTGATTCAGTGATGCAGTGATGTCAGAGCAGTCTCTGATTAGTAAATTGGTACCAGCTGTGGGCCTGGCTTGAGGCTGACAGTTTGCAATAACAACTTGAGCTGGTTGCCCAAAACGATAGACACACCACAGTCTTAGGCAGGCAAAATGAGAAATGTATGCATAAGTATGATGACCACGGTCTGCTTTCTTTCTTGCCTCAGTACTGGTCACACAGTCGAAAGAAAGCAGACCGTGGTCATCATACTTATGCATACATATTATGTATATTGTCACCTTTAAAATATTGCTTTTTTTCATGATGTGTGCTGCTAACCTCTTGGCTGGGTCACCCTTGTGAAAGGGATCTTGATCTAAATGGGTTTTATCCATAGACTGTAAAAACTATGGACAACTTGGTTCCGCCTGCCGCCAGTGTACAGATTTGAAGCCGAAAAGCTCTCGGCATTTCCATGATTTTTCTCCATTTCCTGAAACCAACATTACGCAGTAGCATTGTACGCACTTTATCACTTGCGCAGTAGCGTTGTACGGTGGGAGAGTTGCAGCGAGTTGCCATGTAGGTGAGCTTCACAATCTATGTACGCTTATAGGCTGTATCAAGTGTCAATCATAGAAAACATGAACCCACTTTGAATCCCTTTTTAACTTTTAAAAACTGGGCTGTACAGAAAAAAGAGGACTTGAGCGTAAACCAGTCTTAAAGTAACTTAATGTCCACATCGCAAACAGGAGGGAGAAATTTGGTGTAATTAATTACTAAAGCTTGTCCACAGCTCCATAAGCTTTGCTGGAGGAGGTGGGATTAATGACCTATACTGCAGCCCGTCACCAGAGTGTGCTGTTCTCAGAGCAGCTTTACCCAGCGAGGAGGCAGATGGCATCCACTCTATATACAGTCTATGGTTTTATCTGGTTAAATAACAGTTAAATAAATGAATGAAATAAAAACGAACATTTACCTCGTGATTTAAAACTTCGCATATATCTAGTATGGACACCAAACTTTGTAACTTTGCAGTTTTGTTGTAAATGTGGAAAGCATGATACCACGCCTTTAAAGTGTATGTAAAATTGGTCCAACACCAATGCAGCAACAAATTATGCGCAAAATGTCAAAATTGAGAAATAAAAATCACTTCTGCTAGTCCACCTGTAGAAGATTAAAGGCATTCACTGCCAAGGACTGTTCATAGAAAGACATATGCATAACTGAACTAAATATTCCTGATTAAGAATGAGATGTAGTACACAGTTTTTTTCAGAAGTGAAGAGTGACTTTTTCTAGAGTCTGTATCTTATTTTTACTAAAAGCATTTTTTATTCCTTGCTGCTTTTCTGCTCAACTTCACTATATTCATAAGACGTCCTTGTGTTACTGCAAGTGACTGATGAAACTTCTTCAAGTCCAAAGCTCATTGTCTTTTTCAGATAAGCCAGGATGTATCAGCCCTGAAAGCAGCAAAAGTGCACATTTTATCACGTCTATCCTGCATGTTTGGACCGATTTTGTCAATGTTGGGCACAGACTCAGATAAGAAGGGAGGTGAGGATATCATTTCCAACCTTCTTAAACCTGTTCCCTTCACAGCACAGGGACACACACTGTGACTTACTGTAAATATCTCAGTCAAGCACAGCCAAACAATATGGTGACAGCTTTGCTTAGACTTTGAGCTGGCAGCAGATTTTTGTCATGAAATCCAGTTGGACGGGAAGCTTTTGCAAATGTCAGTGTCTGACATGTTCATTTAAGAAATACTTTAAGTGTTTGTGTCAGGTTATCCTTGTGGTAGTGGGTAGTATATTTTCACCAACAGGCCTATTTGCAGCAGACATATTGCCTTGTCACAGGTGTTACTAATAACATTAACAATGTCACCATTGTATCCAGGTGAAGCAGTAAGCTATGACAGTTTGACAGTGAGCCAACTTAACACTACACAATAAACACTTGGACTCTTCACGTGAAGCAACTTAATGGAGTAAAGCTTCATTTTATTATCAAGAAGAAACTTTCTTGGTTTATTAGTTTTGTGTTTCACACAGCCGAGGGCTTTGACCCCAGAGGCTGCCAAGTCCTGCCTGTGATTATATTTGGACAGCAGACGCCCTTTCGCTGTGGTAGGAGAAAGCTTTGTTTTGGATGTGAGGGTGTATTTTAAATTCTGTTTTTTAAAATGTGCCTCAATCCACTGCAGAGGTTTTCTTTTCTTTTTATTTCATTTTTGAAAACACTTGAATCTTTTTTAATCTTAATCAAAATTTTCTGCGGCTCAATCATGCAAAAAGGAATACTGTGCGGTTTTTATGGCAGGTGAAGATATAACAAGCCAAGGTTAGTTAACCTTTCCTGCTTGTATCCCTATTTTGAGTCAGCAAGCAATGTTAATTAAAAACCTTTCCTCATTGTGTGTGTAAAAATTAGTGTCCAACACCATTCATTTTAACAAAAGTCATGCCGATGCTAATAAGCGTTTGGAAATGTAATTTCTCAAAGACCAGGTTGCCATAGCGATCATGACAATATGGAAAAATTTGTGTTGATAATTTTAACCTTTCCAAGAAATTCCTCACTATTGCAAAACAACAAAACAAAAGGAGTTAGTGTAGCACTAAACCTGGTTGAATCCACAAGATGGCATGAATGAAACTAAACTTCACATCACATGATCTGAACCTGGAAAGCGTGATTAAGTTACTAGCACATAAATGTGCACAGTATGTGTGTGTATGTGGTAAGTAGAGATAAAAAAAAATGTTGGGAAAGCAATTTAAAGCATGTTCAGTCTCGGCATGATAAAAGTCAGTAACTGCAAATCAAACAGGAGGCAGCCGCTGAGCCCAGCAGTGCTGCTGGTCTTCAGATGAAGAAGACGACTAACAGATCTCAAATGAAGTTGCTCAGACTCAAGCTAAAAACACAACACACAAAAAGGCGGGACTCTGCAGTCCATCAATCACACAAACAATGTAGCTGTGTCAACGCAAAAACATCAGCACACTTAAAACACTGTGTCGGCCCTCAGCTCACACAAAAGATTCCTCTGCCAGTGTAGTTTCTTCATGGCAGAGGAGGGAGAAATGGCAGCCGATTTGGCTTGTCAGCAACAGTGGGCTTTATTGTGCTTTCAATGCCATACTTTCCAAGTAAATAGGCTTTTATCTAACCTTGCCTTTACTTCCAAACTCCTGTCCTGGCTATCAGCACTGTGACTGTCTTTGTGGAAACCGTTTTCTGAAGGTTTTTAATCAGGACTCAGAGTCAGCAGTAGAACTGACACTGAACCGCTTAAAGTAACAAATGATCTACTTTGGCTCCTGTCTGTGCTTGTCTTGTTAAATCTCTGTGCTGCCTTCGACACAACTGACCATCACATCCTGTGACAGAGACTGGAATGGTTAACTGACAGCAACCACTTAAGCTTGGTTTAAATCATGTCTGTAGATGCAGCCACTCGTTATCAACATCATTATAAATGCTAATATGAGACCTGCTGATCATATCCATTGTAGTGTACTATCAATAATTTTGCTGTTCCTGCTAATAGTACAAGAACAGAGTACGGCAAGCCTTTTCTAATGGTAGTATGATTATGTCTATTTATAGCAGAAACTGGTCGTTTTGTGGTTTCCCACAAATTTTCAAGGGCACAGCTGCTACAGTCTCTCATTTATGAATCAATTACTAGTATTTACTTGTGTAGTGCAAAACTACAACAAATTTCATCCCAAGACATCTGTGAGAATCAGTTCTTAAGCTGACTGCTCAAGGACAACCAGAGAAGTCTTCAGGTTTCAGACAAACCTTTTATTATGGTCACAGGTAAAGTAAAACAGCGCTGGACTCATTATGACAGAGCTCCTAGGATCTTCATCACACCCAATTCCTGGTGTGGTTTTACATTTATCTTCCAGGCTAGGGCTGCCCATCATACAGAGGTTGGACTTAATACACTACCAAGTATCATTGGCCAGTCATCTCTGATGTGAACAGGCTAACTACTAGTGTTGTAGTACTCAAGATTGGTCTTGGTCTCGAGAACAGTCTCAAGTCCATTTTTTGAGGGTCTTGGTGTCGTCTTGAAATCGAAGGCATTTTCACTTGGTCTTGTCTCGGTCTCGCAGTGAGCGGACTCTGGTTTTTGAACGAGACCAGTCGAGCTTATAACTTCACATCATTGGGAGTAATGATTCTCCCTCAGCTGCAGCTGCTGACACAAGTCTGAGTGACTAACACATCCCTCCATACAGAGAGAGGATGGCGACGACAGGAGGAGAGGCTGTGTTCATGCTCGGCACCCGGTGAATTCATCATGAAAGGTGTCTGCCCACTCAGCAATAATTCAGTTTGGTTTCCTAAACCACAAGGAGTTTATTTGTAAAACGACATGCAAGCGAAAACACTCGGCAGTGTGCAAATTCTGCAGTGCACAACTCACAGAAACAGCTGGTACGACTCCAAACTTTTACCGTCACCTCGAAAGGAAGCATAAAGACAGGTAAGCTAATGGTTACCATAGAGTAGTGTTGTAGTACTCGAGATCGGTCTTGGTCTTGAGACCATTTTTTGAGGGTCTTGGTGTCGTCTCAGAATCGAAGGCATGAGTTCAGTGGAAAAGTACAAATCTAACGCTAGCAAAATTAAACAGAATTGCAACATATCGTATTATATCGTAGAGGACTTTTCTCTGGAGGACCACCTGCAGTTTTCTTCTGTAAGTTGTGAACCACAACTTGGCATGCTGAGATTTTGAGGCCTTTAGAGTTTCCTGTTCCATTTGTTTCCCACAAATAGTGGGAAACAAATGCTTGTGGATTCATATGCAAGGTGAAAAGGTTTTGTCTTTTGTCTGTCTGATCCAAATGGGGTGATCCTCAAACCCTCATACATTTTACACTGCAATGACGATTTTGCTGTGCAAACATAATGGGAGTCACATTTTTGGACAGCTATTCTCCTCTGTTAGATAAAAGACATGCATTGAACAAAAAACTTGGAACACTGTTGAATCAATGAGACTTGGTGACTTCTGTTTGAAAAGTTTTCGGAATCAGAGACAAGTGACCAGTGGAAGCTGTGTTTCTACAGATGAGTTGTTGTAGATGGTGGTTATCACACAACTATTACTGTTACTAGGAGCTGGTGGTTTTTTAGACTCCACCAAACAAAAACAGCTGAAAGAACTCCAAATGGCACAGAAAACATTGTGGACTTTGCTTACTGTAATAAAGTTTTCACTGTCACAAAAAGTTCAGTGTTACATATGTCTATATATAACCGAGGTAAATCTTCATGGTTGACACTCCTGCACTGTGAAAGATTTGGTCCTATACTGGGAATAGTTGAAACACGTATTTCAAACAAACCAAACCTCTGGACTCTTCTTGGTTGCATCACTGCTCAATTTACAGTGTTTTCTGATTGTCTTATTTCCAATTTTCTGCAGCAGTTGACATTAGTTTAGTGCTTGATTGATTTCTTCCCATTGCTTCCTCTCTGTGTGTACATGTGATAAGACAGATGGTTGTTAAACATGGCTGACATTAGTTGGGAGCTCTGAGCAGAGATTGAGGTGAGGCAGTATAAACAGATCTGTGTTAATGGGTCTGTCCCTCAGGGTCTGCTGTGCACTGAGGTAGAGAGATAGCTGTGGACGTTTCATTCCCTGTCCTCCTGGAACGCTGCTCTGAGAAATTCAAGGCAGATTATTGATGAGCAGTTTCCTTAACTGAGAGTGAATCCAGTGTTACCTGTGTAGGCACACGCTTTGCTTCGTCACAGAGATCATTAAAATTTCATCAAATGTAGTTTGTTTAATCACTTAAATATCCATCAGAGTAAATCTAGTCAAGGGCAAAAGACAGTGACACATAGGCACGTTAAAATGCCATTTTAAAAGTACAAAAAGTCATCCTTTCACTAAACCTGAGGATTAAAAATGTCTGGCTTAATCATTCAAATGGTATTAGAAAGCAGTTGTCATTTTCACAAACACAACAAAGTCAGTTACTTTAGTGTTGATTAGAAAAGAAACGAAAATCCAAATTATAAGTTCAAATATAAATCCAGGTGGTTTAAACCAGAACTATATTTTCTCAGTTTTTCTCTCAATTAGAGTAAGTAAGTAAAGGTTTATTTGTATAGCACTTTTCGCAGTGCGGGTACACAAAGTGCTTTACAGTATAAAACATAAAAACATCATAAAACAGAGTCATTCAGTATAAAGTCGGTATAAAACATCATAAAGCCTACATCAGAAACATCAGAAATCAGTATAACATCAAGAGCACTTTAATGTGTTTGAAACTCTGTATTCATAGCTTACAGTGCTGCTCTCCAGCTCACATCGAGAGAGCAGAATAAGCCCTGGTAACTAAAAGATGATGAACACAAGCTTGTCTATCACACAACACATAAGGAGCATATACGTATACAACAGCGATGACCCAACAGTTTGCATGACACATCACCTATCACTTTCATTATCCATGTTAAGTCAATGTAAAGACGCTCCTACTACTCTAGCGGCGCAAATTACTCATATTGGGCAGAAGCTGAATATGTCTCAACTAATTCGGATATTCGCGTCACAATAACTAATCAGCACAAAGGTTGCCAGGTGATGTATGAAAATGGACGGTTGTTGACTGGTATCTAAAATGGGAGACAAACTGATCATGTCAGTGTGTGGGTGCCCTGAATTATATGATACCTTTTCTTTAAATCACCGAAACTGGAATAAAAAGGAAATAAAAATCACTTGATCCTGCCGGTTGAATTGGCAGGGATTACCGTTGAAATTACGGTTGACGCACGAATGAAGCGAGTAAATAAAATTAATTAATGCGTCTAGATTCACGTGAATTAAGCAAGTAGGTGATTTTACTCGCACTTAGCTCCCCATTACACATACCAGAGCAGATGTCTATGTGTATTTAAGGTGGGACACTTCTCATACTGGTTACACCACTGATACTGACTGTTGTCAGACAAAACCTGTTGTTATAGAAACGAGTGAAAGATTTATCAGTCAAGAGAATTTATCAAGTGCAGACAAGAGCAAATTGTTACAATCCATGTAGCGCCTTGGTTTGTTGCCTGTGTTAACCTAGTGGCAACCTCCAGTTTTGAGAATTGAAGCCGATGTGGAAGTGCCAAAAAAGGGCAGTTCCCATTGAGTCTGCTTGAAGCAGGCTGCAGAAGCACCAGAACTTTCAAAGCCCCCCAAAAAAACATTTTTTTAGAAAAAAATAAGCATGTTTAAAGTCAAAAACCATGTTTGGTCTGAAAAGCTCAGAAATCAGTGGAAACTCAGGAATAGCTCCCACTTCACCCGCTGTGTAAAGAGTGAAGATTTTTGTATCCTGTTGGTGTTGAAGATTTTGAGGTTGTGAGACTGGCAAATCAGAGGTACTTTTGATTTGACTGACAGGCAGGCATACTGTAACTATTAGCAAGGAGGGTAAAGGCCTGTCTCTGGTTGATTGACCAAACGTTAGGCTGAGTCGGCATTTCCAATATGGTGACAAACGCAAAAAGGCAACACTACATCCATTCATTATACAGTCTTTATTTGGTCTTTCTGATGACCTGTATTCTCTGAATACTTTGAAACTAGGAGAACCTCTAAATCGTTCCCTGACAAAACTCCACATCCATGTTACTACCTCACTCAGTTCTGCCATCTGTTTTGGTTTGTGGCAAACAAAACCTCTAAAGGGAAAACTGTCTCCAGGCTTGATGGAGCAGAGGGGACACAGTTCATAATCCACCAAGACTTAGTGAGTTCTCTCATTGCATGGCACACCTGAAGCTAGCTGGAAATGTGGAGGAGAAATAAGTAGAATGAAGAAAGATATTCAGAATATTTGAAAACTCAAAACTCCATCCTTTGCCAAGCAGTCTCTGTGGACGCTCCACAGACAGCTGAACAGGTCTGATAAGGAGTTAGCCAGAAAACAACAACAGGAGAAGAGAGATGAGAGCGAGAAAGAGAGAGACATGATGATGGTGTTTATTTGGTAGAAAATATTTGGGATGATATCAGCTCGACAAACACATTACTTTTTAAATAAGTGTATCAATGTGGTTTTTAAATGTAGTGGAAACATTAATATTTACGGTTAAAGTTGCTGGAGTAGTCTACAACCAATTAACTTACTTAAGAGGAAGATTAGTTCTCTGACTCCACACTTTTGAGTTTAACAGAAACAAAGTATCATTATAATATAGCAAATTGATGATCGGTTAACATGAAAAGAGAATAGAAAAAAACAAAACAGAGATCATACTATATGAAATGAAAAAAGTAAATGCATGCTGTCTTCTGGTACGATAAGAGTGTCTAATTTTAGCCCAGATGGCTAAAACTGGGAGTCGTTGTCAGTTAGTGCCACTGCTCATTACGACACAGTTCCTGGACTTTGTCCTCATATCAAATTCATAAATTAGCATAAATAACATAAATTTTCAACCCCTGAAACCAAGAGCGCAGAGTTTCATCTGTATTTTACATTTACTGAATTACAGATGAATATCTTAATAGTTATATTCAACACACAGTGAATGTGAGAGATGTTGCATTGTTTAGTAATACAAATCCATGACTGTTTTTCAGAGAATAACTTTAAGTTAGTTGTTCACATTAAGAAATGTAGTTGTTTTTTTTTTCCTGCTGGGTCTATCAGAAGTCAGGAAGTAAACAACATCCACAGAAGCGGCCCAAAGGCCTTCAGCATGGCTGCTGAGATTAAAATGCAAATTAATTTGAAAGGTTTTTGTTGTTCGCCTCCAATCTTCACCTGAAAAACTCAAAAGGGTTTCTAGAGGTCTGCTCTATCTTTCCCCTGATGCCTCTATAAGCAAACAAACAACATTTTAATTGACTGGGTTTACTGTTTAATTCAGAACATAAAAGAGTCAGTCAGTTTGAATATTTTTCTTCCGGGCCTCCATAGTATCATTTATACCCATGTGACTCAAAACTGAACACAAAAAAAAAAAAAAAAAAAACTTTTTTAAACAGCAGCATTAAATAAAAACTGCAACTGTTAAATGAAAAATAACACAAGGGCCCAATGGGCAGCTGTGACTCAATGGTAAAATCTGCTGTCTAGGGGTTCATCCTGAGGGACCCTCTGGTACTTAAAGATATGTTCCGGTGTAAAAGTAATTTAGGGTCAAACACACCGTAACACTGAGTTAGACACACCCTAAATTAATTTTGCGCCGGATATCCCTTTAATCTCAATATTCCCATTGGCTGTGCTGTCAGTGTGTAAATGGGATTGGTTGATACTGGGAGGGGCTTTGCGTATCAGCTTCTGCCATCAGTGAATAAATGTGGTGTGAATGGGTGAATGTAACGTGAAGGGTAAAAGCACTTTGGATGGTCAGAGGACTAGAGAAAGCACTAAATAAATAGTCCATTTACCATTTACCCAAAGACAGTTTTCAGACTGAGTGCTCTATGTCAATGACATCTCAGGTGATGTTGCCCACTCATGTTCTGTGGGCCTGAATCAAAAAGGATTACTCAGCTTCAACTTTACCCGTGGAAATAAGACAAAAAGACATTAGCGCATTCAAAAAGCATACAGTAATAGTGATGTGCAACTCAAACTGCACAGATCATTTGGCTTCCATGTGCATCAGTGCTGTCTAAAGTGTATTTAAATAAACCACTTTGTACGTATTAAAGGTAAAATTGTCCCTTTTTATAAAACTTATTCGAAAAAAGGACTAATTTACAAAAAACGGCACTTACAGCCATACACAAGGTAAAATTTATTCCTCTTGCTGAGAGCTTGTTCTAACTGCTGTAACTCGAACATTCTTGGAAATGAAAAAGCTCAGACCTGGCATTCAAGCGACACGTTGCACACTTTGTCCACATGTATGGAGCCTGCTTATTTTTATGTATAACAAGCTCCTGGAAAGGACTTTCATTCCGAATGCTGAAATTTGCATCAGATCTACAAAGAATCCTCTTTGCAGTCTATTGATAAGAGATGCTCCTTCGCTTGTGGATTCATTTTCTGTATGTGAGTTCCATTGAGATAAATGCATGCAGCACAGCTCTGGGTAAAAGACGGGAGATGCTGCATCTCAGCTGCTCAATCAGTCATAACACGAGAGCAAACTGCACAGAACTCTATGGCACTGTTTGTGCCAGAAGATCATTAGGGCAATATGCTTTGTGAAGGAGATCTTGAGTCTGAAAGTGAAGGAAGATGATGGGCAAATTCTGGTATTACCATCTGCATTCCTTTCTTATTGAATTCCCCCCTCACTGTGTTTGATCCTCAATCTTCCTGAACTGCTTTGTTTCCATTAAGTATTTCCCTTTGTTGGCTATTCTTACAGCTGCTGTGTTTTGCTGCTGCACCAAGGCTTCTTGACACGGACGAATGAAAGGCCTCAAAGAAATTACCTTGGATTGGCTCCATGCAAGAGGAGAACTCTCAAAAAGCAGGAACAAAAAGCATTCGTACAACTTAACCCCAAATTAGATTCTATAATCTTTACGTATTTAATCACAGAGAAAGAGACATTTAGAAGTTTTAATGCTACCTTTGCTTTATCTCCTTTCTTGCACAATAGGTTTTAGCGAGTTTTAATGGAGGTTTATTTTCCAGTCTTTTGACCTGCTTCCATTTTATCATCTGCAAGCCTAGTTATTTTCACGGTCTTTCTGTGGACCTGCCGATATCCTGTCTCTAGGTGCTGCTGTAAACTTCACACTGTGCCTCGTACACAATCAACAATCCATGCTCATCAACCCTGTCCACCTCTTTTACTTTAATCTGTTGTCTAAGAAATAAACTAAATGTCCTCTGACAGCAAGGTTTGCCAATAGAACCAGCAGTGGGACACAGGATGTTTTCTAGCACACTGGGTCTCTTAGGGTTGCAAATTGATTGGAAGTTGGATCCATGAAACACCTTAGGGGCCACAGGTACTGTATATCTCAGCAGAACCTCCAGAGAAAAATGCATGTTAGCACTATCACAGTAAGTAACAAAGTTTTGACGAGAGTTTGGGATGCTGCAAAAGATTCAGAATATCACCCTTAGTGTTTGCTGTGTAGTCTGTGGATAAAAACAAGCAATATGTGAATACCAAGCAGGAAAAAAGCTTTGTCTGTTTAATCCTTGAACAAATAAACACTTGTTTATCTTTTGCAGTGCTCTGCAATTTCTAAGTAATGATGTGCTTTGACTGTGCAGATTGTTTACATCTGGATTGTGTTGTAAAGAAATGTATTTTCTTTACTTCACTGACTGTGGTACACTGAAATTAATATATTTATTTTTTCTAGGACACTTTTACAACTTGATTTACAACATCCTGTTCACAAAATGTACATTTCTGCTTTGACTAAACTACACCCAGCTTTTGGCCTCAGATTCACACTGAGTGCACCAACCTTGTTTGTTATAAACCTCAGAGCAGGGGTGAAAGTAAGCCGGTACGCAGCGGTATGCCATACTGAGAAGACATAAACAGCAGTTTACAGCCAGTAGAGCAGCGGTAGGCAAACTTTCACCCCTGCAATGTTTGTAGGCTACATTTCCTTACCGTGTTACCGCAGGTCAGTCTGCACTCTGCATCGTAACCGTAGTAATCCAATAGGACCATGTTGCTTACGAGTGAGTCGTGTTGCTTGCAGCTGTGTCTCAATTCAGGGCCTGCACCGTCGAAGTGTGGATTTCAAGGGTGCCTGACATCATCACGCAGCGCTAAGGGTGTCCCATTTGGCTTGCAATTCTGGGCATGCTTGAAATGCAGTCCCAAAACCAATCTGCCCCCGCCCTTTTTCAAGCGTGCATTCATGCACTCTTTGTGGCCTTGGAATCCCCTGAACTTTTTGCGTGCCACTGCACAGCTGTGCATTTCGGGTGAGACATCAGATTGCTTGGAGACGCAGCGCCTCTTCGAAGAAAATAAAGCAAATCCAAAAACTCAAGACAGTCAGCTCAGGCTCTATAAGGGCATGCTCCTTTGAGTCACTAATATCTGCACCTGCAAACCAAACATTGTACTCTTTAGAGAAGAACTGATCCGCTCTGATAGCACAATCAAAAATATTAGAAATAAGAAAGTTGACAAAAAAAGTTGTAAACTTAAGAGAATGAAGTCATAAAGTAAATAAAGTCATACAGCTGCTTTTATGGAGGGGGAAATGGCTGAACTGTTCAACTTCAGGGTTATCGGTGGAAGCATCAGCGGGCCATTCAGAGAGCTTTTGTGGTTTTTCAAGAAATAATCCAACTGATGATCAACATTTGTGATCCAGAGGGAGTCGAGCTCCGACGAGCACCATGTCTCTGACACCCGAGTCGGCACCTCACTAAACTTGGGTGTGCTCCTCTTGTACAAAGCCTACAGGTACAGTACCTGCAAGAATCTGATCCTACTTTCACCCCTGCCTCAGGGCACTTTATATGTACAAGGACAGGGAGAACCACCGCATTTCAGTCTCACTTACACCAAAGTTCAGGGGCTGTTCTAACTAATGCAAGGTGCTGGAGAGCTAAATACACATTGGGAGTTTCACAAACACACACACTGTCATCTATTCACACACAGGGCTGTTCAGCCCAGCTTGCCACACTAGCCCCAAACACTTATACCTCCATGTCAGCACAATGTGGCCCCACCATCATACTTCCGAGACATTAGCATCACAAATTTCTAAAAAAGTTGGGTCACTGTGTAAAATTCTTTATTTGATGATTCGCAAATGATTCAAATCTTGTATTCAAATGGAAATTGTGCACAAACAAACAAACAAACAAAAAAATACATTGTTTGTGTGTGCAGTTTGTCATTTAATCCACAAATACAGCTTTAATACATATTATGTAAAAAGGGAACAATACTGAAAAAGTTCCTGAGATGCTGTGAACTTTACCGGGCCTGAGCTAATTCAAGATGGACTAAAACAAAGTGGAAAACCGTCCTGTTGGCTGGCCAACCAAAATTTGACACGCTTTCTGGAAATCATGGACAGCACAGCAAATCCCCTTCTCTAAAGAAGAGAGGGATCAGTATGCCTGTTAACAATGGACAGTTCAAAAATCAGCATCTGTGATGGTAGGGGAATGCAGAAATGCCTATGGAATAGTGAGTTCATAAGCTTGGTAAGGCCCAATTTAAGCTGAACAATATATACCGGTACAGGTTATAGAGCAACATGTGCTGCCATCTAGACAACAACTTTTCAGGGATGAAATGTGCAAAAAAACACTTTCTAAACGTAGTACTAGAGCAATGCTCCACAGAAGTAGAGTCAGCTGTGTGAAACCGGCCCTCTGTGGACATTTGATGCATCTTGAAAAATTACAACAACGGACATCCTAAAGTGTCCTAAAATTCGAATAGCATAAAATTTGAATGAGCATTTTTTTTATTTTTAAAACTGTAAAATATTTAGTTCTAACATTTTATATATTTTCTTTGCAATATTCTAAATTAATTAAATATGGTGTTTACATGTTTCGCAAACCATCAAATGTTGCTTTATCATCATTTTACACAGTGTCCCAGCATGTTTGAACTGGGGTTGTATATTCAGAAGGAGACACTGGACATAAATATCACACCTTGCACTTGCATTATTAAAAGGGCTATAAACAGTACTCTAAAGACAACCCAGGTGATGTCCCCATAAAAAAGTTATTTTTATCACCTTGTCTGAATGAGGTATGTGCTCAGTCTGGAATCCTCCTAAATCAAGTCAGAAATGTATTAAACAAGGACCCAAGAACGGATGAAGACAGACTTGCTTTGATGTTCAGCCCTTATTTCACTTGGTGAGCCTTTTAGTCTGAGTCAATCCTTGAACTTGACAAATATGAATCTTGAATCTTGAGGTCTTCATGTCAACAACAAGCATTGTGTCTCAGGTATGCGGGTATTTCCAAATCCACATTTAACCAAACCAGATGATGCAAACTGGCTAGGCTTTCCACAGTTTGAGATTTTGCAGTACGGTATGGTGACGGTGACAGTACCATACACCTCGGTATTTCACAGTGACGGTATTAAAAAAAAAAAAACTCGAAAGCCCTGGCTCGAGCATATTATCTCTGCTTCTGGTTCAGAGGAGTCTGCCATCATCATGCCATGCTTTGTGCACGCTTCCTGGAATGGATCATGTGGATATGGCGGGGCGTTGCTTTAGGGGTGTTTTATACCAAAACTACCTTTCCTGGGCTGTCAGACTGACCACTAATGTTAATGTGAACGTGAAGTGATATCTTTATTATGGCAATTCGTGCTTGTGTTGAAGCGTAACGTGCGCTTAGCGCGCCGGCGGCACTACATGATATTGAAATTACGTCACCGTGAGCTCAGCAATCTCAGGGTGTCGCCACCGTGACTTTATTTCATCATGATGACGGTGTATACGGTATACCGCGGAAAGCCTAATACTGGCACTGCTGGGAAATTGCAGATCTGTTGTATGTCAAGTAAACTGAGGACATAAGTTTGTCCTTGTAAAAGCACTTGGTTCCCCCAGTCTATTTGTTATAGTTTATTCATATCCACACAAACGAGCACAAATAGAAGCCCACACAGATCTGATGAATGAAGGTCTACCTGAGAAAATCAGAGTCTAGGTCAGAGTTGTGATCTATACTACATTGTTAAATACAACTCTGTGTGTCTCTTATCTATTATCAATACTAATCATAGAACTTTTTTTTCTTTTCAAAACAGAGGTACAAAGTGCTTCACAACATATTTTCATCAATACAATTTTTAAACCAGTCAAAAGAGATGATTTAGGTTTCAATAAAAGATGAAACCCCAACCGTGATAAAGTTTTGTGGCCCCCCTCTGCTGATTGCCTGTTACAAATTCTTTAGGTATCTCAAAGGTCATTACATGAGTCAAAGTTCAACTGAAGGAATAAGTGGGTGCTTCCCAAACTCATTTTGATATTTGAACCAACATGGCACCACCATGTGACAACAAGGTCTGAATTAACCATGAAAACTGCCACCATGCGAAGCGAAGCACTATCAAAGCGATGAATAATACGAGGATTAATTATTTCTCACCCGTAACACCAAGGGAGAATCCCCATATGGAGATTTTAGTGAGTGAATTAAACTCACAGATGTTTCGGCATCTGCTTGATCCTTTTTGCATTTGCCAAGGCAGGATCCATCATCAGGGGGCGAACACACTCTTTGCCCCTGTTTCTGCATGCACAATTAGGCACTTCAAAGGTCTAGCACTTAGTCTACACATAAGCTAAATAAGCGCCTGATGAGTCCTCCTTCAGCTCACTGTTAAATCCGCAGCTGTTAGCTGACTGGCTGTCAGACAAGTCATTCATACAGTAGGATCATTGAGGGTGGATTTAACAATTGAATTAATTTCGTTTCCCTTTGTCTTATTCATTGCTCCATTTTGTGAAATTTCCATTCAGCCAGTTCCTGTAGATTGGCCTCAGACAGAACAATTCTCCTGACCAGTGGGGAATCGGGAAACACATTTGAAGTTTGGCTGTGCATGAGAATAAAAAACAACATTTTTTGGTCATGTTTTGACAAATACGGTTGTTAAGAGCATGTTTGAGGGACAGGTGGGCAGTAAAAAAGTGCTGCAGGAGTAGACTGTTTCATATGAATGTTTCAAACTCCATTACTACATGAAAACTTGTCCGATTCAGAATCCATCAGAGTTGCCAGAAACTGTTTGAAGTCTGCAGGATGAGTGTTTCCAACTCTATTCCCACTAGGAGTGCATTTTTTATGGGAGCATCACCTAAGTGTTAGATAAAATAGAACTTAAATCAATCATCTGACAGACCGTGTAAAAACAGATGCACATTTCAGGGTGCACATACATTAGATTGACTATGAAAACTGAAAGTGCCTCGAACATCTTGTTGATTTTTTACAGAACGCAGTCAGAGAAGAGGGTTGAGGTTTCAGCCAGAGTGTGTCAAATTTGAGGATTCAGTGTGTGACTCTTCAGTTTTACACTGAATTCAATGGTTCCATTGTGCCGACTAGAACAGATTGATGCAAGTACGAAAGACAAGAATGACAGGATGTGATTTTTTACAAGTAACAATTGTTTCCTGTCCTGGCTCACTGCTTTATACCCCACCGCAAAATCAAAACATTGTGTTATGTAAGGATGCTGCAGCCAGCAGCAGGATACATTAAATATCAAAGTCAAATACACTGACACTTTACATTAAAACTGTCAATCTGAATTTGTCATTCTTTTCAAATGTGATATTTTATGTAAGTTTTATGTGTAAATGAAAGAATCATTGTACACTTAGGAGGCCTTTCTTCCACGTACATATGTGCACAGGGCCAAGTCAACTGGGAATCCATTCATTCCTATGAGATATCTGATGTGCTTACAAAGCTCCTCCCCTCTATTTTATTTCAATCTAGAGTGACCCCAAAACTCTTAAAAAATAAAGTTACTTTAACTGATGAATTTGTGTGAGAGTTTTATTGCCTAGCTAACAGGCTCTTCCTTTGAATCAGTTGACTGTTCTGTTTGTCATGAAAGTAAGTGTGATTTAAAAAACAGAGGAAAATGAGGCGCTACACCTTGCTGGGACTATTCTTTTAATCTAGCTACTTATGTTTATTGTTGAGTGATTTGGTATGAACATATGTTAAAAGTATTGTACAGCCAAGTTATGTTATTCTGCCAAAAATTGTTCAACATCATTTATATTCAGATTATCATTATCAGTTTAAGATTAAACTCAGTTGGATGTCTGAGTCATCTGACAAAATGAGCCTCTCCTTCAAAGCTAAAGGTATAATCCATAGTTCCTATCCATCTGTAAAGAAATGCACTTTCTTTCTTCTGGTGTCATCACCAATGACAAGTCTGCAGACACCTTTGCTTTTAACTAAATTTTAAATTATTAACTTTATTTAAGTGTTTTAGCATTTATCTCTTTCTAGTTTTAATGACAGGATTGTCTTTTACTGAGCTATTCTTGTGCTCTTATTTTAGTATTTTTTACTGTTGTTTGTATTTCATTTTATTTATTATTTCTTACATTTTATTCTATGTAACTTTGTTTTTAGATTTTAACCCAACCTCCAGTGTTTCCTTATCTAAAATTTTAAAATGGCATTTCCTCAGTGCGCACATTCCTGTTTCCATTTCCTGTTTATGAAATCCAGCCCTTCTTCAGTTAATTCATTTTAATACATGTTTCTGTTGTGTTTAGATCATGGGGTGGGAATGAGGGGACGGGTTGGGACAGATTCGGGTATTCTTTGTTTCATTTATTTATTTTTCTGTGTAAAGCACTTTGTGCTACATGGTTGTGTATGAAGGTTCTATATAAATAAAGACTGATTGATTGATTGATTGATTGATTGATTGATTGATTGATTGATAAGGTATTCATAGCAAACACTGTCAAAACCTTAAAACATTCTAGAATAGATAAAACATTAGGCAGACTGAAATCAGTCAACTCAATTCATTTCCTGATATCATGCTGCACCTGACAATATGAACCATGTAAAAGTGATTTCAAATACATCGGTAGGTTGTGAAAAGTCTCAAAAACAGCTGTTCCCCCCTTAATCTTTGTAACGATCTGTAGTGTTGTAAAAGATGTCACCGCTAACTGTTGGTGCAAAACCCAGCATGGATTAAAAAGTAATCCTTCTCCCATCACATCATTTAGACTTAATCTGAAACCATTTTCTCACACTTCTGGGACCCAGCGGACCATGACTTCCTTGAGCTTTTGCAAATGAATTTCTGCATCACTTCAAAGGCGGTCTGCCGCAGCCAGAGCTGCACTTTGCAGCATTTGTAGCCTGCCAGCATCAACAAGTTCAGTTGGAGGCTTACTCACACCCTGCAGTGATTCTCCGAGGAAAGTTGTAAGCATTTTGAACTGTTTGCTCTCCATGACTCTTAAATACAAGACTGTTAAAGTGGAAAAAAGTTCAACAATATCAGCCTCTCTCTGTTTGCTGCAACAGAAATAAAAAAATTTGCATACCCACTGTGTCTTCTTATTTTACCACAGCCAAACTAAGCCGTTTACAATAGATAGTGATGAAAAAAACAAACCATTTTATTTTTACAAGCTTCTCTTGGGTCTCAGATTTTGGAGGCAAAATGTGTGTTATTATGCATCATAAGTTTTTATTAAACAAGGGGTTTCAACACAATAAATTTCATTTTAAGAATCACGCCAATTTGCAAAGATTCATGCGCAAGAGGTGTTAGACAGCGAAGGTGACAGACAGCAGAGGGAGGCTACGAAAGCAGTCCTCAGGCACTTTTGCTGTAAGAGCCAAGGATAAAGTAAAAATGCCTTTAATAAATCAGCGTATCTCATAAAAGCCCAACGAAACAAGAAAAAACGCTGACCAGTCAGGGCAATGACATGGTTTCCCTTAGGATACGGACAAAAAAGCAGTGAGAGGTGAGATGCATATAACATCACCTTGCCTGGGGGCTTGATTACATCAGCATTCGGAAAAGAAAAACAAACATTAGATAACATTATTAGTTAGGAGCTGTGAGAATCCAAACAGTAAACTCTTACAATCTATCTCTCCATTAAAACTTAAGTACACCATCAAGTCCCCATTAGTCTTATGTTGAAGCAGTTTCTCATGATGGTCACCACCTCTAAGTTAGCTTCACCACGTTTTATAACCTCTGCTTTCAGTGGGCTGTTATTGTCCTGGTGGCCAGTTTTGCTTTTTTCACTCTAATATCCATTCTTTGAGGTTCGTCATTGAGAGTATGTAAAAGCAGTTGTAAGGGTAAGTGAGAAGTGTTTGTTTTGTACAATTCTTTTGTTTTTAGATAAAGAAACCCTGTTTGTCTTGGTAAATGTTGAAGCAGAGATTACTTGCCGATTAAAAGTCCCAGCTAAACCCCGAAAGCTAAAGGGGGAGGGGCATTTGCGTAGATTTTTCTGTCAAAAAAAATACTTGAAATTACTAAAGTACTACATGATAAAGGTAGTAAATTACAAGGAAAGTCACTGTGGCACTACTTTTTTCTTCAATACTCTCAGAAATGTATCCTGGCTGCCTCTCACCTCACACCTTGCAGTTAGTATGTTCGGTCTTACCTCGATTGACGGGTTGTGAAGCTTTGGCGGTCTGTACCTGGATCACTGATGTTTGCAGCATGCATGCTGTTTAGGTGCTGGGTGCTTGGTGGGATTCTTGTTGTTGGAGAAAGTTTCCCCACTTCACATAGACTACAACACCATCAAGTTCTTGTCCTGTATCTCTAGGAGGAAAATATACTGTTGGTATTCCCGAGACAGAAAACTCTATTATGCACTGAGCAGAACACAATATCCTTTCTATCATGGGTTATGGAATTTGGAAAGAACTTAAATAAACTACAAGCTACAACAATTCAAGGTGAAGTAACAGCATTATATTCCTTTTTAACACTGCTTTTTGTAAAGTATGCTCGGAAACTCTGTGGCTGTTTGAACATTTAAGATTTGCTCTTTCTATAAGGGAAGCAAATTCTATCTATTGCTCCAAATAAACCATAGTTTATACTAAAACCATAGTTTTAGAGAAGATGAATTGTTAAATTTGTCATCACATCAATTAGATTTTTTTTCCCCCCATTCCAACCCCTAAACTGTGATGCTGAGAATGTGCTTATACATTTTATCTGTTAAAGGGAAACTGAAAAAGAAAGGAACATGAGTCACAGCCTAGATCTTCAAGAAGTGTACCACTAATCTATGTGATGGTTAATCTGTCCATCTCGATGTAACCTTGCCCTAAGAGTGTGGCTCCAAGATGTCTCTTTAAAGCATCCTCATCACCAGGAGGCAGGATGAAGACTTTCTATCTGAAACTCTTACATTTACCTTTGCTGCTATAGCTCTGATATTTTATATTCCTGCATAATTTGTAATAAAAATTCAACCACTGATTTCCAGAAGAGTACACAGAAGCTCTAAAACATCCTCGTAACAGGGAGCAGCTGAGAGTTTACTGGCTGAATTTACACCTGCCTTAAGCAGATTGTACCAGCCTATTAACAGACTATTACCTGCTGTGTTCACACACGGTAACATCCAGACTTTACACAGACTTTTTTCTGGAGGGTTAGCAGAAAAAAAACGTCTGCATAAAGCTGGTGTGAAGAATTTCAACTATTTTTGTTCACGCGTTCAGCCCACCCTGACGGTGTAATTTTCTGGTGTGCTCAAAAGAGGCTCAGGCTTCAACAGGATGAACTAAAGGCAAACCTGACAAAGGGTTAAATGCATTTGTCATACTATTCATCTATCCGTATGATGGTGTCATTTTTAGGGTTATTTGATCTTGTCATGTTCTTGGCTTGGCTTCTGTAACTGACCATATCCTAGGCAAGTTGGACAGTCCAAAGATCCGTTAGGCTGTAATATAAAATAAATTTGTAAATTAAAGGGGAAATCTCTGTTTGGTGAACCCTTGACAAACTTGATGGTTTAAAACGGATAATTTCACTGTTCAATACTTATCCACTTGAAGATTTCAGTTCCATTAGTTCCATTTTCATCTCTAAAAAGCCCTAATAATGATGGTGTAGCTCTTGTAACCAGTATATAATAATTCAGTGGTGGATTACAGACATTTCCTATTGGGCTAACAGCATTTGAATCATTAATTGTCCTCTGTGACTGTGTAATTAAAGGGAAGTTAAATAAAATGAGAGTGGTTTAATTTTAAGTGCCTGCTCTTTCGTTTGAAAAAGCCTTTTCTGTTTTAATACACAAACAAGCATAAAATAAGCCCGAATAGACATGTTTTTGTTTTGTTTGTTTTTTTCCATTGGAACTGTTTCCCCCTCGGGCATCAGTAAAATCTGTGAGGGAAACCTGGAGTCGAGCTGCGTAATGTAATAGCCACAATTACATTGTGTTCAGATGTGCCTTTTGGTCTGCTCAGCAAAATTGCTTCAGTAGCCATCTGTTTGCTCTTTGTCTGTTTTTCTCTCTTTTCGATTGTGTTATCAAGAGCAGCTAATCACAAAGCTGTGATGTGCACTGAACAAAATACAACGCACAATTGAACAAAATTAACACTGCTGGAGAGCGTTACTAGGAAGAGAACATAGGCCTGTATCTCTGAATGCGAAACGCCCGAAGATATCCCTTTATGTTGTTCATTTTCTTTGCTGATTCCCCAGGTTTCAGGTAGAAAATCATCAAGGTAAACAAAAACCTTTTTTCATAGCTTTAAGTTATGTGAGATAGACATAGCAAAGACTTCTTTTCATGATATACCACTTTTTATTGACCACAAAAATCTTTTTAATCTTGTCACAGTAATGAGTTCCCATGGTGCCTGAACAGCTGCTACACAATCCATACATCGAATCAAAAGACAGTGTGTGAGATGTGAAAGGTGTCCATGGTGATAAAACTAAAGAAAATCAGTGGTTGAATCTGAAGCTCTCTTCTGCTTTACAGAGCTGCGTTCCACTTTCGGTTACTTGAGGTACAGCATGTTCTCATGAACTTGAAAACTTGAAAATAAAAATAAATCAATGTCTGAAAGCTTTTTGAACTCATAGCCAGAACTAAACTTCAGTGGTCAATAGCTTGTGGCCAAAATTGTGGCCGTTGAATTCCCACAAGTTAATGAACTCTTTGAGAATCTTTGACTAATGTTTACTAATGTTTACTGTTTACTAAGTATGGAGGCAGTACAGTGACTCTAATATTTGGCAGTAAAAATCTAAATAAATAAAAATGAAAAATTAATCTCAGAAATGATTTGTATGATTTAACTAAAATTTTCAGACATTTAAGATCATATTAATTTATTCAAAATGTATTTGGCAGTATAATTTCTTTTTAAATGACAAGCTATAAATATTTAAAAAAATTTTAACTCTTTAAATCTGCTTTCTAAACTTTATTAACAGACTGGTTTTTCAGTTTCATCTTTTTATCACCGGTTTGAAGTGCAGGGGGAAGGGCTAAGACATCTAACCTACATCTAATTTTCATACAGGGAGAGAATTATTAATATATTTGTTGTCTTTTTTTGTGTGTGTGTGTGTGTGAGTGTGTGTTTTTTTTAATGCCAAATTTGATTTTTACTGCCAAATATTAAAGTCGCTGTTCAGGCTCCATGACTAAGTTGGAAAAAATAAATAAATCAAGTTTTGGAAATTATCAGTGTTATGTGACCAAAGTCAAGTCACATAGTGTTTAGAGACTCAAACAGCTGATCACTAAACCACCACTAAATGACTTTGTAAAATTGACCCTCTCTTCAGCTGTGTTTAGCTTGGCTTCTGTCTTTGTCCTCTGATCGGCTTTAACTATCCCTATAAACTCAGCAACTTTACTTTTGTTGTTACCATTAATAGCAGGTAAAGTCACCAGACAATCCTAACTGAGCGTAGAAAGACTGCTTTTCACTATATACACGTGTTGTTGTGTAGTGTTTGAGTGTGTGTGTATCAGTAATTTTGTGTATTCACAAAATTACTTAACTTTTGCAGATCTAGGTTTGCAAGCATTCTGCCTGGGTATTGATTTTGTGTTTGCGTGTGTGTGTGTGTGTGTGTGTGTGTGTGTGTGTGTGTGTGTGTGTGTGTGTGTGTGTGTGTGTGTGTGCCTGCATGTGGGTGTGTGTCACTGATCATTCCTTGGGTGTTCTGCAGAAATATAATGGTTGCATGGCCAGGAGAGATAATATTATCTAGGTTGCGCAAAAGAGCAGGCAGTGTCACTCGGTGGGATAAGTGTGAGCCAGCGATTGAAAAGAGGCCCATTATTGGTAGCCAAGGATTTCTGATGATGTTTGTAAAGCCATTATAACATAGAAATTGAAAGCTAAAGGCTCAATACAGAGTGCTCTCCACCAGCTCTGGCTTTTTAGGTAAAGCACTCCCACAAGGAGCCACCCTGTAGAGGGGGGAAAGGAGGAGGACAAGGCAGATATGTTCTACAGTTTGCAGTATTTGATCTGAATCAATTCAACATCCCCTGACCTGGCTTTAAACATCTCAGAGTGAGACGTGACCTGAGAAGTGCTGAAAGTAGCTCTGTCACCTGTTTTTTCTTTCTACTATAAGAGCCTTAGTTTCCACTGGCAGTGACACCCATAAAGGATCTCCTTCTTAAATTATTATTCCGAGGCTCAAAAGATTTTTGTGATATATGTTTTGCTTGCTAATTTGAAAGCGCTATATGCTAATACAGCAAGCTAAACAATGGCTGACAGAGTTGGGGTAGACTGTAACAAAAAAGATTAGACACTTAGAAAACAACCAAAATTTAGCAATATTCATTCAACACAGCTACGGATCACACAGTCCACAAGTAAAAAAGAGCGAGCTGGTTTACCAAGTGTGGCTGACGTTAGCTAGCACCACTGGCCTTTAAGAAGTCTTGCAGGTTAACATCCACATGCCTGTACCGGTCATGTGTTGCTTTAGTTGAATGATTGTACACCAGTTTACCTTTGAGATTTTATCTGTCTGTGTTGGTATTCAGACAGCAGAGCTTGATAACTGTATAGCAACAGTCATTAATCAAAGCTATAGCCTTGGTGAGGTGGCTACGCTAAAGCTTAGGCAAAACGTGATCAGCATTTCAGGCCTTTCAAAAAAAATTAAATAAAGTAATAATAATAATAAAAAGAAAAAAATCATTTAGATTTAGTGAAAATCTGTGTTCCACACTCAGTGAAAGGTAGACTTGCACACTTAGGGACACAAAAGCTCATGGGGCAGGAAGGTAGCCTTTATAAATACAGTACTGCTTTAATACAGTACAAGGACGTGATCTTTTAACAGCTTTTCACCAGGGAACATTACAGGTTTTATTCAATAGGACAGGACACACTGCTGGGCATTCACTTCTGCCTTTGTAGCTTTTCCTCCTGCACCACCCAAGTGCCTCAATGACTTTTAAACCCCCGCCTCAGGATTAAACGTTGTACATTTGTACCTTCAACTGGGAAAAACCACTCCATACTCATAGGATGTGTGAAAAAGCATGTATCAGGCACATTTTATGGCTGCATTTGAGAAAAGTGTGGATTCAGTTATTTAGAGCAGTTTCAGGTTGGTTTCTCGCAAAGGAAAAAACAGGGCATACTTGGTTCTGTTTCTCTTTACAGTATGACTATAAAACACCAGAGATTTCAGACCCCGCAGGCATTGTGATTGTACATTATACGGACAGTCATTATAGCGTGTTACTGGTCAGTCAGCTCCTTTCATTGCTGTGGGGGAGGATGCATAAATTTAATGTTTCACATGCTGGACACACATTGGCAGAACACAAACACGAACAAAAAAATAGGAAAGTTCCAGATAAGATATTTATAGATAAGCTATTTCACTCATGCATATTTCTCAACCTCCACTTGGAAGAGTATTAGTCACTGGAACACTGGAGGGCATGAATAAATATGGCCATGGGTGAGTGCATCCAAGGCTGGAGAGACAGCCAGTACTTTAACATCTCTCTCTGAATGGTTGGATGGTTTGACACCTCTAAGTAGCTTAGAGTACATTAAGCTGTACTGATTCATTTTCATTTAAACCTTGAGGAACAATAGGAATCAGTAAGTTTAATTTGAAAGGCAACAAAAGGATGTAGTTTGACTGTCAGAAGTGGAAAGCTGACAAAGAAGATACTTTTTAAGGAGAGTGTAGTAAAGTTTTTTTTATTTCTCAGCCTGGATATGCTGATTCATCTCTCAAAATGTTTCATTTCACCCTTGAGACAGCGTCCCTTGAAAAGCAAAGCTGGAGGCACCCAGGCATGAAGGAGATACACATTCACAGAAGGTGTTCACTGAGAAGCGCGCACACACACACACACACACACACACACACACACACACAAACACACACACACACACACACACACACACACAATCACACATATCATCATATATACAATACTTGCACGGGCACTGAGCAAAGTACAGGTCCTTTTTATGCCCATTGTGTGTTTCTCAGTCCGTGGGTCATTGTCTGTAGGAATGTCATTTGCCAGAACGTTTTATGACACTGACGGTCATTCCCATAAGCCCCCGGGGCAAGACAGAGAGGAAGAACTCATCTTGGTATTAAAGCTATAAATAAAATCATTGGACTTGTGATATTGTTTCAAACCTGGGGGCTGTTTGCTCATCCTGCTGCTGTGAAGGACAATTTTCATCTTTTGACAGGTGTTGAAGGATTGTTGTGGACCCTCTGGCAGTCTCAGAGAAGCTCTTTGTTCGTGGGCTACGGACCAACTGGACCAACTGTGACTGAGACTTTGGCACCTGATCTGTCCTGTTATCTCATATAGTCCCTTGTGCTAACACTCAGAGTTAAGCAGCCCAGCAGCACTGAGCCTCAAGCAAACACGGTGATAAAATACAGTTACTGCGCTGAGTTCCTCTACATACCAAAGAAAGCAGCTTCAGGTCAGCTGCAAGCTGCTGTCTAGCTTTGAAGCATTTAGCTTTGTTGTCCCATTGATGTTGTTTTAATTTAAAAATGCTGTAAAGATATCAGGTCACTGGAGCGTGGTTTATAGTAATTACAATTCTTGCTATCATATGTATGCTTAAAGGAAAATTAAGAAATTTATTAGCAGAGCCTTTATCTACTATGTTGCAGAATTAAGGCTGGCCCTGTGGAATTAGATTTGTGTCAAAAAAATCAAACAAAACTTCTTTAATATAAAAAAAACAAGAATTTGAGAGAGAATAAAACTCACAAACAAAGAGCTGGCAGCAAGACTGTGAAACGGACAGTGAGAGCAAAAATCTGGTCAGCGAGAAAGAAACAGAGGATAGTGTATATGACAAAAAGCAAAAGACCAGTAGTTTGCACAATTGCAGAAATAATTTGTTTGCAAGTTAAATGTTTTACTTTTGATAGGACTTTTTTTTTTCTTCAGTGAGTTTTATTCACTCTCAAATTCTTATCTTTGTTTGATATTGAAGAAGTTTTGTTTGATTATTTTTTACACAAATCTGATTCTGAATGGCCCAAGCCTACGTGGGGCCCTAAGCTCATTTCTTTCAGGGGCCCCCATTGTCCAAGCACCACCAATACTTTCAGTTAATCTTACCCACCAATTATAAGCTTGAGTGGGTTTTACAATCAGTGTTATTTTCACACATTATGTATATGTATGTATACATTATGTGTATGTATATGTGTATGAAACGATGTAACTTGACCTGACTTGTTTTCTCCTTCTCTGTCTGTCCCCTTCAGTGCCTGAATGATAAATAGTCTGTTTCTGCAAAATTTCTTTTCTTTACTGATCATGATAAGAGGACAGTAGCCAGGTGTTACTGCAGCTATCTTCTCTTGTCGCCACGGAGGCATAGTCTGCTGTGATTGGTGGACAGGGCAAGGAGTGAGAGCAGTGACTGCTCCAGTTGATCTCCATGCAGTTTACTTGCATGATAAAGTGACACTCAAGAGGTGATAGGATAAGGTTGCACAAGTTCTCAAGCTCCCTGGAGGAGACAGGGCCCTAAGCCGCTGCTAACATTGCTTATGCCTCGGGCCGGGTCAGATTATAGTCCATATTTTTAGGATTCTGGACTCGACTTAAACTCCAGCACTGACTAAATTTGTTCTCAGAAGATGGAAAGGAGGACTTTGCAAGTTCACCTGCTGTCTTGTTCAGCAACAGTTTCTGCCAGGATGCCAAATGAGGTGCAGAAATGCTGAGATTTTACAGCAGATACAAGTGAGAGAAGTGCAACATCTATTAAATGTATTAGACACCTGTAGTGATGCCACGGCAGCAGAAATAATGAATTTATCTTTCTATTTAGATATTGCTGCATAAAACATAAAGCCCTCAGTGCATTTATAATTTAAATCTCCAGACACAGTGAGGGGATCAGTCAGAAACTGATGTTGATGAATGACATGTTTTCTACACATCCACAATGTCCCACATGATCAGCACAGGTTCAGTCAGTGGACATTTTGGAGTGAAACAGCAGTCTATCAAAACAATTTTCACATCATAGGGACTTTGCTCTCATTTGACCCAGATTTCACTCTTGTGACTTGAGCACTCAAGGCTTCCTGAGTTTAGAGCTACTTGATTCATGCTGCAAGTGGCATATGCTCGTCCAAAAAGAGTAAGCCAAGCAAGCCTAACTACACCCAACTGTTACTGTAAACCCGCAAATGGCTCATTAAACCAAATATGGTTCCCAAGGCCATGTTGCTAAAGGTTATTTGAAAATATTAGTTGAGCTTGCCGCTGGACTAGAAACAAGAAGTGATGCAGCAACATGCCATTAGCTTTAAACTTGAAGACCCACTCTGACGAAAATCATGTTTTTCTTGTTTTTCATATGTTCTCGTGGCATTTTTGATGCTACAGGAAATATCATGAGAAAACTAGATGTGAAATTGCTTTTCTGAGTATTTCCTCATTCAAATCGCTGTGAATCTCTGGTAGACCCAAACGGCAGGTTCAGAAACTGTGAGATTTCATGCGTGTAGAATCCAAGCTCCGCCCCCGGAGCCCCTCTATGCAGGCCGTACTCTGTATATAGAGGAGAAATACAGAGGACAATCGCGGAACAAGTGTGTGCGTTAGCGGATTACAATGTCTGTAAGAAAGCTAATTATGATATTAGCTTTCATCATGTCCCGAAAGACATTAGTGTCTGAGAGCTGAATAGCTGCTATGTTACCTGCCACTTCTACGACACCGACAATGTTAGACTACAAGCTAACGTGAAGACGAGTTTTGCAGAGCAGCGTTGTCTCCGCCCACGACTCAGAGGCAAAATTGCAAGTGAGCTGCTGGAGCTCTGCCGAAGAAAAGCCCTTGAAAATGACACAGGTAATGTGATGTTTTGTAAAAAAAACTTTATAATCACAATTTAAAGACACTTAAGGTAGTGAGAGAGAAAAAAATTATTGTAGTACGAGGTTTTTTTTTTTTTGCCAGACTTTGCCAGAGCCAGGCAGTCTGGTTTAATTTATCATAAAGACAGGGCTCTCAAGTCTTGAACTAAGCTTAGGGGGTGGAAGGGTGAAGAGTGATTATTAGTATAATAATCTAATAAATACAATGGAGTATGAGGGCCACATTAAGTCTTTGAGATTAAAGTTATTATTTAGGAGAATAAAGTTGTGGAGGAGGGTTCGTTAAAATCAGCACTGTGGAGCATTTAGATGAATTGTACTTCAGTATAGGTTCCACAAACATGGAGATACTTAATCCTTTGGTACATGAGCGTTACACTGTCATGAGTATCAGAACTTTAAAAAGAATATATGAGAAATGCTGCGTTTGTTGAGGGGAAAATGGCTGGAAATGGCTGTGCAGAGGCTAAATTCATCAATGCAGCTGTTAATAGCAATAGCAGAGGGCTTTAGTTTATATATGAGTTTATCTGCCATGAGGTGTTGAGGTCTCTGCATGTGTAGGTTACTGACTTACTGTAATCATCGGGTCTATCTCATCCTTATAAAAACCTGCTCTATTACGGCGAGTGTCTGTCTTCTTCTGTAGTCAAACCGTAGGATATCAAAATCCACCCGGATACAGCAATGCTGCTTTCTGATTGGCTGTTCAGTAGATGTACTTTATCTGATTGGCTTGCGCGTGGCACGCAGCTTCTTGACTCTCAGAGAAACTCATTTTATTCCTATTTGTTCCATAGTTAAAGAGGTACAACTTGGTGAACATCACCATGTTCATTTAAATGCCTGAGACTTGAGAGCCCTGATAAAGACATCTTCATGCTAACTTAAGTTTGGCTGCCAACTTGTTCTATAAGGAAATAATCACGACTTTAACATATGAAGACAGTGACAGTAATTTTGATGGAGGCATGAGTGTAGTTGGTCACAGATAACTGGGTGAGCTGGATTGGTCAGAGGCCATCTTGTATCACTCTCCTACTTGGACGGCACAGGTCTTCAGCAAGATTACAGGGTTGTCTGCTGCTCACATACACACTTCCCATCAGCCCACTCTCCCATTTTCAAAAAGACTGTCTTCAGGTAAGCTGTTCTGCAGAGAGTGATTGAGCCGAAATCACTGCACCTTTTTTCTCTCTTTCTGCTCCATTTGCTCTCCAGAAATTTGAGAGCGTTTGCAGTCAGAAAGGAGAATAATCCTGTTTATACCATTTTTTTTCAAGGTCATTTTAATCTAACTGCTTCGCTTTAATTCAACACATTGAGGAGCAGAGTTACCATATGCTTCAGGGTTTCAGATACTTTAATGTATGCAGTCCATACTTGCAGCCACTCGTCCCTCTAAAGGACCTGGAACACCTGGGTACTCAGCGCCAGAATAAAGCAGACTGCTTAAGGATGAGGAAACTAAGATTCAACAGATGGTTAGTTTCTCTATTTCACAGTATCCACAGCAGATGGTAAGGACTCTAACCCTCAGCCCAGGTGGAGAACCAAACAGCCTGGATTTTATGTAAGTCTTTTTTTCTCTCTACAAGTTTCTCTGGCTATTTGTTTGTTTAAAACTTGCCTCTAATTTCCACCAGAACTCTTAACAAAACTGCTGTGATCTGTAAAGGTTTCCATCCCAGAGTCTGTGAATCTTCATTTTTATGGTGCTTTAGTCAGAAGACTAATGGGTCGAGCCTACGGGGCCCACTAGCACAGCCAGCTGTGGGTGGTAAAACTGGAAAGATCAATGGGATTTAACATTTATGCTGTTCCTGTTAATTATACCCCATCCTAATGGAGGTTTTGTTGGCACAGTCATAACAAGAGTTGTTTATGTCTTTGGTGAAGGGTCATTACTGAGGCCCCTGTTGGAGATCTATCCCTTTTTAATTATCTCTCCATTTGTAAAGTCCCGGTCACATAAGCACTGCATCATGCTGTCAGCTGCACTGTTGAACTCTGTAAGGAAGGAGCAAGGTTAATTAGATTGTTATTGCAAGGTTGTAATATATTGAATCAAATCTTGTCTGGAAACAAAACAATAATTCTGAGTCATTAAATCTTCAAGATGAATTAAAACTAACAAACTCCTACACTTAAAATCAACAACTGTAAGCTTTGCTACCTGGAAGACTGTTCATGTAAAATTGTAATGGCTCGGCCAATCATGTCATCTTGTTTTACTTTGAAATTTTTGGGCGCCGCAGTTATCAAAACACAATATTTTCATGCTGCCAATGCAACAAAGATGCTTCTTGCTGCTGGTTTCTCTAGTGTCCTCTCTGTGGTGGATAAACTGCATCTGGAGCATATTAATGCACATTTAGTCCGCCTTTATTGCCAACAGACGGAGTGAACGTTAATACAATAGTATTCTTTTTCCTCAGCATGACATTTACCCCATCTCCCTTTCTTCCATTTAACAATAAAAAGCTTCAGTTAAATAGTTTTTATGATAAAAGCAATTGCAGCGACGATTAAAGTTCCAAGAATCCTTAATGAGATTTGATTTTGAAGTGTTGAGAATTCAGATCCATACCCACGCACTATTATTTCAAAATAAATGAAATCTTTGTCATATGAAAAGCCAATTAAATCTGTGTTATCAAAATAATAGATTATCTTGGAAGTTGGGCTAAAATGAAAGCATTAATGTTGATTTCCCCGCAGACTTCTGGAGAGCACAAAAGAGGGTTTACACTTCATGCTGAGAGACGGTTTTGGAGTAAAGCTAAAAGCTCCCCTGTCAGCAGCAAGAAGCTTCATGTGGTGTTAAGTGCCTCTGCTTGAGTTTATTGGAATCGTTTCGGTTTTAATTATGGGCACAAAAACCAGCAAAGCTAGTTTAGTGAGACAAAAACCACTGAGCTTTGATTGTCAGATCCATTGTAGTATACAGTATATCAGAGTGATAAATATACCGTAGGTAAAACAATGTCAACTTTACCACACTCTATAATGCAGATCTTTTAATCACTGCAGACATTTTGCCCAGTTGGAACAGGAGGTAACCAGGTGTAATTAATAACATTAATTAACGTCGCTTTGCTCACTGGACCCACTTCAAGGCTTACTGGAGCATTTCAAAAGAACACGACCATATCTAATTAACATTATTAGTCACACCTGTGATTCTCTGTCTATGAAAAGAGCCCACAGGCCATGAAAAGTCTTTCAAACTGTTGTTCATGATTGCACTTCAAAGCCAGGTATTCTTATATTTCACCTGCTGTTCAACATAGCCAATTATTCACAGTTCATAGAAGGAGAGTTTTAATCACTGTGGTGTGTAGATTTCTTACTTATACTTATGGTGTTGGGTAATGAATGTGTTTGTTGGTCTTTTCCAGCTGCCAACAGGTGGAAATATTTGGTTGGACATTTTCACAGATCAGACTGTAGTCTAAAATGTTTATATTTTAATCATGCTAAATTATCCTATCTTGACCTTTTACATCGACCTGTGGTTTATTAGCTTCCTCGTAACATCAAACAGCAGCTTTATCATTTGTAGTAGATTCATGCCATCAGCTTTCCTGCAGACCTGTGTATGGTTGATGGTTTCCTGCACCGACACATTTTCATTGTGGTTTTTTCTTTCCGTGTATCGTTTATACCATGTCCTCCTACCTAAATGTACACACTTTATACATTCCAGGGCTTTCTCACCCTCTCCTGGCATTGAACAGAATCCTTTTTGCTCCTCCGAGAAACCTTGTTGTGCTTTTGTCATCTCTGAAAGGTTGTGTACTACACTTTTCTTTTGAGGGCACAGCAGACACCTTTGCTTGCCACTCTGCTGTCATGTCTAGTCAGAAATTACAAACAAGGCCATGGTAATAGCTAGTTTCCTGTTGTTCAATCTTCTACCCTGGGGATAAGAGTGTAACTGTGTTGCAATCTAGGATGCCAGGACTCTGAAATGTCTCTCCATCATGCTCTGTATGGAGGAACTGCATTTCTGCAGCGCTGATTGAGTTCAAGCCCCCAGACCACATGCAATGATTCAGGCCAGCTCTTTATGCTTTCCTGTGAAATGAGGATCGTGTGTGATTGACAGGGTGGTAATAGTTAATGAATCAGACCGGAGATGTTGTCTGCTCAGACTAAAGAAACCAGCCATTCTACCCCGTGTATATTCTGACAGCAGAAACATGTACTCCTAAGCCTTCAACACGTTCTCTAATTCAGGTAACAGTGTTCCTCATCAAGGAAAAAGGTAAAAAGTGACTGAGATCAGTATTGGTTATGTGATGAGAAGCTACAGATAATTCATTTTCTATCTGAACACCATTTATATGTCTCTGATATAAAATAGACTGTCAACCCTGATTTAAACGACTTTTGATCAAACAAAAGGCGATACAGCAACATGTTCACCAGTTCTGCTTGCCAACTCAACATTCAAGGAACAAATGTATACTCATGTACGCACATGAAAACCAATCAGGTTTGTTGAAAAGCAATGTCCCTACCGCTTTTTGCTCAGTTCTTTTTATTTACAGTGATTAAACAAGGGTTAACTGAGTAATTTGAAGGGTCTGGATCATGGGAGTTTAAGGTTGAAGTGAACCTCTGAAATATACAACATTTGATGAACATTTTTATGTGTAGAAATGGGGAATTTTTTTTTAGCAATATTAGCAGTCAGATTGTAAAGTTGCAAAGCAGACGATACTAGAAGGTAAGAATAGGCCGTTGTGGGTTTTTTCAGGGCTAAAACCAATTATTAGTAATCCAGGAAACCGATAACTAATATTTGGAACCAATATTCATTTGCAGTAAAAAATGTACATTTTGGTTTAAAAATTACACACCTGGGATTAGACTAAACACAGTACACTGTTCGTTTGTTTTGTACATTGTGAAAATCTGTGATTGAAAAGACCTTAAACAATTATTATGAATTCCAACAGTAACTAACTAGAAGCTTGAGTGTTGATTGGCTGGAGAGGGACTATATGCGGGACATAATTATATTATAACAGCCAAGAGTGGTGTCTCAGGCAGAAAGAGGTGGCTGTGAAAGAGCTGAACGAGTGCATTTCAGAATTAACTTATTTTATTGGCTATCATGGGAGAAAACAGCCAATGCCGATTATTTTAAAAATATTCGTGAATATTATTGGCCGTTCCGATTCTTGGTCAATCCTTCTAGAAAGAGCTTAACACTGACATAAAACTGCACATTGTGAACTTATTTTAGCTTCAATGCAAGCACATCAGAAACTGTGTGCAGCCCTCCAAAACGGTCATCTTCAACACCAGTGTAAACTACTCTGGATTTCACTATTCTTTTTTTTTTTCCTTCTCACATGCAACCAAGCCACAAGAATAAGGCACTTAGAAGTTGCCCTTTTATAATTTTTTTATTTTTTATTTTTTATTTTTTTGTGTAAGTGAATTGTTCACATGTAACAGAATACATTATGAGACCGACCCGTTTTAGAATAAAATTATGATAGCAGTTTGAGATTATAGATTGAAAAAACCAAACACCATCAGTGAGTTGAAGGATTGCACCCACCAGTACTTCACCCTGAGGACACACTGTTGCTGTCACAACTCACAGCAAGATTTATCGTCAGCTTAGCAGGCGGGTGTATGATTCCCTCACACCTCTCTCCTGACTCAGGGGTCATTGACAGTGACTTATGCGAGAGGAGACAGAGGTGTCACAGGGAAAATATGTGTGTCAGCTCACATCAGGTCCATTCTGCTCCCATGCAACCTGATCACATCTGAAAGAGAGATTTCCTGACAGTATTGGTATGATACCTCCAAATCCTGCAGCAGCACCACAAGAATATCATTTAACTGTAAGGAAGAAACATAAACTTGATGGGTAATGTGTTTTTTCTTAATTTGAGGGTTCAGCTTATATAGTTATCAGCAGCTTTGGTCTTACCAGCATACAATATGTGTGTATCATCTTTATCAGTTTGATATATATTAGTGACCCTCCCGTAGTTTTTACTACATTTATGAAGGTTTCCTGTCTTCAAGAGTCAACAGTGAAGCTGAAGATATACTCGTAAACCTTATGTTTGTGTGGACAAGTGACTGTAATGAGCTTTATTGTCTACATACTTGCAGTGCAATATGCATGTTACTGATGGGCACCTCCTCTGAACACACCTGAGAACTCAGGCTGTATGCACCAAACAGATGTATAAGATGTTCACCAAACTTTCCAAGTTTACTGTTGGGTTGATCCTGACAACATATTGATTTCAATGGCCTGTTGAGTGATAAAATTCCTCAGCCAGCTCAGACAAATGATGACCAGTAGACAGACCCCAGTGTCAGCACTGCATTCATTTCCTTTCTCTAACATCCCCGATTACACATAGATTTCTCTGACAAGTTGAAAAATTATGCCATCAGAGAGTATTTGATGCACACGTTTGACTTTTTCTTTGTTGTTCCTCCTTTTTCAGGTATATTCATGTTCAAAATTACAGCTACTGTCAGTAAATCCTGCATTTAAGAAGCTTCAAGACAGTGTTATTGTGATGTTCAATTGAGTTAGTAATTTGTGTTATGAACAGCAACATTAAGCACCTGCCCAGTGATGCAAGAGAGCCTGGATTATTATTGACACTGGATGTAACTTTCATCGTCATTTACTGATGAAAAGTGCAAACTTCTAATTTGTACAGTTCATGGAACATCACAGTGCAGACAAATGTTTGAAGTCCATACAAGAGCAGGAGAGCCTTCACGTGAACAGAGACTGAACAACTACCTAGAACAAGAGCTGGCTACTTGGAGAGTTCCCGTGGTAAGGTGGCGCAAACACAGCAAGAAAAGATTTTGGGCTCTATTTTGGTGCCTCGCCGGAGACGTGCCGCAAGTGCAGAGTCAATCAGATCCGCCGCGCTGACAAGGCGTTCCCAAGCACATTTTGGTATTTTGGTGAGCCGCGCAGCCCGGCGTAAGTATCCCCCCTCCCTAACTCAGCTCCTCCCGGCAGCATAAATCATAGAAGGGGAGGAGAGAGGGCGTATAGGGGTTTAACACAGCCGAGACCTGTTTTCACCAATCACATAAGCTCCTCTCCTTGCCTTTAAATCCGCCACCGGCGAGGCGTATTACTATTTTCATGAAGTAGTCAAAGAGATCAAGAGATGTCTGAAGACAGCTATGCCACACGATGGCGACAGAGGGCAGCTGCTCAACAAGTGTCCTCCACACTCTCTCATCTGAGCACAGATAGATTTGGTGTGCGTAATGTTGGACCCACTGGTAAGACAAACACCCTTTTCCACAAAAAAGACACTCACATAAAGTTGCATATATTCAAACCTCACGTGACAAAGGTGAGTTTAGCGCACAGATCACAACATAAACTCCAAAAATGGCATTAAAATCGGAACCATCTGTGCGTAAATGACGCATCGCGCTCCGTGGCCTGGCTCTTTCTTTCATAGATGTTGGCATATAAAATAAATTTGGCCCACAAAACTGAATATTATAATATCCGTATGTCGGCTTAAAGTAGATAACGCATCTGAGCACTGAAACAAATCATCTGTTCAGCCGCAGCAGCTGCAGCAAGACGGACAGAGGACACGGAGACGTGTCCAGGTCGAGCTGTGCGAGAAATAAGAGGAAGAAAGAAAAGGAGGGAGACACATTACATATCTTGTTAACTTCATCATGTGTGTTTATTTACTAGATATTTAATTTAATTTGATGCAGTTTCAGCTGTATTGATTCGGTCAGGTTGTGTGCCCAAACGCGTGCCAAACGCGTGCCAAACGCGCTCATCAGATCAGATATAGATCAGAATATATTGATATAGATCTAAATGTATGTGCTGACTCAGATTAATAGTTGATGATGATTATTTATTGCACTGAAATGTGCCTGACACTGTGGAAACCTGCCGATGAGGCATCAGTGACGTATGTCGATACGCCGCCGGTCTACCAAAATACTACAAGACCAGCTGCGTTCCGCCTTGCGCTGAAAGCTGACCAGGTTTGAATCGGCGAGCTTTCAGCGCACGTTACACGCCGGTGGCGAGCACGAAAATGTCACTGCGCCAGCTGATTCTGTCAACACCTCCCCCTGCCACGCCACCACGCCCAGCTTGGCGGATCTCGGCTCGCCTCCGTGCGACTCAGTCCACGAAAATACCAAACTCGCCTTATGCTGGGCTCCGCCAGACGAAAATACAACTGCGCGGGGCTCGCCGCCCTCCGCCGCCTCACCGGCGCGAACGAAAATAGAGCCCTTAAACTTTATGACGCAACTGTTTTAATATAACTGATACACTAAATTAATCGGAACTGATAGTGATAATACCAGCGCCACAGTCAGTATGTTAACTGACAATGGTGCAGGTCACTAAATCAAACTAACAAAGCTAGATAGTATGCAGCTCCATTGGGCTAAAACTGGCCTCAGCATTCTGCACACGCTCCAGTGTTTGCCAGATGTTAAAAGTAATAAATGTAAAAGGACATAAAAAAAGTAGTATTGTTTGAGCTAAACGTTATGTGACAGTGTTTTCATCTTCCGACGCACATCCTGTTAGCCACTTGGTAACACGTTTGTCAGTTGTTTTGATCAAACTGGACACGACCCAGTAGAAACGAGCTAAAAGGGGGCATGTTGCACCCACAGTAGTGGAGGAGAACATGCTTCTGTCTGTAATTTGATTTTTGCCCAGAGCTTGATAACTGTGACAAGGACAGCAGACCAACTGAATCGCTTGATGAGCTATAATCATCGTTTGTCATCATTCATGCACTTTCAGGAGGATCTAAACTTCATTCCTCCTCAATAGTCACAAGCGAAGAGGTGTTTTTTTTTTTTAACAGTTAAATACTGCTTTACATTTTGCTAATGTTAAGTGTATACCTCTTGCCTCTACCCACATGTTTTATTTTGTAAATCTCATGTCATATCATCACTCTTGATAAGAAAACCCCCAAAACTAGTCTGTTATTTTTTCCTTTTTAGGGTTGTAACATTTATATATATATATATATATATATATATGTGTGTGTGTGTGTGTGTGTGTGTGTGTGTGTTTAATTAGGTTTTCACATGAACTTCTTAAATGGAACTTATCTGTCTTCAGCTTTGATAGGCGTGTTCATTACTGGTTAGTGCCTAAGACACTTCAGCCAATCAATGAATCTTGATTTATATCATGCAAGTTCGCAAGAAATGTTATCCCAAGATGCTTTACAAAAAAAGCTGCTCCAGACCATACTCTATTTACAAAGACCCAATGTAAAGATGGGAAAACCGTAAAGCCCATTTTGTACGATAAAACCCTCTCCTATCCCTGCTTCATCAATGAGGGTCACATTTACCAAGTTACAGTGAAAGACAGATGGACAGAGACAAACAACACTTCATTCAGATGAGGATAATTGTGGACTTGGTCTATTAGCTTGTTGTCTATGCTGTTGTTCCCTCTGTCCCCCTACTGTTTATGTGCATTCTGCATCTTACAACCATATAGCACTGATTTTTGTGGACATACACACTCAACATTTAAAAACCAACACAGGGCATGCAGGGCAGCCATCATGGGCGCCTGAGCACTTAGTTGAATCAAGTACATCATTGCCTGCGTGGTGGAAATTTCCAAAGCATCTTTAATCTTGATTAAATATGAAAACCGGTGTGTGGCCCCTCAGGAGAATTATAGCTGCAAAAGTCGTAAATTTAGTTAACTGCTGTCACTATCACTCTACAATGCTTTGGGGTTGTGTTCACCTTGCATGCATTGAAGCTCAGCAGTGCATCAAAAATTGTATGTGTCGGTATCCCATTACTGCAAAAGTTTTTGTTTGTATTGCACAGCTTGATGGTTTGTATTTGCACTGACAAAGTAAATAACAGGGTTGAATGTTTATGGAAGGCATGGCTCACATCAGGGGGAGGACAATAAACTGACAGCTAAAGATGACCGGGGTCATCCTTACACAACCCGACACTGTTGTGTTGAAAAACGCAAAACTGACCTTTATACCCTTTAACATTTTCCTGTTTGCCCCAACAACTCTGTAGCGGTAACGTTAATATTTAATACAATTCTATCTTTTGAATCTTTTTCTTCTCAAAGCTTGTACTTGTGTGGGCCTGATGTAAACCCTGTGAAACTCCTCACTGTGTTCCCATATAAATGCATCCAGCATGGGAGAGCACACCCAGACACTAGGCCAGAGATAAATCCTACTCATTTCCTGTGTTGACAGTCTGAGGCAGCTTCCTTGACTTGGTAAAATTAACGGTCCAGAACGTTATTTTCCCATCCAATATGCTGCCATCAATCATCCTGTGTGCCTTCATCACTTTCAAAAATTATGTGTCACTGTTTTCTACAAAGGCAGGGCAACAAATTTAGTCAGCAGGCAAAGGAGTGATGATAAAACGCACAAGTTTGAGGCTAGAACGAGTGGGAAGACAAACTCTCTGCGTGACAAGTATGAATTTCTGCCCATACAGGGATGAAGATGTACTGCACAGCAATCAGCTCGGGGACCTAAGGAGGCTTTAATGAGAGTTTCAGGAAGTTAGTGCAGGATGAGTGCCGTTCAAAAATAAGATTACACATAGCGATTACCAGCCAGAGGTCACTGGTTTCCTCAACGCTCTGTGCTCAATCAACATCCTGAGTGTAGCACAGAAAGTTCTGTAACTAAACCAGAAAAAAAAGTTAAGAGTTGACCTCACAAAACTGTTAAGGTACTTGTAAAGAGGGTGCTGTTCATACATCATCTGGTATGTGAAGGTGTCACAGGCAATTCATTAAAAATCTGGAAAACAGAATCCTGGCAAAAGTCTCCAAAAGCTGTTCACATTTTCTAAAGGATGGCATTTAACTCAAGAGTGACTTTATTTTGGTTTTAGGCAAACATGGCAGACACCAAAACACACAATTTGAAGATTATTCCCTCATTTTAATGCCAAATGAACAAAAGGTTCCTGTTTTGAATATTACAGCTGCTCTCTAAGATTAAGGACATGCAGTTTAGGAAATGAAAGTTTGAATTAAATCTGATTCCTGTCCGGGGCTTGAATAGATGGAGGAGAAGGTATATTATAACTGCAGGCTCTGACTACACCTGCGGGAAGTATGGCGCCTCGTTGCAGAGCAGGAAATTGCAAGCACCGGGGAACAGAAGTGAATGTCATCGAGGAGGCTGGTACGGTAAAAGAGCATGTAAAGCGCATCCTCATTTCACTGCTAGGCTGATGCTCTTTCACTCCCTGATCACAGAACAGCAAGGGCTGATGGGAGAGTGGATGGGTGGGGGGAGAATGTGATTTGAGGGCATCAAGTAGCGGAACTGACAGAGACGGATTCACTGCGGCCCAAGCATAGAATTGCTTTTCCTTTCCCCTGGAACTGAGCTGGAAGTGCCTGCGGCTGCAAACAATCTCTAAGCAGCAGGCTTCACAAAGCCCGAGAGCCCGAGCCGTGAAGGCTCTCAGGCAGGTGAGAAAACGCTGAACTATTTAGAACAAAAAAAAAAAAAGGCGGCGAAGGTGGCGAGGTATAAGTAAAAGCAAACTCAGGTACTCAGAAACTGTTGCGTCAACAAAAAGTCCTAATTTTACTGTCTGTTATGCTATGAATGCATACAGAGTTTTATGTATTTGTCTTTGAACTCTGATACACACATACTGCTGGATTTGGAGGTGTGTAAGAGTCAAAGACAGTGTATGAGTGTGTGTGCATGTTGTTATCAAGTGCAGAGCTAATTACACAGGTGTTACAGAGCTCCAGGATGGAAACTAGAAAGACGAGGGAGAGTTTTGCTCTCTTACTGTGACTAGATGATGAAAGCGTACTATTCAATTTACACCTTGACTTGAGCGAGCACCTTTGTGGATTTTTGTAGGGTTGAAATCGAACTAACTCCTGCCTCAGACAAATAAAAAGCCAAGGTTTAAAACCACTTTTATTTGACCTCAATTTTCCTGTTATATCTTTCAAACAGTCACTTCTGTGAACATCCTTGTCAAGATGGTAAATTAACATTTGAGTGTTGCACTCCACACCCCAATGAGCGACGAGAGAGTGATGTTAAAATCAAAAACACCATTAGATGAGTAACAGAAATATAAATTAATCTAATTTAAAATCAATGTGACAAATGGTTCCTTTTAATGGCCCCTCTGTTGGATTTAACATTTAATGTGAAGAAATCAGACAGAATTCCCTGCTTTTTCACTCCTAATGATGCATGTCTATGAGGAGATGAAACGTTTCCAAACTATGATCTCTGTCCTTACACCACCCTCTCTTCATACTTTTCTTTCTTTTCATCACTCAGTCACTCACTTACTCACCCTCCCTTCCCACCAAGATACACTATCTGCCATCCAGTCCATGTTGTCAACATGTCTGACAAGCTAAAAAAGCAGGTTGCACTAACCAATCAGCATATCGAGCCCAGGCTGGTCTAAAACCACTGAACATGTCGGAGGCTTTCAGCCTGGAAACTGACAGAAGCTGAACCCAGTTTGCCCCCAGTGGGACTGTGGACAGGCAGTCATGTGTGAGGAAAACAGACAGACACACACAGTGAACATTTTCCTGGGACTCGGACTCTGTTTTCCAACATGTCCAGTGCGTGTGGCAGTTTATGCGGTGGAAACTTCTCTTTTCTGTTGTGTGCAATTAATCAGCATGTGCACAGCCCTTACTGCGTGGTACAGCGAGCTAACAAGTGCAAAAGACAATCCATGATGAGATAAAAACCAAGCAAAAACTAGTGATGAATAAAAACAATGGTATGAGCTTTCAATGTCATGTAATCTAGACTTATCACAGTCAGACAGGTGTCATCCCTCAACTGACCTACAGACTACACTTGCTGTGACATTTATAACATTAGTAAAGAAAAGAAAAAAAGTCATTCTCTACCTAAAAGTCAGGGTTGGGTATTTACTGGTTCATGAATCAATGCAGTATTTAAAAATCTCAAACAAAATAAACTCAGTCCATTGGAAATCACGATTAAGTGCTCTTTTCCACTCCAGAACAGTTTCATTGATGCCTCCAGTAACTGCTGTACTTTATCAGCATAGATGAGCTAAATACTTCTTATTCATTTCTCTAAGGGTTACAAATAACAACAGCGCAGCAGTGATACAAAATAAAAGGACAGTCAGAGTAACACTTACTAAAGCAAGCGGGCCTCTTTTATGGATGCTTTATTGGGCAGAGCGAGTTCAAAGGGCAACAAGCAAAAGCATAAACCCGAACTGTTAGTGTTTAATGTAAAGTGTGCAGAAATGGAAATATTTAACAATAACTCGCAGTCAGATTCTACGCTGAAGTAGGAGTGGGCGATTTGGAAAAAAAAAGAAAAAATGATTACAACATATATATCACAATTTTTGTTTTAACTGCCAGTTTTAAAGCATCTGTACTGTAAAGCTAAAGAAACAAGAAATCAGTTCAACATTTTATTAACATAAAAAGTAAATGACAAAGCAAATCAAAAAAGATAAATTTAGAAAAATATAAAAACAATTTTAACTCAACAGTACAACAAATGTAGATAAATACTAAATAATACAGTGAACTAGTTTACAGTTCTAAGTCTTTTTGCAGGTATGCAAGAGTCAACCCCCCCCCCCCCCCCCCCAAGGATAATGGAGACACCTTAAATTGTAAACATTAGATGATGTAAAAGTAGATGAACGATTGACTGCTGCTTTGGTCTGGCTCCACGTTCGGTCAATCTGTTTACTTCCCCTGTTTACTTCTCCAGCAACTTACAGAAGTGAGCAGGAAAAGCTCGACTTTTATTGGCTGTTGTTGCACACATTTCCACTGTGTTTGATCAAGTAAATATGATTACAGCTGTTCACCACGATCGAACTAAAATTTGTCAATTTTATTTATATCAATTAAATCGGCCAATTTTAGCCCGTTTGAGACTAATAGGTAACTGGCAAAACTCACAGATTTTGCCAATATTTTTAGAAATAAAATGCGGAGAATAAGATTCGGTTTCACTTCGAAAATGTTCCGCACGGAGGAGAGTGGTCCGCCTCAACAGTAAATAAACCAGTTTGTGAAATAAATAATAAGTCAACAAGTTTCAGTTCAACCCACTTCACGATGTTCCCTGCTGGGCTGGTCTCGGTCACGCAGAGTTAACGGTGAAGCACCATGTAATATGCAAGCTAAAGTTAGAGTTAGCCATCTGCTATTAGCCTTGCTACACTGTTTGCCGTGCCAGTAACGGTACAATAAACAACAGTACACATTACGACTTCTCTTACTGAGGCAGCTGCCTGTCTCCAGATGAGACCAGACCGGAAATGGGTAACGTGAGTAAAGACGCAGAGGCACTGATCGGCCGGAGGGGGGGGTTGAAAACACTTCTCTGGTCTGAGTTTGATCAGTCGGTCTTCCTGTCAGTGTGAAGAGCAGTAGCCTACAGTATATCTACAGTATATAGTTTACTGTAGATATCTACAGTATATATATATATATATATATATATATATAAATATATATATTTTATAACTTCATAAAAAATTTTTAAAAATCGGCCGATTAATTGGTAATGGGATTTTTTTCCCCCTAATAATCGATATCGGCATTGGCCCCAAAAAATCCAAATCGTTTGGGCCCTAATCACGATCATTAATCACAATCATATCATCGCCTGGTCCTATGCTGAAGTGCTCCTGTGCTCACTCCTCCAGTTGGTGACGTAAGGGTTGCTTCTGAGGACAAGAAGCTGCTGTAATGTTTAAGTATGATCTTCCATTTGTCAAGGTCTGCCATCAAAAAGAGAGGTTACATGAGACACTCCTCAGTATATTAGTGTTACAGACTTAACGTACGTTTTTCCTCACTTTTCCTTCACTGATAAAGCCCCCAGACTGAGTTTATCATTAATCCCTTTTCTTCCATTCGTCATTGTCTTTCTTATTTACCACAACCAAATCACCAAATTAAGAAAAGTAATGCTCTCTGGTGAGTGAGGCAATACAAAATTAGAAGAAATCATATTACTTTCACTGAGAGTTAGAGGATTACAGCTGTGAGTACTCAGTCTTGACAGACATGCAAATTCAGGTTTGAAAAGTGGTCCCAGCAGAAAAAAATTGAACGAACCTACTCAATACAAGGTACTTTTTTTTGTTGTTGATCAAAATGCTCTTTATGGTCGAAGAAGAGTAAGAAAACTGGCTGTTCTTCTATTCTTTCACAGCCATACACTCTGCCATACATGACAATTAAAAGCAGTGGTTATTACTTCAGAGACATGTCAAGCTCACTGTAACACACAGTATGGCTCAATGTTTATCCAGTGTTTCTGCTCATTCCAGTAGATTAACATCAAACAAGCTGTAATAAATGCCAAACTGCAGCGGCAAAGTCTTTGACAAAGATTGAGCAAAAACAACAAGTCCAGTTCACACCCAGAAGGCTGGGAAGATAAATTTCTGTTTTGTGATATCTTCCTTCTTTTACTGCTCAACAATCAAAGTTAACAGCGAAGCAGCCACACTGAAAACAATAAAAAAAATGACAAAACAATACACTGTGTACTACACAACCTGCATGACTGATTTGTGCCATATTGCTGATAGTGAACTGGAGTCCTCTAAATGGGATGCAGTGACAGGTGGAGTAGGCTAGATGCAACAGTAGGAAGTGTGGATGTGGTCTCCTTTGAGGATGCTGTTCACCCCACTTTGAGTGACACAACAACATCAAAAACATGTCCCCACAAAGCGTGCCATGACCCTGTTGACCCGGTCACATGGTGCGGGCGGCAGACAGCTGAGGGGGAAGGACAGACGAGATTTCTACCCTGCAGACACTTCAGCAGCTGTCAGAGACTCCCACCTCCACCAGTCACCTCACCTGACACTGAACAGGTGAAACACTGAGGGAAGAAAGAAAAAGGACAGAGACTCTTAAGAGGAAAATAAAGCAGGAGTTGATAAACAGGATGTTTACAAAAACTAAAACATTTGCAAGGTGAAGGAAAAAAGTGAGGAGACATGACAAAGAAAGGCGGAGAAATTGCAAGAGCAGGAGTGAAATTGATAATAGGCGGCAAAAAAAGTCAGAGGACAGTGAAATGGAGGGAAAACAGGGCTATGAATTATTCTGTTGTTATCCTGTCTGACAGCAGTCTCCAAAGACTTTTTATTTCCAAGCAAGGTGGTATTCTTTTGGTACAGACCATCAGCCTGACCCGTACTATGAAATATTAAAGAGTTCATATTTGCATGCACGTATGCCCGAGATCCCAGTAGACATGACATGACAGCATAATTCGTGGTGCTCTGTGGTCCAGGCACAGCATTAAAAAGAAAAGCCATGGGTTTGAGATGAAGAGAAATATCTTCTTCCTCACTTTAATTATGTTTGAAGGTTGTGAGAGACCCAAACATGACACTGACAGCTGCTGTCTCTGCGCAGGAGAAGAGACTCTTAAACCCAGAGACCAATTTGTAGCCAAGTCAGTCAGTCTGGCTGTTAAAGTAAAACCAGTTTGTCTCACAGAGGTAGTGAAAAGGTCACACTATTTGCCAATTTCAATAAAAGAGCAGATACAAAAATTCTCCCAGAAAACGATATAAAACAAAATACCTAATAAAGAAATAGCAACTGTTACAGGTAGCTGCTTTACTTGACAAGAAATCGCAAATTTCTTTCATGTTAACCCAAAGAGATTTCTCACAAGCAGAGCCTGGGAATTCACGACAGCACAACAATACCTCCAGCTTATGAAGTGTAATGTAAAGCTGTTACGTTTTTGCCACTCTCTGAGTTATGATCAGGGATGAAAGTGATCAGTTTTATGATCAGTTTGCAGCCGGTACGCAAACTTTCACCCCTGCAATGTGTGTAGGCTACATTTGCTAACCGTGTTGCAGCACGTCAGTCGGCACTCTGCATTGTGACCGAAGTGATCCAAAAGGCCCATCCTGCTCGCGAGTAAGTCGTATTTGCTTCCACAAACAAACTCCAGAGGTGGGGGTGTTCAGTGCGCACTTTTGATTGGACGTTGGTTGCCTAAGCACTGGGGATCGCCTCCCGCCTTTTGCGGAAGGCGGGAACTTTTAAAGAGACAGCTGCTTCAATCTTTACGGTGGCCGATAACCGCCACTGCTGCAAATAAAAAAGAATGCAAAAACAACAAAGAAGCCACAACAGAAGTTACCGATCCAAAAAAAAAACGAAACTGGAGCCCGCTGCAAATAAAAAATGAAACGTTGCAGATTAAAATAAAGCCACAGTGGAAGTTAACGACGCAAAAAATATATAGATTAAAAGTTACTAAGAAAATATAAGAATGCAAATAAAAAAAGCCACAACCGAAGTGAGTTGCCGGGGACCAATACGATCTAGGCACAGAAGACGACGGCGAGAAGTGAGCAAAGAAGTCAGTGAAAGGGTTATTACTTAATTACACTTCGTGTGCTTTTCAATGTGTCATTTGGTTAGTCCATGAAGTGCCTGAGTTGATATGAAGTTGAATGAAGGGTGCCAGTATAGTGTTGGCTTTAGCTAACACAGAAAACCCACTACGGCCCGAAAGACCACCCAAGAGAGGTCGGTAGCAAATAAGTATGCAGACCCCTCGCTTTATTTCATGAAAGGTCCCCGGCAGCTCTCTTCCGTTGTGGCTTTTTTTAATTGCATCCTTTTATTTTCGCAGTAAGTTTTTTTTTGTTTTGTTTTGCATCCTTTTTTATTTGTAGCTGTGGTGATTCTCAGTCACTGTAAATCTTAATGCAGAAATAAAACAAAATGCAGAGAAAAATTTATTTTATGTTCAAGAGAAAGAGAGATGCAGCAGATGATGATATTGTGACATCAGAGCAAGTTGGGGAGCAGAGGAGGGAAGTAGCAAAGCTACCAGGAGTGGGTAAGTAACTGAAAAATGGCTGATAATGTTACTGTATCAGAACAACAGTAGGTTGCAATATGAATCTTTTCATTTGAATCAAAGAACAGGTGTATAAGGTATGGAAATAAAACAGCAGAGGAGATAAGAGTGTGCAACTTTCTTTGTTATTCTTGTTCAAATGATCCGTTCGTCGGCACTTGGTTAAACTTGGGTGTGCTCCTCTTGTACAAAGCCTACAGGTACAGTACCTGCAAGAACCTTAGCCTACTTTGACCCCTGGTTGTAATGCAATCAGGTATAAAGCATTGACTGTTAAACATAGCGGTATTAATAGTAATTTTAAATCATCAAGCAGAGTTGGTTGACTCTTCATTCCTGCCTCCTCTCCTCTCACTGAACTAAATCTAAATAAAACCTAAGGCTTTCACACTAAACCACCAGCCAGCATTTATTTAGCTTTGTTGTAGTGATCATGGTTAGAGACATTTATGAGAGAGTGTTGAGCTAGCAAGCTCGCCTTGCCAGTTCCCAAAGAGTTGTAAGTTCACAGTTGAAGTTGTCAGGGCAGAAATTATGGTAATAGAGATTAACTGTTGACCTATAATTTTCACCTGCAGATATAATCCCTTTGGTTCATGCTTAAGCCTATATAATGTATTTATTTCTTTTTTTTTCCTTTTCTTTAGCTACTGAAGAGTAATAAACCACTGTGAATGATTTTCTCTCTACTAAATATCCATCTGATTATTTTTTCTCTGCAACACGGCCTGACTTCAGTCACATTTTCACAAACTTATTTCTCTTTTAACCTCTTAAAGTGCTCCTTTATCTACAACTGTTGCTTTCAACTCTTATGCTGACTGAATGTGAAAATACTGAGTGTTTACTGCAGACTGAGGGGTTAAATTTCAGACATTGTGAATGACTCTATATGAGCCTATAAAGACGTTTTTTTTTTTTTTTTTTCACTAGTTCTGTGTGCTGCATTTACATTGAAGATGCAGTGAACCATCGCTTCAGCCAGACCAACATTACTCAGCCATGGCAGGAGGAAGATATGATGCAGCTGCAGGGTTGGAGCACGCAGAGCTGCAGGGTTGTCAGATGGAGAACTGAGGGTGTGGAAGTGTGGAAGAGAGATGGGGAAGAAGAGGGCGACTGTTGTTCTCCCCGAGGTTAATATGGTACTATCAGTTGTGCAACTGTCCACTCATGGCTGCATCTATTTTCCCAAACTGCTGGAGGAGAGGGGAGAAATACTAGGAGAGAGAGGAAAATAGAGACAAGAGGGAGGGGTTACAATGGAGAGTTAGCAGAAGAGAAACAGAGACTTGGAGAAATCTGGAAACCATTCAAGAAAATGAGAACTGTTAGGAGTGGCTGCTGTGTTTGCTTTGTTTCCTTAATTACCTAAAAAGTTGATGGCAGGGTTTTCTTGGCCAGTCCAGCCTCTGAATTAATGGATTAGAAACACAAAAGCCAAATATGCTGACAAGAAAAAATACCCCCTTGAAAACAAGAACTGTTGTATCTAAGAATTATAGTTCAGTTTCTGTCTTATTCCTTTAGTGCTGGCTGAAATCTTCTCTGTGTTGCTTCTGTATACCTACATACTTTTGACTACTTTAAACCAACAAAGTAAGTGTTTATTGACCACATAGTTTCTTTAAGACTTACAACCCTTTAACACATCAAAAATACTTCTGCTCTTGTCGATGGTTGTCAAGAATCACGATGAAGTGTGATTGATGTCAGCCGTTGCATGTGGCCCCATTTTTCTGCTCTAAATAAACTGAAGGATAAATCCAGTTGCGAAGCCAGTCCCTCAAAGCGCTGACCTTTTGATAAGCCCATCCCTCAAATTCATGGCAGCTCAGAGATGCTTTATTGCCACAACCTAGAAATGGCTCATGTTGACATAAGATCATTTACAAGCTGCTCCCCGGGGGCCCTCAAGGCTCCACATCTCTATATGAACGAACAACAAGAGATTATCCTTGAAGTGAAATAACTTCAGCCTCTGCCTCACCTAGGACTGTTTCTCCATCAGGATACAGCCTTTTTTTTTAAACCTTGACATTTGATCTGTACATTTCTCTAAAAGCTGATGTATAATTTGTAAAGAAATATTCATTTCTCTTCGTCAATGTTTCCATTAAAGCCAGTGACTTGTTTTTGTCACCCTCATATGCTGTTATATACTTTCTGCTCTGCCTTTTTTGCTATACTAAAGTGAGAGAAATAAAGCAAACGGAATGAATATTTCACTAATTAAACTTTGAAAACATCAGTCCTTGCTTTTCTTGGATTTCATCCTTCCCCTCTGCCCTGTTGTTTTTCACGCCAACCATTTTGCTGTTCTTCTCTGGCTTACACTGTTGAATTTTAAGCCACAAACTGCAACAGGTCAAAGCATCCTAAGTCAAAGGCTGTAGGTTTCTGGTGTCTGTGGTTCAGAGCAAACTAACAGCAAGAGGCGAGCATGATAAAGAGGAAAGGGGACGGTCAGGTCACTCATGTGTCCTCTGATCCTGGTTATCTGTCTCCAGCTTCTTGTTTGCCTGAGTGATCTGGGCTGGAACCATCACCAGCTCCCTCTCTCTCACGTGAACCGTGACTTTCGCTGAGCTGGGAGCACACTGCCGAGATAAGGGCTGGGGTCTGGCCGACTGTGGTGATGGAACCGGTGAGAAAAAAACATGGTGGACGGAGCCATCTGGCCAACTCTCCTCTGTCCTTGCACCGTTGAACACAAAGCTGGAGTCCCTTGTCCTTCCTGCTGCACTTTCCGGCAGTAGTTGAGCCCCAATAGGATTGTGCAACAAGATAATGGGTTAATGTGTTTGCTATGTGCTTTTTTTAATGGGAAAACTGCAGATAGAGGAGTTGAATTCTTCCTCAGAGAATAGCTGTTCACAAGTCTGTACCACTTCTAAGAAATCATATCACACATTGATCTAGGTATTGCCTCTCCTTCCTAAAAGCCTTTAACACTCTTTCCACTCTATGTTAAAGGATATGCATCTTCTCTTTCTACTTATTGACTAAGGCTTTTGGCAAGGTCATCTGCAAAGCTTATGTGACAGTGTCCTCTGGAGAATATTGGATTTTATCTGCATATATCAGCAAAGCAGTGGACCTGAAATAAGAAATATTTAGTTAGAAACACCTCTTTATTTTGCAAAATAGCATCCTGCCAATGGTTCGACCTTCATAGTGGTTACCCATCTGTATTATATCTCTGGTTATTTTCAGCGAGTGAAATGACAAAAAAGAAGAACGTTCCCAACTTTATCATTGACTCTTGTTGCTGTTGTGTGGATGTAAATAATACAAAGAAACTCAATAAGCTTCCAATTAAAATAGCAACCCAATTATTGATTTCTGACATTTAACCACCCAAGTACTAACCTGCCTCCAACCAAGCTAACACAGTTCCTGCTTTGCAAGTGCCTCCATATTAGTTAGTAAGCCAGCAGTGGTGTAAAATCCTGTCTATTATAAGTCATACTAAAAAGATTAAGCAGCAACCTCTGGTCTTGAGAAAAAAAGCCGGTGCATAAGTGCTTAAAGCTGAAATTCCTTTGATGTCCACTTGAGGCACGCTGCAAAAGCATCACAAACCCCCCACACACACACCCATTCAAAGAAGCCAATCTTTACATTCAAGGTAAATATGTCTACAGCCTGGTTGGAAAAATAGTTTTAGTATGAGGTTATTCTTTACCCACAGGGGATCCTGGTCAGCTCAGCCACTTGGTTAAGAAACCGGCATGTAAAATTGACACAGATGCTGGATTATCAACTGCTGCAAATACAAAACTCGATCATCCAATTTAGCTAATTTCAAGAAAGTCTGACTCAGATATCAAAGCTGTTGTTTGTGAATGCACTGGTTACAAATTTAACACCTCTTTGTATTTTTTCAGCATTGAGGAGCTCTGGGTGGTGAGCGATTCACTGTGGCTGTATGTGAGCATCTGACAACATCTTTTTCTGTACCACTCATGAAATCCAGCAAGTTGCTTCCACAGTTCATGGACATGGGCCTGTAGATTACATATCTGTACTACAAGTGAGTCATCCCCAATGTCAGTATTACTCTTTTATTAGTTTCCATCTGCAGCTGTTGAATGCGAAAGTGATCTCCTACCTAGGTAAAATACAGACAGAATGAAGTACCACTGAGTTTTACTCTAGCTCATTCAGCTACAGTAGTGTTGAGGACACATTTGACTTTTTAGATGTTAAAAAAAGGTTATTAAAGTGCATATTTTCACATCATTTAGGGTAAATGGCTATAAGAACTTCCAGGTAATACAAGATGCGTGACATTAAATCATGAGCCAAATGGATGAGTGTTTAAAACAATGACCCCCTCATCCAACACTATTGGACGAAGTAAAAGACAATTCTTGATGCTCAAAACACTTGACAGAACAAAAACAATGGATACATTTTCAAAATAGAAAGAGAAGTATCCAAAGTTCATGCATAATGGTTTAATTATGTCAATTTAAAACTCTGATGAGGACTTTTTTTTTTCACATCAAAAAAATAGCCTGAAATTTGTACCGATGCTTTCTTATGATATCTAAAGGCAAACAAGATCATCAGCAACATGACTCACATCTATTAGACTGTAATTTTTTAATGCCTGAGGTTGATGTGAGGGGGGTAGGTGTCAGCTCAGCTGCTAAAAAACACCTTTTTTTAATATTTACAATGAAAGAGACATTAGACTGTCAAAAGTCAGCAGAATGAGATTTTTGTCTGACACATTGAGAGAACAAGTTAAGAAAGATTGGCTTGACATTAGGGGGCATCAAAATTTACGTAAACCAAAAGTTCTACACAGGAACTTTAAAAAGCAAGCCTTGGGTGGTCAAACAAACACACTGAAGGTTATAGATGTGACTGATCATTTAGTTCATCAGAAGAAAACGAAGAGAAAAGGTCTATTTTTCAAAATAGTTACCAAAAGTTTAACATTAACAGTTGATTAAAAAGATCCAATATAAATTTTACCATTAGAGGCTTGTAAAGGAACAATTTCGTTCTCTTTAGGAATTGTCTGCTATATGTCCCCGTCTCCTAATATAATCTGACTTAGCAAGTTGTTTGACCTCAACACAGTTTTACAGAAAACAGACACGAGAGTGAGTCCAGAGTGAGTCTCACTGGGGAGACAGAAGAGAATCTGACATCCATCCAACCTGTCAGCCGAGGAACATTAGACATGAAACCCAGAGAGAAAAGACAAAGACCCAGTTGGATCTTGGCCGAGGTGATAAGTTACCTTACACTGCAGTCATTACACCGCCCGAATTAAATGATAAGATTCCAATTACCTGCTAATTTAAACCAGCGGTCAAATATGAGGAGCAAAGGATGATGGAGCCTGCCGCTAAGGATTCCAGGTTGTAATAGCTTTTTGCAGGTGAGGAGTAAATTGAGAAAATCTTGCAGATAATATAGAGCAGTGTAAATGACCTACTGACTGGAAAAATACGTTAAATTTAGTGCATATATTATGTTTCTTTTCAGTGACATTACAAAAATCTCCAAAAGATAGCTGCTTAGCTTACATTGCTTATTAAAACTCTCTTAAACCTTATGTGAAACTTTGTTTTAGTTATATCCATGTAAACACAGTATGAAGGTTTCCTCACACAAATAGTAAGAGGGTCTTGTCCTCTAATTAATCTGACTTGTCCCTCTGCTAAACGCTGGATCCGTTTGCAGGACTCCTGCATTATTCATCATGGCTGTGGATGGTAGAGGAAGTCTGCGGTCTGGAGTCACCTTACTCTGAGCGAGAGAGAGATGGAGAAGGATGGGAGGATGAAGTGAAAGTGATGGAAGAGAAGTTGAGGATGGAGGAAGGTGAAGGGAGGACAGAGAAAGAGGTTGGACAGGAGGAAAGAGGATGATGAAAAGGGGAAAGAAATAAAGCGAGAGATTAAAAGAAGGGCGAGAGATCAAATGGTCAATGCGGTTCAAGGCGAGGAGAGCTGCAAAAAGAACACATCCATATAAGGAACCGCAGGATGGTCAGAGGCTTATAGACAGGAAGTCCAGCCCAGCTGTCAGATCTCTGCGTCTGCTGACAAGCCAATTATAAAAACGACACTGGATTTCCTCGCTGTGTTTGCATTTTTGACAGAGCATCTGACGATAAGATGACAACCACACATCTCTTTTTTCCCCCTTTGTTCTTTTATTGTTGTTATTCCTCAGAACAATCCCCTTCCTGACCCCAAAATACATCTGTCTTCTCCATTTTCTCTCATTAAATACACACCTCTCCCCCCACATATACAATGGTCAAAAACACAGTAGTCATTTTCCGTCAGTTCATACAGAGACGCACAAGTGAAATGTACGGGACCCTCGGAGAGCAGTCAGAGTAAAAAGCTTTGGAATGGTAAAAGTACAATGCACTCATGTGGTCCTGGCTGCTGGAATAAAAGACGTGGAGTGAAATAACCTGAAATAAACTATGTGGAATGATATGGGTTCATACATGATTCAACAGACATGTTTTACTCAGACTCTGTTGTTAAAATTTCTGCCAATAAAACTCACAAAATGTTCATTTACAGCACATTCACCGTGGTGGTTATGTAGTGTTTCTTACTGTACGTCTTTACTCTCGGCAAACATATAGTATATTATTCACAAAGTATTCACAAAACATAATATACATCTGTATGTACACAAGCCTTCCAACCCTTCCAAGAAAAAGTGTCCAGGCACTTCCTCCAGTGATTCTGCATCAGATCACTGACTACACTTTAGCTTCATCGTGACTTCATCCTCATCAGAACAAGCTGCTCTGTATCAGTGAGCCTGTGCAAGTCTGTTGATGTTAGTATACTCTTAAGATTCATCTCATCATCCTCCACATGAATCAAAGCGAGAGCCGCAAACTAGCAGCAGAGTTCACTAGCTGCCTCTTCCAGAGTCTGTGGGTTTCAAGGTGTCTCACCTTGTTTATTAGGGCAGGTCCACTCTCTTTAAAAACCTGCACCCGGCTGAGTTTAAAGAAACAGGGTGGAGAATAATTTATCAAGGAGGGCAGGATAAATATTTCCATTCTTCAGGTACTTAATTTGCCTCCTGTCTGAGTCAGGTCTGAATAAATGAGTTTTCAAAGCTTACTAAGATCATTATATGTAGCCCACATGCAAACCTGTCTGCATTTTCTCAATGGATCCTGTCATTAAAAGCTACAACTTTCCGCAGATATTGATTAGTCTGTGATATTTAACAATGGGGAACTGTTAGTTACTACACTTTTGTATTTGAAATAAAACTGTTTCCTTTCAAGAGGTGATAAGTGATCATTGATGTGAAAACTCCAATTTTCTCATTGATAATGAGTGGCTCAAAGTTGCAATTTTCCTTCTATCCAATGGTAATGCCCCTTTTTTACACACATAAAATACTTACATAAAAAGGTTAGGATTACTTCAAACAGGTCTATCTTGGGTGGACAGTTTCAGAGTCGACCATATTCCTCAGACAATAAAGGATAAAAAGTAAGGTACAGACTCAAACCTGTGACCTAGCACTGATTTAAACACTTCTCCACAGTATTACAGAAACATCATTTTCTCACACCAATGTAAGTGTGTATATTTCTATCAGTTTTCCATCCTTCTTTCTTCCTTCATGCTGAGCTTAAAATACAAACAATCACTTCTGAGTGTTGTACATACTGGATGTTTGTAGGCAAATATCAAGAACAAAGTAAAGAGAGGATTCAAGTCAGTCAGTGGGATTGGCACTGTGACAGTAATGAGACAGGAATCTCCTGTGGTGGCCCAAGACCCAGAACTGTGGTATCAGGAAACATCCATCTATAGCACACATTGTAAATCCAGCACAGACGTTATGGCAAAATACAACACATCATAAGACTGTACAGTTTCTGAATCGACACTGTTCAGGGCTGGGCTCTGTCTTAATCCATAGGTGTCCTCATCATTAAATCTTCTGTTGCTGTTTGTACATCAGTGTGACAACCTTCTGGGTTTATTCAGAGTGTTGAATAAATCTGTGCGAGCATCAGATATAAGGCAGTTTATGGTATGGTAGATAAGTCATGCCACAACCACAGTGGACTGCTGTTGTACGTAGCTCTTGATAGAGAAGAAAATGCTTCCACCTTTTCGATAATCCTGGTAAAAGTCTGGTATTTTATCCAGCCGCTTTTCTGTCTGTGTGAAATGCTGAAACACAGCCGAGGTGACCCCTCCTTTAGAAAAAAAAAAACAGCTCCACTTTGAAGACTTTCTTATTGTTTTGCTACTACCAAAACCCTTTGCAGAAAAAAGCTGTAGTCTGGAGGCAAGAAGGACCAAGAAAAGCACAAAAAATATCAAAAAAGAGAAACATCACCAATGAAAAGGAAATCACAGCTGTACATTAAAGGTTAAAAGTTAGAACCACAACCATGTTTTCTTCTTTCTCTCCTTCCTTGGCTGTCCTTTCTGTGCTGAGTCCAAAGGTCCAAACATTAAAGCAGAGGGGTCACTGGGTGGCATCAAAATCAAATCCCCAGCTCGTGGGATACTGCTGCTGTGGTAAACATTTAGTTGCTATCTATCATCAAAGCAGTCCAAGTACTCCAGGACGAGGTCATAGCAGAATCGATACTGGTCCTGCAGAAAAACGAGATATTCTTCAATTTAAAAAGAAACACCGGAGAGACTAAGGAGGTATTCATATGCCATCAAAACAACTGTTAACACAATTTACCACCAGAGGCTCTCTTACCAGGGATTCCACCATGTTGGGTTTGCAGTTGCGTAGCGTTTTGACGGCATAGAAAATGTCCACCATGTTTTGGTACTGGATCATCTCCAGGAGGATGTTGCAGGCACAGAGGGTGCCGCTGCGGCCACCACCATTGCTGTCCAGAAAAAGACACATTTATTTTAGACATTTTAGATCAATGTGGGCGGCAGTAGCTCAGGAGGTAAAGCGGCCGTCCAATAACTGGAAGGTTGGCGGTTCGATCCCCCCCTATCCTGAGTCAGTCCGCTGTGTCCTTGGACAAGACACTTAACCCACCTTGCTCTTAGTGTTTGTCCTCCACTGGTGTATGATTGTGAGTGTTGTGTGGTGGGGGTTGAAGAGGCTGTCGGCACAAACTGGCAGCCACATTTCCGTCAGTCTACACCAGGGCAGTTGTGACTACTAAGGTAGTTTACCACCACCAAGGTGTGACTGTGAGAGTGAATGAATGATGTATGTAAAGCACTTTGAGGGTCGCTGATAAAGCGCTATATGAAATCTGATGCATTAGACATTTTAGATCAAATTTATTTGTAAACGCACTCTGGCCCTTCTATGCAAATCTTCTATGCAAGATTTATCAATCTTGCATAGAACTGAGCGCAGGATTCATCGTACGAAAGCACACACATGAGATTTATGAAAGGGTTCATATCTGACCAATCCCAGCGTACTTATGTTAAGGTTTTGACAAATGCAGCGGCTGAAATGATCATCATTAACATGTTTACGCTCTTAAATATTCATGGTTCAAAAGCCTCGCCCACTGAGGTCAAACATGAAAGAGGAGAAATATTAGAAAGATGCGAAACTTTTCTGAGCTGAAAGTGGATATCCTCGCGTCTGTGGTGGAAACTAACAAGGATTTTCTCTTTGGAAGCATCAAAACTGATATAAAAGCAGTCCAGAAAACTCCTGTCTGGAGCAGGATTATGGTGGTGGTGAACAGCGCCGCCGCGGAATAGCGGACAGTGGCTGAAGTTTGAATAAATCATTAGTCGATAAGTTGCTCATGTTGATAAATTAATATCTCATACATGCCTAATATTTTTATTGCCCTGACTTAGTTTACGCTGCTCCTATTATTGAAAGTATATAGTTTTAATTTGTTGCGTGTTTGTAATGTAGAGCAGACTGGAGAGTCTGACAGAGGCTGAACAAAAATAATTATTAATGTCACCAAATGGTGTGTTGCGGCTCCTGAGGCACATTTTTATGGATTTCTATTGGATTTTTATCACTGAATAAACAGCAAGAGCACTTTCTAAACTTATACTTTACATCAGAATCCATTGATAAGGTCCTGTCTCCTCTGTACAGCACCTTTTGTGGAGTCTCTCCTCGTTATTGTTCTCTGGGCATCGGGTCCTCACGTTGCACCGGCACAGACAACAGGACCCCATTCGCCAGAGCAACATTGTGCAAAACTATACTGGCTTAAATGATGTCCTACATCCTTTCAGAAGTGTACAACAACGTCCCTGCTGCTGGGCCAAGACAGAGACACCTGCCTTTTAGGAGTCAAACGCAGCGCTCCACAGTGGCGCGTGTGCGCAATGTTAAAACGGCGCTCCTGCTCTGTGGCAGTGTTTCTGAGCGAAATTATCAAATAGGCCTATTCACTAAGGACATAACAACTTTATTTTATTTTATTTAGGTCTTAATCTTTAATTAAATCTGGCTGGTTGTGCTTAGTGACAAGTTTGAGGTTTGTTTATCAATTATTTTGAGACAGACATTTGCTGCACTGCAGATCCACACTGACTCAAACTTGCGTACATGATGTCAGTGAGATTTTGGTCATAGCGTACGCTCATGTGCAGATTGATAAATGCTGATCCTCACGTCGTAACTTATGTACGTAAGTTTTCTGCCCTATGCAAGCTTGATAAATGAAGGCCTCTGTCTTCATGGTATTGGCATTGATGGTCCCAAGAGGATAAACTGTCGTGATCAGTTTTATGACCCCTGCGATTGGCATGTTAGTATTATTGTCATGACGATAGTATGTTATCCCTGTGAAGATACAGGTACTTTTTTATTCTTTTTTTCCCCCATTCTTTTTTACCTGCATTTTCAAAATTGAACAAACAAAACTAAACATGTAAATATGCAGACGCAGACTCTT